CATCTGTAAAGCAAGTATTGAAGATAATATGCACTCAGAATCCACAGCAGATTTGTCAGTAGAGTAGGAGTCTACAACTGAAACAGCTTTGGATATATTTCGATATTTGTACATAAAACTAACTACACCCCACATTCGTTTAGACTACACTAAGGGGTTCGGCAAATTTCAAAACATGATTCAACATAAAATGTAACGGAAAGAGAACAATGAAAATTCCTCTGCAGCTTCTTTGTTGAACAGTATTGTCATTTATTTGTTCCTTCTCCCTGTTGTGTATTTAACCTTTGTTCCGATCTCGTTTAACCAAATCTTTTGTTCTTCAGTCTTCCTCGTTTGAGCCCTTATCATGTGATTTTGATGAAAAACTTATCTTTTGTTACCTAAGTTATCATTGCATGCGGCCGGACCATTGACAGTAAGGTCGTGGTTGACTAAGCTCAAGATCACGGCGTGGTTCAGTATGATTGTTAACCTCTTGATCGTCTGCTTGGGAGGATTGCTGGAATCCCTCCGGACAGATATTTGATCTCATCTTTTTGGGAATCTTTTTATTGATTCTCAGGTATCAAACCACTTAGAATTAATTGTCTCTTTCATCATTTAGCGCGCTACTTTGTGTTAGAGAAACTTCTGACTCTATAGCACAGGCTGTACTGTTTGGGGTATTTTGTATTTATGATGTAATTTGTTCTGTTTTCTAAATAAGAACCGCTTATATTGAGCACAGAGTTTGTGTTTTGATATAATATAATACGAGTATCTCAAAAACGCGTTGTGATTTATACAGAAAAACGTGGTCTGATCTAATCAAATAAATTTTGGGTTCGTCAGTCCGTTGTTCCAACCGAATATTGGCTGTTCGGTCGCTACATAGAGGTTCGCACTGATTTTTGTAAGAGGGGAAGAATGTGGATTTATGCTGCTGGGTGCCGATGAGACAAAATCCCAATATCGAGAAGCTCAATATATTTGTGCCCCGAAGCTCTGTAAGTCTGGAAGGTTTTTACCAAGAACACCAAGTTAAGGAATCTATAGGTGTTCGCATTCTTTTTGGTAAGAGGAGAAGAAGACGGAAGAGACTTAACTCACTGGGCACTGAGTGACGACAAATGTTTGTTGTTTCAGTTTCCATTTCGAAAGGATAGAAGGATAGGTGGCCTGTTTCAGTCCTGGCACTGATGACTTTCCAGTTAAACCAACTTTCCTTTGAAAGAGTCGACATATGTAGTTTCAGTTACGTGTTGGGGTAATGAATTCTGTTTGTTGATGATTCGATGGGAAAGTCGACATAAAACTGACAAGTAATTTGTCCTGGACCTATGAACATTTTTGGAATATCCTCGTAAATTCTCTGTTTTCGAATACAAGAAAAAGGAGGATATATCAGATGCAAATTTATCACTAAGTAATTTGGAATCGGTAATCAAGTCCTCTCTCGTTCTTCGACATGAAAATGGAGAAAGGTTCAGTTTAGTCAGTCGAACATTTAACGGGAGCTTCTCTATTCCGGGAATCAGCTTAGTTGCGGTTCTCTGAATCTTTCCAAAAGTTCACTGTCTTATTTTGGACAACGACTAGCTGCCTGAATGCAGGTCCCATGTATTGACCACAGGGCTCAAAATTTTTTGGCGGCCACCGCACAGTATTTCTCAGTCATGCCTGAGAGTGAATTTCAAGTCGTTGTGTGTCTAGACAACAGGCAGCGCAATGTAATTCATTGTGTACTTTGATGACCAATATACATCACAATGCACTTGAAAGCCTTTATCGGCAAATGAAGAGTTTTAAACCAGTCTGATAATTTCTCCGGGTCATTTCGAAGACGTGTCAGCTTCATATCTTGACATCGTCACTGTAAGACTACAAATGATCATTTGGTTGATCAAGTTTCCATTTTTCTTGTTAGGAACTGATCTAGCCCTGCGATAAGGTTTTTTAGGAGTTTCCTGCTGGCTGCCATTTGGAAGATGGGGGACAGAAGTAACTTATTTTCTTCAGCCTTTATTTCTATCAGACCTCCTTGAAATCGGTCTTTCATCCTTCGACCCATGTAAGTCAATTAATATTAAGCTTGAGGTGACTTTCACGTCAATTGTTGCACCGGTTGAGTGAGTACTGTCTAATGTGTCTCGAACTCGCTAGCAGCATTTACCATTGCAGTAGCCTCGGATAACAAGCTTTTTGCATCCAAGCAGCACTTTCAACGAGGTATCGACAGCTTGGACGTTGGAAATGATTTTTCTCACTGTCCAGCCATCAATCAGGAGACCAAACGTCATTATGGTCTTTTTGACTATTCTTTCCAGTATTTTAAATACAACACTGGTGAGGCTGACAGGTCTGTAGTTCGATAAAAGTTGTCTTGGTCCCGTTTTATGTATGGGAGTGACGATTGCATCTTAGTCAAGTGACATATTGAATATTGCAGTTAACGGGGCCGCAATATATTTTGTAAATCATTTCAATATTTTGTTGTGTAGTTCATCTGCTCCTGTTGAATTTTCCATGTCTAAGGTGCCTAGAGCATTGAGTACATCGTCTCGACCACAATCCACGATGAGAAGGCGGTTTGTTGACTTTGTGAAAACTGCCGCGAAATAATTTGCCATAGCCTCCACTTTTTCCTGATCATTCTCCATCATTTCAGACCCGATCCCTACATTAATTAGTTTCAGAATCCAATGCTGCACCTTTGTCCTGTGGTTTATGTATTAGAGTAGTTTCTTAGGCTGCTTAATTGTACGTTGTGCTAACTGCATCTCATATTTTTTCTGAGCTTCCTGGATTTTATTTATACACATATTTCTTACTGACCTGTAGCGTTCCATCGTACTTATGGCAACGTTCCAAAATTTCTTCTCTTGTCTTAGTAAACGTCGAAATTCCGGCATACCTAAGGATGACCGTGTTTCTTCATCTTTGGGATTCTCCGGGGTGTACATGGTTGAGTTACCCGATTGTATAACTGCCCGAAATGAGTCCATGCTTCTTGTACCGATGCCCTTCAGTCAATTTCCTCATTTTTAGCCGATGCAGCAGAGTTGACTGCCTCCATATCTGTCTTCCCTATGCTAGAAAGCGCCGGTTCAACAGTTTGGCAGGTCATCTCAGCCATGAATTCAAATAACGTAGTTGCATGATCGCTTCTTCCTAGAGATGAGAGGAAAGTCATCTGATCGACTTCATCACAGTGCGTGAAGACTAAGTCCAGGAGAGACGAGGAGCTTCGTAATTCATATCCGGTCGGATCTCTAATGTGCTGGAATAAAGCTAGTGCAACTAAGGTTTCTAACAGTTTGCAATCAAATGACGTCTATGGCTCTACTTCTAAGTTTACTCAGTTTACATACGGTGCATTAAAGTCGCCTACTATAAGGCTTTTGCCCATATTACACCAGGACTTAAGTCTACTTGGGAGGAGGTCATCTATTACACATTCTGGGCTGCGCTACACTACAACTAATCCAAGATCTTGCCGTCTATACTTCAGCCTGCAACGCACCAGTTCACATGTCCCTGAATCATGAGCTACTGTATCAACAGTTCGTATGGTTAAGGTACTTTTAGTGTACAGGATAACCCTACCTCTCCTACGGTTTAATCTATCAGTCCTGGATAAAAAAACAGACAAGTGGATTTCATTATCGAACACTTCTAACGTTAACTATGTTTCTGAGACAGTAATAACATCTAGTTTTTCTACATCCATCATTTTCTTGAGCTCCGTCATTTTGCTGTGTAGGCTGCAAGCATTTATGTAGCACACCTTTAATTCTGTGGAGAACTTTCCCTTAACACCCAGAGTAGTTTGGGGATCGTTTTCCTCCAAACTTTAACAATTTGAAAACCCACATGTACGAGGTTTTTAACTGATTCGGGGTCGCTCATTTATTTACACTTCTGCAGCTGGTCTCTGTTTTCTTACTTTTCTTTTCCTGTGTGGCTGTGAACCGATCATTTACCTTATTTTGTCTCTTGATCACATGCTCTACACCGCTCAGAATTGGCTCCCCGATAATTTGTTTAGCGTTGATATGTAGATTCACATACCTTTGTGTTGTCTATAATTCGTTTCTTTTTGGAGTGGTTTTAATTTTTCCTTGTAACAACGCCCATATCGATGTGCTTTTTATCCGCTTCCCCGACCGGGTCCACCTGGTTCATGATAACGCTCTCTATTTCCTCGAAAGCAGAATTCTGATCATTTACTGCTGCCTGATTATCTGAGGGCAATGTTCTAGCTATGTTCTGAAGCTCAATCAGCCCAAGAATGAGGAGAGATTTTGTAGAACATGCTTTGCACAGCCAACGTAATAATGGCTTGCAACACCTTTTTTACGCAGCCGGTGTGAGTCCGGCAAACATATTTTGATACAACATACTGCCTCTGTCACATTGCATCCTGTCATCGACAGGGAAATAACATGCAGGACTGTACAACGATATTCTACTTGCAACATAATTATTTTTTGTGATTTCACAGCGAAATCTGATCTCCAGAAAAGTGGCTTTTAAGGTTTGATGAGTGACAGACACTAAACACAAACAAAAACATACGTTCGTATATAACTATCTAACAGCAATAGTAGAAAAATCCAACTTCAGTAGTTACAAAAAGACCTTAACAGTTTAGGATATAAAAAATACTGAAAGGCACACTAAACGAGGAGAAAATGTCAGTACCCTTTGTTCTATACTGTATATGTACTAGAAAAGTACAGATGATAAACTTGTCTCGGCAAAAGCTATACTCTTGGGGAATCTTCAGCCAGAATAAACTCAATTAAAGTGTAACCAGACTTTTTTAAACGAACGAAACAATAAAATTAACTCAGTGAGGAAAAATAAAACTTTTTTAAATAGCTCATGTTTTGGGATTACATTTGTGGCGGGATTTGTGAGGATGTGCGTTGTAGCTCGTTGTTCAGATTATTCGTATGGTGCTGTAGTGTATCCACACTTCATACTTTAAATTGGTACTGAAAACTTTCATTTATATGTGTCATTGTAGTGTACGTGCCTCTTGAGTCGCCATCACTTGTTGGTTTTCATCCCCTTAGGTTTTCGTCACACGCTTATCGAATCCTGATCGGGAGATCGATCTCTCGATGCTGGTAAGAATTTTATCATTTGTGGGGAAACCATCAAAAACCCTTGGAAAAATGCAACGTAACCCGCAATTTTCTCTGACTTGGAGCTTTCCCTTCAAATTTAAAATTATTTTGGAGAAATCCCTAAAAGTCTATTTTGGGGAATTTTGGGTTTTGCCCATTGTTCCCCAAAGTTTGTCTTCTCTGATAAAACTTCGAAACTCCTGAGTTTTCTGGGAAAAAGTCTGTGTTTTTGACGATGTCTTAGTCAGTCAGGAAACGAAGGCTTATCATGAAATAACAGACGATAAAAAGATGACAAAATAACAGGAGAATTGTAGCTTAAATCTAAATGATTGACCCTCATTTGTCGATGTATTTTTTTTCAGTAACGGCCAATTGTCAAGAATACACATTGGAATTCAGAGATGTGATTTAAGACCATAAGCCCGTGGAGCCTTCGTCACTAACTGGCAGTTACAATGTAATATTTTCAGGATTAGATTTTAAAAATTCAGAAGGAGCGAATTCACCAAATGTCGAAATGGAAATTTTCACTATTTTAAAATTCAGTCTTGAGCTTTGAGTTTCGTTTGGAAAAATTAAGGTCGGGGTTTCTTCATTATGAAGTTGCATAACATTCCATGCAATACCTTATTGTCTTCCTGTCTACACACTTAAGAGACTAAGGGTTGTGATTTTAGGTATAAATTAGCAAGAAAGGGTATTATCCAGACAACTGACTAGGTCACATCAGGTGCTTTAACATAACATCTTCCTTGGGAGTAGGTGCGTTTTGCAACCTAGGTTGAACACTATTTTCGATTCATTTTTCGGTTGCCTGGTTGATGCTTTTATGAATTCCGGGCATTGTAAAAATCAGTTATTACCAATTTTCACTTGGTCATCTATCACTGCACTTTTAATTTCGTGCAAACTACGTAAAGGGTTATCTTAACCCTGATTGACTAACCTGCAGCCTTCAGTATGCTGTACTTTTGCTCGAATGTTTACCGAAAATCTATACGGGTCTGGGGCTTTTTGCCAAAAAACTGTGTAATTCGGAAATTAGACGCTTCACTAAGATTCCCTATAAAGTTCGGACTAGATCCGAAAGTATTTTTAAATAAACGTTAAACATTAACTAGTCAGAACGCTTTCGGTAAACCAAGTTAATTCTTTATTGATTTTGAGGTGTGTAAAGAAACATTGGATTCATATGGCACGGTTTAGGTTGTCCGAAATATTTGTTATCAATAGCTAGAGGAACATTTTACATTGATGGGAGTTAGAAGAACTATTCATGTCACAAGTATACATTAAAGCCCGTTGAAATTCGGGAGAACACATACTTTATGGGAATGTAGTTTGGCATTGATCAACGAGTTTGTCTTATGTGTCCTTTGAGTAAATCTGGACGAATCAGTAAGACTATGACATTTCGAAGGCCATTTCTCAGTATTGTGTGCATCATGATTAATTCACCTCATCTAGGACGGATAGGGTTAGTGGATATTACCAGTCCTTAAGGTCACTAACTTCTGATCCGAGCCGTGTTAGTAGATTAAGACTACTTGGTTGGTGTCCATGTGACTATCGTAGTTAATGTTTGGAGATTCTTAGTGACATGTCTAAGAACCGATCACAATGGCGTAGGTGTATACAATCTTTGTTTTCCCTTAAACCCTAAGATTAAAGTCACTTTATACCTTTCTTTCTACGAACTAGTTCTTTCTCCCTGTATCATGTCCGTAAATGAAATGTTTTTTTACTATCATTGAAGTAACTGCTATGAATTTGGTGTTCATCTTGTTGTACTAATGAGGTGTGGCAACTTACATCGATGCATATATTATTATTATTATTATTATTATTATTATTATTATTATTATTATTATTATTATTATTATTATTATTATTATTATTATTATTAGCTTTATTCAACATTATATTTTTGGTACAACATAGAATTCTCAGCATAAAGTATTTCAACAAGTTTCCTTTTCTTATACCTTGATCTATTGTGACGATAAATTTTGAATGATGACCGGTTAGATGTTAGGAGTTCGGTAATCCACATTTGATTAATGTTCATTCGTTTCAATGCATATTGCCAGCCACCATGATGTCGCTGATTATACCTTTTTGTATCACGTATAGCGAAAGGTTGTAAACTTTTCATAAACGCGCCTGAATAAATTGTGCGCACAATAGACATAATGATGTGCTAAAACAAACAACAAAACAGATAACTTGATGAAATATCTAGATCGGAGGAACAGGTAGTCCAAATATTCAAACAGGCCGCCGTATATGTTCCTTGTCCTACGTTATAACTGTCCGACCCACGATTTATCTTAGTCCCAGATATTCTTCAAATGTGGGAACGCTGCCACTTCCTTGCCAGTTTATACCTTGACTCATGAATCGGATCCCTCTTGTTTCAGGATGATACACATTAAGTACGTAAACACATCTTTTCAGAGCTTCACCATCACATAATTTGAATGGTACTTGTTGTGGTTTTCCTTAGGATCTCATTTTCACCATGCAATGGCTAAGGCTAGTTCCGCAGAAACCACTGCTTCACTAGTAGTCTTCGTCTGCACTTATTACTGTATATACGATAGAAGGGCTAAGTCATTTTCAAAGTCCAAATCACCCATCTAAACATGTGTTTTCACTGTATTCCTTGTTTCTCCTGAGATGTGGATGTGTTTACAATCCAGACAACAACCAGAAAGATAAAAAGTGACGGTAGATAGTCTTACTTAATACAAGTCTTCATTTGAAGTATATCTATGAGGTACTCTCCATGCACAACTTTGAAATTCAGTCTATCGTAGGAATGCCATATGACAATGACAATCTTTTAAGACACTTAACAATGTTGAAGTTTTTCTATGTATCCTGTCGACTGCTTTCATATAATTAGGGAAGTTGGCGTATTGTGATGGGTCCATCCAATTGGCTGTTCAAAAATGATTCGCAGTTTGGTCGGTACACGATCTTACTTTATGAAAGCCAGCTTGTTAATCTAAAAGTTGGGCATTTACTGTATCCTTCACTCAATTTAGCGACACTTTTGGAAACTTTGCCTAGAATTAACAGTGCCGTTATCTCTTTGTAGACCTGTAGCCCTTCAAACTGCTCTATCCACTTGTTCCATCGCTTTGGGACTTCAGTGATTTGTTTAGCTTTTTCCCTAACTACTCGCTTTGGTCTACAGTATTTTCCTGCAAGCTGTTTTGCTATATGCTTGTGAAACCTGGCCTTTCCGAGTTGACGATGTTAGACGACTCTGTGTTTAATCACTGTTATCTCCTAAGGATTGTTGACATCCAGTGGCAACACTTAGTAATGCAGAGGTTCAGCACCATGTGTTCGTGCACAGCGATGATAATTAATTCTTGTTCTTTTCTATTATATCCACTTTTCTTTCTCTGTATCTTCACAACTTCATTGTTATTGTGTAGCGCATATGTATTTGGTGCTTCATTGTACCAATTTTTATGTGTTCTAATAAATAAAGCTTTTTGGTTGTATCATATGGTTCTCTCATATTTTGTTTTGTTGTGGTTGTCAGATCTACGTATTTCTTTTTATGACCTCTAAAACTTCTTCACTAGTTTGTTCACTTCTATGTATTCTACGCGTGCCTTGTCTTTATTTTAGTTCAACTGTTGCTTACTGTTCTTTGTTTTTCCTCTCGAATCTTGTCCAGATTTTCTACAGAATTCCTTTCTTAATGTTTGTATTTCTTGAAGCCTAGAGTTTTCCGACATGTTAAAGTTGTTACTTCCGTAATTCCTTTCCATTTGTTCTCCATATAGGTTTCTTCTCTTAGTGGATCTTGTAAGACATTGAACTTGTTGTTGATAGCTATCTTGAACATGCCGAGTTTGTTACTATCTCTAAGGAAGCCCACGTTAAAAATTCGTATTGTTGCATCCTTAACTGTCTAATGCTTTAGCTTGAGTTTTGACCTATCCATCACCAGGTGTTGATGTGAGTGTATATCAGTTCATTTCTTTGTTCTTACATTTTCCATGGACCTCCGGAGTTTTTTAATTTTGAACGTGTGATCTATCTGGTTTCTTGTTTTTTTTCCTCCGGTTAAACAAATGTGGCTTTCTGTATACATTTGTGGAGGAAAATACTGGCTCCTATGACCATATTGTTTGAAGTACACAGATCTAACAGCCTCTTACCACTGCCTTTTCTCTTCTCCCAGTCTTTGTCACCCCATGACGGCTTCATACTCAATTTCGTCTATCACAACATTAGTGTTTAGGTCCCCGTTTAAGATGATTAAGTCTTTTCCTGGGCTTTTTCTCAGGATGGACTTCAGTCACATAAAACCGGTTTTTAAAATATTTTGTGATATATTTAGTGGGTATGTAACACTAGATAACATTAACTGTAATCCTTTCCTTGCCTTAATAATCCTTGAGTCATAATTTCTCATCCTATTTTCGCTTTTTGTGCTTCTTTGGATATCATCAGTGCAACTCCATGTGTGCGGCTCATTTTATGCCTTCTTGATCAGCAAAAGACTTCTCTACTGAAGGTAGTTTTTTGTCCAATAAGTTTGACTTATTAAAAGCACGGTCAAACTGTCTATTTCTATTTCCGTGGCTACTTAAATAGCTCTCCTTGTCTCCCACATTGTGCAGACATTCCACGTACACATATTTGTCGTTTCACTGGTTGTCAAGAAAGAATTGGCCTCAATGTTTTCAAAAAATTTTTGGATTTTACCATGAGGCATCATAAACAGTGTATATGAAAATTTCTCGTTAACGATTTTTTAGTGAGGTTCTTTTTATGAAGTAATGTTACTAATGCTACGCAAGGTCCTCCTTCACATGAGCTTGCACCCGACAGTAATCCAATAAGGGTTCTAGGCGAAATCGATAGTACAGATAGCATGGCTAAAATTTTCCAATCCATTTTTCTTCGGTAGTTTTCTAGGCGATTACCATTAGCTATGTCACTTATATCAAAGCGGAATTTTTAGGGGTAACTTTGCAGTTTATTTATTTAAACAAACATTGGCAAAAAAAGGCACCAAGTAGATATGCACCCCACAATTCAATTTGTATGAGGGCTGGAATTATGCCCGGACACCGAAACCAAAGCAGGTAGTTCTCTTAGGGGCAACTCCCTGAGCCTTTGACATAGAGGTCTAATCCAGGGAGCAGTGGAGTAGCGTTGGGAGATGCAGTCCTATGGTAGCCGGTGACCAACGATAGGCTCATGCACTATTTGTTCCTTCAGGATCCTGGAGCCCATGTGCGCCACTGGTTTGGAATGAAGGTCATCCAACTCCACTAGGTAGGTCCTCCATATCCACCAACCCCGGTAAAGCCATGAACATTCGCTTTTCGTCCTCTCAATTTCGTAAACAACCGTGTCACGGGAAGATCGTAAGCTGAATTTTCTCGGCAGTGGTTGTATGCGCGTGGACATGTTAGAGCATTTCGAGAGGGAGATCTGACTCTCCCCACTCTGCCGTACCAATCAAAATCAAAGTGATCATATCTTGTAACACCGTCTTTTGATTGAAGGGGCTGGACCATTGGGTATTTTGTGGTGCGTTATAAACTTGTCACATTATCCCATCCTCAAAATAAAAGCAACAGATTGTGGTCTTTCACAGTACTGGTTTGTCCATATCATTCATAGAAAACATTTTCCAAAAAGTTACGAAACGAAAGGAGTAATTTTGATGGTGAAGCGAACTGAACAAAACACGCTTGATTATAATGTGCTAAACGACAGGAGTACACTTCATTTTTAAGTCTGCTAGGGGTTTAAAATCAGTGATAGATCACTTAGTAAGATGACTGCAAATCTCGTGTGTGTATATATAACCCAATTTTAACCTTTCTTTGATATCTGGATATTTTTATTTATAATGTATTTGTTATCTTGTTGATTCAGTGTCTTCTTATTGACGAACGCTGGTAGTGTGGGACCTGGTACAAATGCGTATTTGTTAAAGTTGTCCTACTTCATATAACAGCGGTAAAAGAAAAGTGAAAGGATATAAAAGTGTAAAAACAATTGTTTCAAAGTCTTTGGATTACTTTCACCTATTGAACAAGTACGTGTACATTTTTATGTTCTGTGTGGAATTCAATAGCTAGACCCTTTGGATATGTTCTCTGCAGGAATAAAAAGGCTACAAAAACTTTATAAACTTATGTAAGAATAAATGACATTTTTACCTGTTTACATTTTTCTCTCGTTCTTTCATCAAACCTTGTGTTTATACTTTTGTTTTGTCGGGTATGTATCATGACTCACCATACAAATAATCGGGAAAATAAATAAACATAATTAAGTTTAAGAATCCTGTTGAGCGCTATCTAATGATTTTAGGACATCAACAACCGATTTATAAACGTCAGGTTCAAATATAGGTAGTGAGCTAATTGACAGATATTCAGTAGTATATTGAATGGAAGCTTCTAAAGTTTGGCGAGAGATTTACATTTTTTCAGTCCAAGCATGTTGGTTTTCTGGTCCTCATCAAAGTGTAAATTTTTAAGGGCATTAAGTTCGAATAACCTATCTAGTTTCGATGATTGGTTTCCGAAAATAATCAATGAATTACGTAAAACCATTTGGACGGAACGAAAACGCCATTATGGCGAGGTTACTGACTGGAATGAATTGTAGCACTAAAGTAAGAAATGATGGACCATGTTTAAATGAAGTGGCACATAGACATAAAGTGATGGAGTATGTTCTTATACGGCAAAACGGTTTGAGTTTATGAGCATTTATTCATGGGAAATGGGATATTTGGATTGCCATAACTTTTATGGAGGATTTGATACTATCCAGAAACCCAAGTTTAAATAGGAAGCCTTTGTGAAGAAACCACTGCTCAGCTTTTAAAATAAAAATTCAATTTACAAGGTAGTACAAGGAGAAGCAATATTATAGTGGTCTGGAATTGTCGTAGGCTGAAAAAAGCTCAGTTTGTTAAGCTGCTGAATCTTATATATTGTTATTTTAGAGACAGTGTTTTTTCCACTCTAGATATGTCCTTCGTATCTCTTATGCCTTCACTTGGGAACACCTCACCGCAGTAGGGAAAATAAGAACTTTCTTAGTATAAGGTATAAATACGCGGTTATAATATAACATCGTTTCGAAAAGAAAGATCGGAATCCTTCTCAATTCCTCAGTTGAACACTCATTAAATTTGAAGCTTAGTTTCACTCTACACTGCTCATCCCCCTTTATTATTTATTATTTTGGAAATATATACGTAGTTTTATCAAACATTAGATGTTACTATGTCTACTCAGGTGCATTTCGTTTCGTTGGTCTTCTCTGTCCTTGTGCTTATACAAAACGTTAATTTGGATTGACAGGGCAGAAAGTCGGAGTAACGATTCTTGACGGAAAATGGGCATTGATAAGCGCTTTATTTTGCACTAAAGTTATCGTTGTCAGTAGTAAAATAAAAACATAAATAAATTGTTCAACTGGTATCACGTGTGATCTTTTTTTCCTTTTGACCTTAATTGTTTTTTTACGTTCCCAAGATATCACCATCCAGACTTTTAGTGGTGCAAATATTTTTCTTTTTGATTGAAGGTCTTTCAGTCTTTCTCGTTTTTATTTTTCTTATTCGATGGTTTCCATGGAGTCACTTTACTATGCGACTCACTTCACCTCATTTTATTCTGTGATGAACTATAAATCCTCTGTTCAGAGAGTTGAAGCACTAAAGGACTTCCATCCACATCTACGGTAGTTGAGTACTTAGAAACAGTAGCAAAAAGAACAGTCCGGGGCCTTCTGTCACTTAAAGCTAGTGTATCTAAATAGCTTCATATTAACTAATTGGTGTAGAATATAAATTCTGGCTATCTGAGAGTATGGTGATAAGGAAAAGCTGTTTAAACAGATTAACTTAAAGAGAGCAAGAACAAAGATTGGTGCAGAATAATATGAATTTATTTTATTCTGCACCAATCTTTGTTCTTGCTCTCTTTAAGATAATAAAGGGAACTATGCATGTGAGATTGACTTAAGTTTGTACAACGACTGCGAACACTAATAGCAAACGAATAGGAATGTTTAGTGTGGAAAATCATGACTTATTTAAGGGTCAGTGATCAAGGAGGCATTTATCAAAGAAGACTAGTGTTTATATAATGTTTCAAGGAGTGTCATTTAAAATTGACAAACTTTCTGTTAAAAAGTGCTGTGTTTATACATATATTTCATAAAGTTGTTTCGTCACTAACTTGTACAAGTAAAAATATACTGGAAAAACCATTATTGTTGTAATACTGTCGCCTCCAGCACCAGTTGCTGAGTTGGTCGTTTAAGTATGCTTATGTTTATTTGGATAAGTTTAAAAACTACATATAACTAAATCTTTTGGAGAGTTGCTGCCAGTGTTGTTGGATCAATACACTAGATTTTCGTAAGTATAATATAGGTGAGTTGACCTTCGTTTATTTATGTGACTAATATTTAAGACTAGTGCCTCTACTTCTTATGATTTAATTCATTTTATCCTTTTCTATCACCAATAATCTTGCTACTGTTTTAAAAGGCGCCGATGTGATCACATGAAGTAGGTGAACAATATTAAATCTCTGTTTTAGGTAATCGTCCAAAGGTGTATTCAAAGGGCTCTTTATTGTAATGAATGTTACCCATACATTAATCCCATTGTATACAAAATGACTACTGAATCTTCAGAACAAAATATTACCAATTTTATTCAACCAGTTTCAATCCCTGAACATATGACGATGGACATAACAAATGCTTTCTTTTCTGCTTGTCGAATCGGACTAAAACCTGGGGAACTATTACACCCTCGTTGGTTTGACTTGAAGTATTCCATGTCAGCTATCGAGATTATGGACCCTAAAATGGATGCTCTAGTTCAAGGAAACCGAAAAGTTCTGACTGTATGTGAGGCGTTATCTAGTGAGCAGTTACCTTTGGGGCCTTTTTCGTCACTTTACGAGCTTTTGGGTATCACAGATGAACTTTTAGCTGCTTGCGTCAATTGGCTGACGGGCGATTCTCTTGCGCAAAGTATATTTATTTGCATGTATATGCACTGCACTCAGTTAATTAGAGATAAATATCTTGCTGCATTTTGTGAGTTATTACGACGATCAATCTATCAGTTGCGTCATATAATAATCTGTGCGAATGTCTTTGACGAAGAGGATCATTACAAGTTCACACATGGTATGCCAGTTCATGAACCCTCAAATATTTTTGATGGTTACGGTGGCTTTCGTAATGACTGTCTGCATAAATTGTCAGTGTCAGAATTAATAGCTCATGTAAATGATTTGAATAGAAATCTTGAAAATGAATCTACTATGTTTGCGGATCGTGAGGAAAAACTACTTATGGGATTACACAGTCGTCTACAGTTTGTTCGAGTGTTGTTACTGTTCACAAATTCAATCTTTGAGTGTATAAATCCAACTCGAGTCTATTTTGAGCAAGATCTATTTGAAGGATATACGCATGCAGATCTCGATTTTTCTGAAAAAAATCCATCACCTCCTAAACTGTATGAAGCTAAAAATAACACCGAATTTCTATGGGACTCCTTCATAGATATTTGTAGGAAAGTGTCCCAGCATTTAAGTAGTCTGAAATCACTGAGTGATACATTAGTAGAAACTTCAAATATTGGAAAAATGGCTGGTGAAGGAAAGTTTAGACCAAAGGACGCTGCATATGGTCTTCCAGGTTTTGAAGTTTTCTTGAATCAAACCAATGTACCTACATATATGCCCAAAGTGGTAAATATTCACGATCGTCACAAATCATTTGTTTATTTTTCAAGTCTCTTTACAAGACTCAATCATATTTTATGTACATACGAAAATTTTGCCTTATGGAATGTTTTACATCCTGAACCCCTGCGCCTTCATAGTTTATGGACATTTATTCAGAAATCTGGTCAGATATCTTGTCCTTATGTCAAAGCTCTTTTGTTTCCTGACGACTCTAGCGAAGTAAATGAACCCATGTTAACTACTTGTGTTTTATCAAAGACAATTATATACATGTTTCACTCCACTCTTATGGGGCAAGGAGATGCTATTGAGCTTCAACCTCCGTTTCTCTCTACGGTGCATTTCCTAAATTCATGGCAGGAGTTAGAGCCTACTGCGTATCGCCCACTGATTAAAAATATCATTTATAATATTCCTGAACTGATGAGTTTTTTCACTACACTTTCAAATCATTTCGCCCATGTAAGTGCACATTTTAGTTTATATATATTTCTCAACCTTCTATATATAAGACTGATTCTTAACCTGTTCCACTTATTGATTTTCGTAATATTCTGTACATGTTCCACACGAATTTAGCTTTTTTTCAAAACTTGGTTGTCTTTCAATAAAATTGCATGAACATAGTTGGATAGCAGCTGGATCCATAACTGAAGTTAAAGATATTTTTCATCCACTGGACAACCACTAAAATGCAGAAATCACTGGGTGACCGTTTAATTTTAGGTTGAAATCCAGTATTATAGACCGATGACCCTACACATGTACGGAGAATGGAATTTTGTGTTATGCGACAGTTACAATACATTTTAATCTATAAATAAGAATCCATCGGTCTACACTTCTGATTTTAGATAATTCGTGAGACAAGACTGCGACCATCTAGCCCTTCCAGTGATTACTTTCATTCTTGAGATGTTCAAACTGTACCAGTGATTATTCCCAGCCAGCACTTTTGAAATGTACCTTAAACATGGTCAGTAATGCTGATATAACCAGTGTCTAGTTGATTAATTTGCGAATATTGGCTCAGTTTGAAGAGCCATACTTTTTATATTACAACTAGAAATCTTAATCAACATTGATTGGACAGAAACTAACCTTGCGACTCAAAGTCAACTGTGCAGATTACGAAGTACTGGTCCTGGATTATTTAACTACTATTCCTGATCTGTTTGTCTCGATTTGTCACAGTTTTCCCCAGTTTCAATCATAGTTGAGTAAATAACGATTATTCTCTATTAAACGTTGACTGAACGACAAACAACTGGATAATTAATCCAAGTTAACTAATCCTGGAGGATTTTATTCACTGTTCTAACATTGTTGGATAAGAATTTGACACCAGTTTGTTTCATTCTGTTATCACGTTTATGGTGCTACTTCAGAAATTTTGAGAGTAGTCTCAAATATGTTACAGCATCTACACTATTGCCGCCTGACTATCTTGTGTAACTTTTTACGCTACTACCTAACATTGCACAAGATTGTCAGTTTAATCACCAATTAATCTATGTTTTAAACGACGTTATTTTTATTTTGTAACTGACATCAGCTAGGATGACTTACCTTATAATTTTCTATGGTTTTCGTTGTGATTAATTAGTGATTCTTAGTGAAATATTTTTGCCAAGATACTGAATCAATAAAGTATTTTGATTAGTATACGATAACCATTTTGCTTGTTTCTCGTAAGTACCTACTATCCAAACACCGAGCAATTAGGTCTATTCTAAGGGTTTATAAATATCTGTTATCAAGCAGATGTAAAGGGCGGTACGTATTGTCTACAACATAAACTAGATTAACTGGCGAATTAGAATTCCTACAAACAAATATCCAAATGGCTCTAACCATGCTAACTACTTTTATTTCATGTAACCCGAAGTTTACATTGGGTTACTGTAAGTCAATCAACGTTCTGTTTATAGGTATCCAACATTTGCAAGGTTACAAATTTTTAGGAAATGTGGTTAATAATATATGTTGAAACTTACAGGTAAATCTTGATGTACTTTATTGTTTTGAGAAGATATCCATAAATCCCAATCTTAAGTTCATATTTTATCATTCTCTTTAATCTAATCTGTTATTATTTTAATTGTAATTAAAATGTTCTAGATTATTTCCTTTATACTATTTAAACTCGCGTTAATTTATCTCGGTTATTTATTTACGCTGTAGAAGTGACTTACATCAAGTTACAAAACGCCAGAAATACAGTTTTTCTACTCATCGGAACAGCAAAAATATGTTTATTAACTTTCTACCCAACGCTTAATTTATTTGAAATTATCAAGTCGAACTTCGGCACTGATACATATTAATATAAGATTATTGTGTGTAGCAATGGTAGCATTGTCATTGAGTAAATAAATATTTCCGATTCCCAAACATCGCACAGGTTAAGACGTTTTTCATGCAGTTGGTTTCCTTTATGAATTTAAATAGAGCAAGAACAAACATTGATGCAGAATAGTACGAATTCATATTATTTCGAGGTTTCTCGTCAGCTGCTTACAAACCAAAAATGTGATAGAATTTTTACATTGAGATAGTGTGAAACAATTGACATAAATGAGTGTAAATAACTGGATTACAATAATAACTATATATATATATATATATATATATATATATATATATGCTAGAACAGGTTAGCGGTTACGTAATAATAATTAAATAGAATTTGAAAAGTTAAGATAATTTAAGAGGATCAGATGGTGGGAATGTGTGAACAATAATGTGGGTTAAGAGGGGAGGAGTATAAATATTTTAAAATAAATAAATGAATAAAATAACATAAATAACCAAAACACAAAAAAGGATTACCAGGGTAGTGATAAGTTTATTAAAGTCTCTTTTTCAGTGCATAAGTCCGGTTTAAGTTTTTTGATCGCAATGGCTTCAGCGAAACGGAGGGTGGTCGTACTTCTTTGTCTGTTGATAATTTTGAAAGCGTGCGGAGTGTCGACGGTGTGCTCGGTGTCAAGTAAATGCCGAGCTATTGCGCTGTTGAAAGCCTTAGTCCTTCGCAGTCTCAAGTTTTTCATGAACATGTTCAGAAATGTGGACATGCACTCTTCTCTCAGTTCTCCCAATGTATGTGCTTTGGCACGTACATATGAATTGGTAAATGCAGTTGGAGCTCCAACTACATTTACCAATTCACATCTCAATGTAAAAATTCTATCACATTTTTGGTTTGTAAGCAGCTGACGAGGAACCTCGAAATAATATGAATTCATACTATTCTGCACCAATATTTGTTCTTGCTTTATTTAAGACGTTTTTGTTTTGAGCATTTTCTAGTCAAAGTTTTTAATCGTTGAATGTATATCTATTGTTTTAATCATATCTTATAGATCTCTTATATTTACTGTCGTAACCGTTCACGCCAGCGTTCCGCTCTTGGTTCATGGTTGGAAGATCTTCCAAATTTGCTTGACGAGTGTGCAAACGCCGAGTTTGTCATTGGTGTTGAACTTAGAAATAAACTGGCAAATAAAACAACTGAGTGTTTTGAATCTGTAGGAAAATTTGAAGTTTTATCGACGCAAAAGGCTGTTGTACCTGTTCAAATCAATCTGTCTTGTTTTGTAACTTATGTGTATTATTACTTAGCATGGGATTATATTGTCTCTGGGTTTCAACTAGACTTGTATTCTCCAAGTGAATGGTTGTCTATTTACGCTTTTATGATACACTTATTCCAGAATTTAGCTTCTTTGCTCAGGAGTTTATCGGAAAACTGCATCGTTTCAGGATCTGAAGGACAACCTACTTTAGAAAATGAATCCGCTGATAGTAAAGGTCTAAATAAACAAGTTGATAAGTGTGATTCTGTGAATGATGTTGAGAGGCTTGTCAATCGTCAAAGTAAAAAGAAGAAGAAACATCGAGAAAAATGCAATGTATCTGGTGTACATAGTAAGGGCATAGAAATGTCGAATACCACGAATTTTAACAGCGTTGTTAAACCAATTTCACCTATGATACATGAAATAGGTTCGACTTTTGAGGTAAGACATTTTATCGTTAATCTACTTTAGTCACCTGTTTAGTTCTCAGGAGACTTTAGTGTTCAAACTGCTTTTGATTTGAACGTTTCACGTGTAAATTGTTTGATTCATTAATAGTAGTATTACAATACTTTTGAGATATACGATTCTAACTGACTATAACAACTTTAGTAAAGCGATCCATGCGTTCATACAGTAATTGAAGGAATGTTATTATCTGCATGTCATTCTTAATTGTGAAGTATCAAAGTAATGTGTGCTTAATATTTGCTGAATACCTTTGGGGTTAAATCATTGAATTAGTCATAAATTCGGTAAATATTCCTTAATGGTTGACCAAATTTTCTTTACACACTTAAATTAATTTAATTTTTGAGTATAGTTATACTTTCGCATTCATCTGACGTGGATTTTTAAACTAATATTTTTTTAATGATTTGTTTTTGAGTTAAATTTATTCGGTATGTTACTAATGTTCAAAAAAGTAACTTTTGTAATATTTGTGACGTCGGTTGTCTAGTTTAGTATCTGTTAGCTAATACACTTAGTTTATCCCTAAAAGTTAAAATGAATACTATCAATATAAGTGACCTCGATGACCACTATGAGTGTAGTAGTCAACAAGTGGATCCCTAATTATCATTTTAAAAATATATCAAAAATTATGAACCCATCCCGAAAACCTAACAGAAACTGACCTTGCATCAAGAATGTCTCATAGATCACAAATGGACCAGTGAACAGTTCATGATGAGCTGTTTTCTGAGGCAAATTAGTGATAGCTAAAGCACCGAATTTTGAACCATTAGGTTGTAGATCAGAACACCAGTCCATCTATTTTAATTAAGGCAGCCAATTTGTATCACTCATCTTCATTCAAGAAAGCGTGTATAATGACTTTTTAGTTCAAAAAGATCCCTTCAAAATCTTTTGATATTTTTGCCATTTATCCATCATCTGAAACCATCTTTGTTTTTCTTTTGTCATATTTAAAATACACGAAAGTCGTTAAACAAAGTTGTTTTTAGATAAAATCACCATCAATTTATACCTTTGTATACGTATTACAAGGCTTAATTCTGTGAGGAAATGTGTACGGTGAATAATTATGATTGCATAATAATAAGTATTATATTAGACCAGATAGCGTAAACATTGCGTAATTTGCATTACGTGAATAAGCACTTTTTAACGTATGCTTCCTTTTTCTTTTTCCGGTTTGTCTAATAGACTTTTTGGTAATTATGATACCTATTGCAACTCCAGTGGTTATTTTGTAAATTTTCGGAATCAGTCTGTTACATTTGATGGGATGGTTGTGTAAACCGTAAGATCTTGATAAGTGATTACAACATATCCATTTTGTTTTCTGCGAGGAATCTGGTTGAAAAGTAAGCTTTTAATCAAGTTCTAGTAAATCAGTCCCTTTGTATACTTACAGCAAACGAATTTGAATATTCAGAATTTGAAATTATTTTCATATACAAACACAATTCTTTCATTTGCCGACTTTTGTGTAAAAGCAAATAGATTCACGGTTTAATTGCTGTTATGACAACTAAAACTTCCGTATGGCTTTGAATGTCCTGTCTCATTAGAAAGTGTTTTTTTTCTTTGTTCTTAGTAAGGTAGAGTGATCCTTTAAATGGTAGTATTTTGTTTAATAAAGGCTTCTTTACTTATGTAAATCTAATGTTCTCTATTTTCATCCTAAATATTTTTCCAGGTTCACTTGCTCAATGTACATCAATACTTGAATACTGCAACCCTGTATGTTATACGTGCGCTTCAGAGAGATAGTGGGATAGAAATAAATGTGAATTGTCTAAGTCCGGATCCTAATTCTGACGGGCAACTACGTTTATTTATTAGTCGAAATTATCTGGAACCTTATGCCAGAAGGCTTGGAATTTTTCTCATTCCTCATAATTCACCTCTAGCTGAAATGGGAGGTGTTTCAGGGGCTTATGAAACATGGAGATCATTAGTAAGTAGTAGCATTATTGATGGTCGTTCAACAAGTGATCTTTATCTGATGGCAGCAAGAGCGTTTGATGAAGCTCATAATTTAATTCAGAAAACTCTGTATTTGAAGTCAGTAGGTGAAGAAAAGTTACTTAAGTTTACACAGTCTCCTATTGTTCTACCCCTGTTCACTGAAAAGTTAGGGCCTCCTGACCAACTCATCGATCTTCAACAATTAGCGAGACGTAATTCCATTGCTTGCCGTGTACTTGGTGTATGTGAAGATCGACGGCCAATTGTACATACAGCCAATCCGTCCACAATAAATCCTAAAATGTCTTTTTTATGTTCGTCTAGTCCAGTTAAATTGGACTACAATTTTTTAGAAAGCAAGTGTTATCCGCTTATTCGTCTAGCTAGTCAATCTAAAAAATGTTAATAATAGTTATGTTCATCTGTGAATATCTGTTTGGATGTTATGAATTTGTTTAAAGACTGGATGTTAAAATGATGTTTCTAATTAATTCTTTCTTTTAATGTAATATTTTTTAGCAGATGCATGTATTTTGTATACGGACTTTTTTTGGAACTTAGATCTTTTTCGTTCTTGTATAAATTAATCAAATATCCTCCTATCCTCCTGTATATCAGTGTCCTCGTACTTGTTGTAATATATGAATTCTAAGCAAATGATTATGTACATAAATCGAAAAATAATGAACATATTTATTGGAGATATCATATTTATCTTTAAATTCATGATAGTTTAATGTATTAAATATTTTTTTTTAGATAAATAAACTGCCTACAGTTTTAAGTCACGTAAAGACGTCAAATAATAGACGAATTTCAATCAAGACACTAGTTCTAAATATAAGCTAAGAATTATAACCGTCTTGTGGATTTTAGTTATCAAGATGAAATATTAGCACATATCGTTTTAAGTAAAAACAGTTGTTGATTTAAGTTGGTATGTAACTAGTGAATTAAGTATTAAAAGAATAGAATTTCTTGCCACTAGTCATTTTTAAAAAATTAATAATGGTAATATATGCTCTTTGGTGGTCTATGTTTATTGAACGTTAGTATTAAAATAACTTTCCAACGTGAACATTCATTTATCTTCGTTGCTCTTAGTTAATATATCAGAAATAGGATATGCGAAATCAAACAATCTACATAAAAATTTACAAAAGATTTTTTTACATTACATACCATAAAGATTGAAAGGAAAGGAAATTAGAACAGTAGAAAAAAGTGAATGAAACTAACGTATTGTCCACCATTTTCAAGCTTATTATCCAGCTTAAGGCATAATTAATGTTGTTCTTGAGCCGATTGGAGCACGACTTAAAGCATTTTTCGATGTTTGTCCACTGACAAGTTTTTCGCTATAATAAATGAAGAAAATAGATTTGTGTTACTGAATCATTAAGTTTTATTAATTGATTACTTTGAAGTCACAATTCAAAACTGAGCTACAATGTTATTGCCCTTCAAAATGTATATTGCGTAGGTTCTATAGTTTTGCTTCAAAATCAGTCATTAAAAACTGATTTGATTGGCGCTTAGCATCCAAGTTGTTTGGTATTGGATTCTTAGAGGACATTCTCATGTTGCTAGTATATAATCATGAATGCCTTCGAGGTATCACTCAAGTATGCTTGCATTAATACTGAGTTCATGCATAGGATACGAGGCCAATCTGTTGATGAAGTTAAATATCTTCGTTGACTTAGGTGGTTGGAACTTGTATGATGCTTGCTAGTGCAAGAGTAGGTTGGAGAAAACCTAGGGGCGGCCATGTAAGTACGTGGATAATACTTGATCGGGGTCTGCGCGAATATCGCGATCAATAGTTTAAAGTCACGGGTGATTTGTAATGGCGCATATGCACTTATTCTTTGTCTTCTTTAAGATCCAGAGTTTCTAAACTATTTTACACCGTTTATTCCAGAAACACATTTTTTCGCATCATGTCTTCTATGTTGAATGCTTCTTATCATCACTGACAATATTACTACTACTCTGCCATTTTGTGTGGCTTGGCAACTTAAACTAATATCGACCGTTGCTGCTACCTTGACATGGTGGTTAGGCTTTCCCATCGTAATCAACCGATCGAGCTATACTGGATGGAACAATCGTTGCTTGAGGCCCTACTATGCCAGACAGGTCGGTTGAAAAGCGGTAAGACTAAAAGGAGCAGTTCCAAGGTCTGAGGGCGAAGTCGTACTGCTAACTGTACAGAGGTATAATGGCAGTAAGATGTTTCCTTCAGGCAACCAGCATAACAGCGATGCTGCTTCCCCACAAGGAAGGGTGGTGTTAGAAAAGGTCGACCCTAAAAATACACACCTCGCCTTATCCCACGGAGTTCCGTCTCCGGCAGTAAGGTCCCAACAAGTGCGGGGCTAACACGAAAATTACCCACAAATAGGTCCTATGTGACCGGCCTCAAGCAGGTGTCACTTGGGAACTCAGGTCACTAAGAACTCCTCTAACCCGATTTCCTTTTCAGGTACCTCTAGAACAACAACATCATAACTCTAACAGCAATCAAGATTACTGTATTCATAATCAATCTCCCTTTTCAATTCCTATTATTCCTCCTACATCAACTTTCAACTCCCTCCTTAAATGTCACCATGGCCAACGATTATAGTGCACGAAACACTGTCCCAGGTCTACTGAACGCTCGCTCCGAACTACACTTTGGAGCCTTCAACGTACACACTATGTTGAATCAGCCAGCTGGCCTCCTTGGCTAAAACCCTAGAATCTCGTACCATTGATGTATGTTGTCTCCGGAACACACATACAAGATCCTAGCATGGTCATACAGCTGAGCTCACCTCGGCAAAACGGAGAGCTGATGAGATGCACTCTTCGTGTATCTGGCGACCCGATGGCCAGTTCTCGTGAACTGGCAAGTGTAGGCATAGTACCAAGTACGAGGGCAGAACAAGTACTATTGGAATGGATCCGTGTTAACAGTTGACTATGTGCTGTTCGGCTAAACGGCTCCGTAAAACCTCGGAAGCAGAGGAACGCACGTCGTTGCCCGTTCGTCGTTTCTGCCTACGCTCATACTGACTGCAGCCCAGTGAAGTGAAAGATGAATTTTACAGTAAGCTTTCTGAACTTCAAGAAGCTAGACTCAGATATACTGCTCGTAGCAGGTAACTTTAATGCTCATGTAGGTAGCTTAAACCAAGCAGGAAGACATTTACGTGAATATTTTAGTATTCCTGCTCACCGAACAGATAATGGTGAACGTCTGCTGCAACTGTGTTCAAACAATCGTTTATCTTTAGCAAGCACTAATTTTAAGCATGAGAGGCATCGCCTAACATGACGACCCCCTGCACCAGAGTAAAATGGACTCGAATAGACCATATTGCCATCAGTCATCGTTGGAGGGGCTCGATAGGAGACTGCCGATCGTTATGGACTGCATGCTTATACTCTGATCATGTTCTAATACGAGCACGCATTTGCCTGCACCTGACTGGATGCAGAAAAACCACACTAAGAAGATCCATTGGAGTTGAACTAAGTGGCGAGAAAGCCGAAACTAGATTCCAGGAACAACTGGCGTCACACTTAGGTAGTTCTGAGAACCCAGATGTTGCTAGGAAAAATATACAAACAGCAGAGACATTTATTGATCATTTGAATTGAGGGGTTACGAAAAACCAATGGATTTCTTCTAAGTTTATTGCACTAATGGATTCTCGTAGTCATCTCATCAGACTGTGAACACGATGGAGAACGAAAAACAAATCAGATCTAGGTCAACCAAAAGTCTAAGGAGCAACCGTGAGCAGTGGTGCGCAACGAAAGCAAATGAAATGAAAAAGGCAATGTCTGTTGGTAACACAAAGCTTTTCAGACTAATAAAAGAAAATGTAATTATGTAGTCAAGTGTAAGTAAGACTATCTCGGGAAAAGACGACACTTATCTGCCCTCAGTCCAGACGTATGGAATGGTGGGCGGAAAATTTTAAGGAGCAGTTCAGGTGGCCTTCAGCTACTCTACAACTACCTATCATTCCCAAACACCCAAAATGGAGCATTGAAGTAGGTCCTCCGACTCTAGCTGTAGTTTAAAAGGCTATAGTTAATCTGAAACGAGGAAGAGCATCTGGTCCAAATGGATTGGCTTCAGAGGTCTTTAAGGAAGGTGATCCAATTTTATAGATTAGGTTGACTAATATTTTAGCTAAGATCTGGGAGTTAGACGTTATCCCATCTAACTGGTCACAATCACTTATCGTCCCAATATATAAGAAAGGGTCAAAATCATCCTGTGACAGCCACAGAGGGATTAGTTTAACTAATATAATATCTAAAATACTAGCTTCGATAATTATCGGGCGGCTAACAAAGTCTCGTGAACCACAAATACGAGAACACCGGTTTGGCCTCAGACCTGGTCGTGGCTGCATCGACCACATATTCACTACTCGTCAGATTTTCGAACACAGGCATGCTTATCGGCGTCTGACAGTAGTGGTCTTTCTTGCCTTAAAAGGAGCATTTGACTCTGTAGACCGAGAGGTTCTGTGGCAGTGTTTATCGCTGAAAGGTGGATGTCAGAGGTAAATAAACCTTGCGAAATCTCTTTACCCGAACACTACTAGTCGGGTCAGGGCTTAAGGCGAACTGTCGTTTGCTTTTGCAACGTTAAGTGGTGTCCGTCTAGGCTGTCCACTATCTCTATTTTTGTTCAACTTCATCATAGACCTACTGATGGAAATAACGCTCTCATCGACTGAATTTCCAGGCATTGATCTACGGGGAGATACACTTATCGGCTTAGAATACACAGATAATGTAATCCTGTTTGGTGAAGACGCTGATATAATGCAGAGTCTTTTGGTAGCACTGAGCAACAATGCCAGAATGTTCGGGATGCGCTTCTCCCCTTCTAAATGCAAGTTGTTGCTCCAGGACTGGCCTGCGTCAATACCTGGACTAAGGATAGGGAGTGAAGTAATCGAACGTGTCGACAACTTCGCTTAGCCTGGAAGTCTGATGGGCGGCTGTCTGACGAAACCTCTGCACGGATTCAGAAAGTTCGTTTGGCTTTTGCCAACTTCCGTCACCTATGGCGAAGGTGACATATCCGTCTGGCAATTAAGGGACGAGTATACTGCGCAGCAGTTCTTTTTGTTGTTTAGGGCTGCGAAACGTGGCCACCAAGAGTCGAAGATAATCGTAAGCCACTAGTATCTGATCACAGATGTATTAGAGATATTGCTCGCATCTGCTGGATTACCGGGTAAGTAATAGTGAGGTTAGACGTAAGGCATTAGGGAATGATGGTAAATCAGTTTGTGAGGTTGTGAATATTCAGGGACAGAGATGGTAGGGCCGCGTGTTACGTATGCCTGAACATCGATTATCACGACGTGCAATGCTGACTAGTGTTGGAGACGGTTGGAAGGAAGTTATGGGTGGCTAAACCAACGTGTGGCATCAGTCTTTCAAGTCACTAACTCGTGGCATGAGCCGTGTTAGTAGATTCAGACCACTTGGTTGAGGTCCGCGCGACTATCGTAACTAATGTTTGGAGATTCTTGGTGACATGGCTCAGAATCGATCACAATGGCATAGGTGTAAACAATCTTTGTTTTGCCTTAAACCCTGAGATTAAAATCGCTTTATACCTTTCCTTCTACGAACTAGTTCTTTCTCCCTGTGTCATTTCTGTAAATGAAATGATTTTTTACTATCATTGAAGTAACTGCTACGAATGTGGTGTTCGTCTTGTCGTGCTTACGAGGTGTGGCATCTTGGTCCGATGCATATATGTGCCTGGTCTTACATTGTAACTGGATGACTGACTTAAACTAATGCACATATGTGTCAGGTTCCACGCGGCTTATAATTGACTGATGGAAATATTTGGAATTATACAGTGAAATGTATTATTCAGTTGGTATAAATTTACTTAGAAGCTAACATAGAAATACCCATAAAATGCCCATCAACTTAGTGAAAATCTATCTACCGAATATAATAAAATAAACAATTATTGACTACGTCCATATACTTCAGTGTGGAAGAGCAGAAGTAACAAAATTATTGTTTATTATAGATCATGATAACTTCACTACGATAGAGAGCTATTATTCTTGGTAATTATTATAATCGAGTATAGTTACGTTCATGGTACCTATCTTAGATTCGAAGTGTAGTTAATGCAAGGAAGAGGTAAGTGGATTTCACGAGTGATAACACTCTTTTATTGACAGAGTATTCGTTTTGTAGGCTATTGTAATGCATGGTAGTTTTGTTTCTAGTAACAAAAAAAGTTTGTGCATTCATTTGAACTTTAGTTTTGTTCATGAACCTATTCTGACCATTCTAATCTCGTGGCATAAATACTTATATTTTATAGTGTAACACAGCTGTCGAATATAGTCATAAACAATTTTATTGACATTCACCTTCAGTTTTTTTCAAAAAATTACTCCGACACCATGTGCAATAAAAGTATAATTCAATAAACTTACTCTCCATCTGTCACTCGTTGGTCAACAGTGGTTACAGCTACTGTAGATGGACTAGCTGCTTTATACTGCAAAACAGAAAAAAAAGTGATTGTTTTCATGACAGATTATAATATAAAAACAAGATATATTTAGAGATCGTCATTTAATCTACGTAACGTTTCGCAAAATATTTGAAATCAGAATTTAGATATGATTGACACTCAGATTTCGCAGTAGTAACATTTTCCGTGAAACAGTCACTAAGAAAGTTTACTCAGAGATCACCGTTTTCTTAGTCAATTTTTAAATAAATACAGTCATAAGTTTTCGAGATATGATCAGCATTAACCAGAGGAATAATGCGATGAAACATCTGAATCAATCACAGAACACAAGATCCTCACGGATGTGAAATATAAGTTATGGTTAAAAATACAAAGTCTCATGACCGAGTGGGGGATCTTACTTGAAATATTAGTTTTTTTATGGATGCTAATTTTTTGTTAACTATGTCATACTTACTTCTTGGAATTCTGATGAACTAACGTCAGATTAATTTTACAAGTTTCGTTCCCACAAAAATGGGCTTAAAAAAATTGAACAATTGTATTACATTTAAAATTTATAAGCTAATGAACTTTTCGTCTTAATTATTTAGCCTAGTGAATATTCGTGGACACTAGATTCCATCATCTTAGTGAATTTGATGTTATCAGATGTACTGTTGACGTTTTTAAAAAGTTTTTCGAATCCATTTTTTTTTTATAATGACAAAAGTGTCATCTACCTACCTAGACCAGGAGATAAGATCTGTTGACTACAAATGACCTTTTCTGGACTGTTTGATTGGAAGAAAACGTAATGATCGTTTAAAAATGATAATACTTTGAAAACCAACATATTCTGCGAGACATCTACATCACCCGTCAGCACATTCTCATTCCAGCAAAGTGACACTGACCAAGAATTTGATAAACAGAGTTCAAAAACTCATCACTAAACCAGATGACAAAGAAACTGAAATGAATTTAGTCGTGTCCACTTTGGTGATAGAGGCAAAATTCGACTCACACTTCCGCGTCGTGCCTCCTGGATAGTGAGACGAATGTCTCATGAACCAACGTGAGCGGTAACCCGGGTGGTGGAGATCGGGCTAATCACCCACTCAACCTATACCCACAACCTGATTACGAAAACTACAAAGAATCATTGCACAATTATTAGTGGTCCAAAAAAAAGACAAAAAAATTCACAAAAACTAAAACTTGGTTTATGGAATGTCCGGGGTTGCTCTCAAGAGGGTAAGCTCCAACTGATTGCAGAACAAATTATCGAACGTAAGTACCACATAGCAGTGATTACGGAAACTAGGATGGTCTTCAAAACCATCAAAATTGATAAAAACACCACTTTCCTCAACTCTAATCATGACATAAATGACTACCGGAACACTGGTGTCGGCTTCATCATTAATAACCAGTCAATGATTACTGCCACCAACTTCAAGGAGATAGATGGTAGAATAGCTACCATTAAAATACATAGCAAAATCACTAACCAGACTATCGACCTCATTGGTTGTTATGCCCCAACTGAGTCTTCTAATGATGATATCAGTAAAGAAAACTTCTATCTTAAACTGGACAGCACAATTAAGAAACTTAAACTAAATAAACTTCTCATAATCATATTAGGTGACTTCAACTGTAGGCTAGGCCTGGACCTTCACGCTTACTACCCTAGTATCATAGGGAAAGCTATCAAGCTTGAACCAGAAACATCAACAAATGGCATGAGACTAATAAACTTATGCGAAACATTAAGTCTGCGAGTAATGATTACCTTCATTACTAAACCAGCTCATAAGACTTCCACCTGGGTGCACCCCAAGACCCAAACGGAACATATGATAGACCTAGTGTTAATAGAAAATAATTCTAAGTTAATGGTCTGTGACATACACAACAGTCGATCTATGGAGGCTAACTCTGATCACTACATGGTCACAGCCATACTTAAGCTAAAGTACTTAAATAATAAACAGTCCCCAAACACTAATAAGAGACCCAGACGAAGACAACGTAAGGCGATACACGCCTAGACGTCGGATTATCCAAGTATATTAGATAACTTACTTTAAAATGAATATAGTCTAAGTCAGATAGAAAGAGCAATCATACAAGCAGCTAACAAAGCTGCAATCCCACATAAGTCGGCCACTAAAAGATGGCAACACAGCATAAGTGATCTCTTAAAGCAAGAGATAAAACATAGAAAACAGCTAAGATTAGCTTGGGTAAACAACCCCACAGCCCTTAATAAAAACCTCTATACTCAAGCCAGTAAGATTGTAAACAATAAGATTAAGTTAGCAAAAGACCAATATATCAAAGATAGAATGGATGAGATGAACTCTTACTTCAAGAAACATGACTTACACTTAGCATATAAAATGCTGGATGATATATTGGCTACTATTCGAAACCAATCCTATAGAACTAAAAGAACAAACCAAGTTAAAGATAGTGATCTTCAGCATCACTATCAGAACCTATTTAGTGCTAAGTCGAAACTAAACACTACTCATCCATCCATAGGGATTACCCATGATCCTGAACTTACTCTAGAAGAAATAAAAGAAGGCTTAAAAAACATGAAAAACCAAACTACTCCTGGTAATAATGGCATCACTACTGAAATGATAAAGCATGGGGGAAGCAAACTCACTAAATATAATGAATAAAATGTGGAAAAATCCGTGCACAATGCCAGACCACTGGCTAGATGCAGACGTGATAAGCATATACAAAAACAAAGGATCAAGATCAGACCCTAATAACTATAGAAGTATGTTCCTGCTAGGCACAATAGGAAAACTATTTGCAGGCATAGTCTGCAATAGACTGGTACAACTAACTGATAGATACCTCCCCATTACTCAATTTGGATTTAGGAAAGACTTAGCAACAACCCATGCCATAACGACATTAAGACACATCATTCAAACTACTTTAGATACAAACCGTACTATAGTTCTAACTTTCGTGGATTTAACTAAGGCTTTTGACACTATACCTAAACAATTAATCCTAGACACACTAAATAAATTATGCCCCTCAAAAAATATAAACTACTGCATAGCTAAACTAATAGATAAACCTAAGGGCTATCCAAGAAACACAAAACTAAACTTTACAATGCACAGGGGGGTTAGACAGGGTAGTAAAGAAGGTCCAGCCATCTTCAACCTAGTCTTTCAAAGTATTTTAAAACATACAATAGATAAAACCTTAAAAAGAATCACCCTAAAAGATCAGCATAATAGGAATTGGACAACTAAACACTTAGAATATGCTGATGACTTATGTCTCATCACCAATACCACGGAAGAGGCTACCAACGCCTTAAGCCATTTACAAAAATACTTAACTAACATTGGTATGGAGATATCAATCTCCAAAACCAAAGTCAAGATTATAAATAAAAAGGACAACATAGCAGCTGTCAAAATAGACAATAAGGAGATAGAGGAAGTAGAAACCTTCCACTATCTTGGCTCCACCATAAATAACAAAGGAACCCCCGACAGCGCTATAGCTCATAACATAGAAAAGGCTAAATCTGCAGTAATCAAAATTAGACCAATACTTAAATGTAAAGAACTCAGCCTTGGTACTAAAATCAAACTGGTGGATTCTTCAATAATCCCCATTCTCACATATGGACTAGAATCCATAGTACTAAGGAAACAAGACTGGACTAGAATAGAAACGGTTCTAAATACAATACGGCGAATGATCTTAGGCATAAACGATAGAAAACGACTTAATGTACAACAACTTAAACTAAAAGTAAACTTACCCAATTTAGCTAATAAAATCATGCAAAATAGATTAAACTTATGGTATACGGCACATAAAAGACCAAATAACCTAATGGTGAGGTCTTTAAATAGTGAATTCGATAACCCATGCAATAATAGGAAGGCATACTAAAAACTGGCTAAGACAACTACACCAAGAGATTGAAGAAATGGGTGGACGACTACCTGAGGACTGCATATTACAGCCCAATAAGGTTAAAATCAACGCATATCAGGAATACTTCCCCAAAATAATAGGTAAACGTCAACTAGACTATAAATGCCAAAATAATGACTGCGATAGAATGTTCGCAACAGTCAAAGATATGAATAGACATTATAGAAATGATCATCAAAATAAACCCAGTAGAGTTTTACCTTACAAATGTCCCCTAAATGACTGTAATAAAACGTACAAAACTTTGGGCTGGCTTAATAAACACATTAAGTCGTGTCACCCACATCACAAATCACCAGTAAAAGAAACTAAAAATAACTAAAAATAATTCCATAAATAATGTAAATAGATGTCCATACCCTGGCTGTACTAAGTCTCCCAACTAAGAAAGGTATAATCAATCACTGCTATGTAGTACATAGATGGTCAGCAATCACCGGACAGGAAGTAAAACCAAAAACAATCTTGGGGATTTTTATAAATAGAATAATTAAGACAGAAAACCAAAACGATAAGGTGGCAGATAAACTGAAAGAAATAGTTAACACAGCAGCGGTTCTATATCATAAAGGGACTCTAGAAGAATCTTAAATCTTCAATTTTGAGGAGTAGTCTTCCGAACCAACAATACTCTAAGATCCGAACTGGTAAGAATCAAAGATTCAACACAAAAGAAAGAACAATAATATTGTGCATATGAGATTAAATGTATAATTGTAATGCTATATATGTAGATGAGACATCACGACAACTGAATGTGAGGGTGAAGGGACACAAACCTTGTTTGAAGCACATTCCTCAGTCCTCAGATGGTATAAAAAAAGTTGAAAACAAGTCAGCGATAGCATTAAACTCAATGGAGTTGCGTCATACAATTGATTTCGATGACTCAAGAATACTGTAAAAAATTCTGACACTTCAGATCCGCTTACAAATGCATGCAGTTTGTTATATTAACATACTTTTTTTACACACTAAATGTATCAAACGGACTGCATCAAATTCTTACTTTCAACATTGTTACCACAAGTATAAGGTTAACCAGAGAACCATAGTACCTATTCATATTCGTTAATTTTGATGTTTGATTATATTGCCTTGAATAAGGTTGGACCATATTGCCGAGCGACACGTTGGTTTTACTTTAAATTCAATCACTGGTATTTTAGAAATACATTTTTCTTTCATGTCTTACATTTATTCGGTACCTAACTACTATAAAACTATTCATTCAAATGTAGACGAAGGTTCTTAAATGTAAATGCGATTAGTTCCAACTTCAGGTAAAATAATCATTCAATTCTGTCTCATCACCAGTACATTTTTTACTTATGACACTTTAAGGATAGTTTTTGCCACGGACTGGTAAACAATTCATGGCAAAGGTATACTGAATAACTACTTCATTATAATCTAAGACTTGTTTGTATCCAAATCCCATCCCACACGAGACTCATTGTTTAAAGACTGCTGAATAACATTTTCAATTTGGGATGGAGCATTATGATCATCTTATCTTTTCGTTGATACATATCTCAGTCGATTTTACATAAATCTATTATTATTTACTTTAAAAGTTTTCAATTTTCGTTCTAGTAAAACTCACCTTAATGAGTTTACGTTCTTCAGAGCCAAGTCGATAGGCATCGTAGTAAAATTTCATTCCAGCACCAAAGAATAAAAATGAACACGCAATTAGTAAAGGACCAGTTAATTCACCAATATCTAATGACAAGATTATATTCATGTAAACATGCCGTAAACATGTGATAAGTAGACCGATGAATAGTACCAGTAAGAACATTATATAAAATCCAACTGCAATCCAATATAGTTTTTTTGCTCGACCAAACTTAACTGAATTTATTTCTCTTTGGACTTTACGATCATGATGTTCAGCTTGTATTGTTGTTCTACCACTCTTATATGTTGCCAGAGAAGCCTAGAATTATCCAAAAAAAGGAAAATAGGGACTATTATCATATACAACAGTCCCTGAACGAGGTTATATTTTTTTAAAGTCAGAAAGTAGAAATGTTTCAAAAAGCCTAGTTAGCAGACAACGTGCAAAAGTCATTTGTACTATTATGACAGTCCTTAAAATGAACATAAGCGATCTTTGCCTTTCCTCGGTTATGTAATTCAATGTGTCTCTTCAATTTTACCAGTCATCTCCGATTTGATTAGTTTAATAATTTAAATGTAATCGTTTATAATAGACGCTGTATTTTGGAATATTATGAAATCCAAGTTCTACAGATGTTTGACATGCATTTTTATGTGTAGTTTTACACAAGGCAAATCAATGGTTTGTTATATCATAGATGTCCATAGTTTTCAAGTGAAACTAATCCGTAGTAAAGATCGACACAACACTTTATTCAAACGACTTTTCCGTTTTTATATTGTGGAATTGGAATTTTTCAGATATGGAAAACTGATTACTTTATCAGTATGAGATCGTTTCATTCTCTACATTTATTTTTATCGGACGCGTATGAATACTAAATGTGCAAAATCAAAGCCTTTAGATGTGATTGGCTCAGAAATAATAGTCCAAATCCGTTAGATTTATGATGATATGGAAAAACGACCAGAAGGAATAAAAGAAAACAGCAAATTTGTAAGTGCAATAGAAGTCAGTGATCTCAATTCAAATCTAGAGTTTCAATGAAGAATAACTCGTCTAGTGGAGTTTCTTGGTTAAATTTTTTAACTTGATCTATATCAAATTACTAACACTCTTAAATTATGGTCACTGTGAGCTGTATTAAACCAATAGTGCCCTTACTATAATTCTAGGTTAAAACTGATTATGTGAATGCTTTGCATTTATGCCTTTCTAAGAAATGCTGTGAAATTAATATACTAGCGGTATTGTCCAAGGTTCAGCAGTTTTCTTGTTTTTCAAAACGTCAGAAACTCAGTCAATTACTACAAAAAATAGCAGAGAGCACTATGAGTAACAATATTAATGATATTTCCCTGCTGCTTAAAAAAAAACATCACTTTCAAGAGGTTAGAGTTGATGTTCGATAGTTATTACAGTCTTTCAAAAATTCTGTCTTCAGAATATGACTGTTCATTGAATGAGAGCATATACTTGTTACCATTTGTTACTAAAGCCTCAAAGGTTTCAGGTGTTTGGAGGTGGTCTATAGAAAATCGTGGAGACTTCGTATTTTATCTATTTTTGACGCCGGATAGTGGCCATCTGGACTCGGTAGGTTGATGAATAGTGCTGTAGGATCTTAAGTGGTAGATACTGTGTTTGTGTCCCGATATTTAAAAAGGACAGTGGTATTTTTCCTCGCTGAGTAAATTTGTTTGTTTTGATCGTTTATTACGTATCAAGACTACTGTTTTCACTTTAATTGAATTTATTTCAGTTAAAGTATTCGACTAGAGTATCGTTTTTACTGTTCTCTCAATTAGTTTTGTCGTTGGTACTCTTGAGTACCTCTTTTTCAACTGTATCTGTTAGTACTTTTGGTCCTAGCCATCTACAGCTCTTCACTTTTTTGGTCATTGATTATTTTTTTGTTTCTGAGTATCATCGCATCTTGAAAAAGAACCCCTTCTTAATGACCGAACAGTGTAAAAAAAGCAGTTGCCAACGTCCGGGTTGTCGTTATCCTGTTGAAAGTGGCATGCAGTGCGACGAGTGCAAAGGCTGGTACCACGAAGTTTGCACGAACTTAACGCCTGCTGCTTTCAAACGGTTCAGTTAGAAGGGTTGTGTATGGCTTTGTCAACAGTGCTGCTTGGATGCAAACAACTTGTTAACCGAGGCCATCTCACAGGTTGATGCTGCAAAGAAATGTTTTAGCAAGCATATTCGGAACGCGTCAAACAGCACTCGATCTGTCGACACGCAAATCAACGTGAAGGAAACTAAGGTTAGTTCGATGATAGATGACTCACGCCCGTCAAAGAAGGAAAAGTAGTCTCCAAAGGGGCCTGCCTTAAACAAAAGCTCAAGAAAAGTAGGGTCTTCTGTTCCCCGTCTCCCAGATGGGGTCCACCTAGAAGCCGCAATCGCAAGGCTTGATCGGTTTCAAGCGGTAAACATAACCCGACCTCTCAGGTCGTCGACAAGCCCCCAAAATCCAACACTAGGTTTGACGCAACTGTTATTGCTTCGACCAGCTCAGTTGACGAATGGGTACAGGTTGTAAGGAAGAAAAGTAGGGATATAAAAGGGAACCCTGCCCCCGCAAAAGTGGTTGAAAAATCGAAAGCTGATCATAGCGACAGATCAGTTATTTTTCATAGAATCAAGCAGAGCGAGAGCTCTGAACCTAAAGCTCGTTTTGAGCATGACATTGTACTGATTAAGCAGCTGCTTAATCAACTCATACCTCAAAATATGACCGGGGTCACCTTGCTAACGGTATACAGACTAGGGAGTCTAGCGGACTCGAAACCAAATCATTCCAGACTGCTTAAAGTAGTATTCAGCCCTTCGAACGAACGTGACCTAATTTTACAGAATGGACACAAATTAAAGGGTTCAGGAGTCTTTATCCGGAAGGACCTACCGTTGGCAGACCGTGTTTAAAGACGGGAAGCTGAGAAAGAACTACAACTTAGGTTAGACGCTGGCGAAAAGGACCTGAAAATTGTAAATTTTCGGGTTGTAAGACTTCAACAGCCACTCTGGGTGAAGCACGAAGGCACTTAAACAGGCTTCGGATCTGTTACACCAATGCACGAAGCTTACTTAATAAGCGATCGGAACTAGGTGTACAGATTGACTCTACAAAGCCAAACATAATCGCAGTCATAGAAACCTGGCTGACACAGGCTATAGATAGTATGGAACTTGATTTCGAGGGTTTTACGTTAGTAAGGGCCGACAGAACACAAAAGCACAAAGGAGGGAGAGTAGCTCTATTCATTAGGACTGCTATCCCATTTGCCATTATCGATGGTGTATCCCATGAGAGTGGGACGTGTGAATTAGTTAGTCTTCGCCTAAAATGCAAGGGACAAGAGCTGATGATTGGTTTGGTCTATCGCAGTCCAAGCTGTGAGGCAAATGAGATCCTGTTAAGCAGTCTCAATATTTGGTCCCAAAGTGGTCGATGTCTAATCCTAGGGAACTTCAATGCACCTATGGTAGACTGGGAAAATCTGCGAACTAAATCGTCAGAAAATTCCTTCGAGCAGGAACTGGTTGATGGGGTTATCACATGTGCTCTAGTGCAACATGTGAAAGATGCGACAAGGTACGATCCGGACACTGAATCATCCTTATTAGATCTTATACTGACTCACTATGAGGATGATGTTGCGAACCTCCATCATATGCCACCCCTAGGTAAAAGTGATCACGCAGTTTTAACCTTCGACTTCCATATAACTGCCAGTCACGAGCACGCGTCAGTCCAGTCCAGACCCAACGTCTGGAAAGCAAACATACCAGACATCATGCACTCAGCATCGTTAATAGATTGGACAATAGACCCAGAGTCCTCCATTGAAACGGCCTGGGACGCATTTCGAAATTCATACTTAAAAGTCACCACACCTCACATCCCTTGGACTATACGAAAGGGGCCGAAAAACTCACCACCATGGTTCAGTAGGGAGGTCCGTATCCTTGTCCGTAAGAAAAGGGAAATGTGGGATAGATTTAGGTTACTGGGGACTGATGAGTCAAAATCTCAGTATCGAAAGGCTCGGAATACTTGTGCCTCGACCCTCCGTAAGTCTAGAAAACTGTACGAAGGAAAACTTGTTAAGGAATCCATAGAATGTCCTAAACGCCTGTATTCCTATATAAACCAAAGGACAAGGAGAAAAGGAAATATTCCTGCTCTATGGGGAGACAGCACTGCTTCATCATTAGTGGAGGACGACTTTGGTAAGGCTCAAGTGTTCTCGAACTACTTTAGCAACGTATATACCATAGAAGCGCCTTTCACGTCAGCGTATACAGATCCCCCCATACATGCACTGGATAGCGTGACCATTAAAGAACTCGATGTCTTTGGTCTGCTAAATAAGCTTGACATAGGTAAATCCACGGGGCTCGATGAATTACATCCTAGGCTACTGAAGGAATTATCTAACTTCGTTGCAAGCCCTTTAAGTACATGCTTTAACCTATCCGTTACGCAGGGTCGTTTACCAAAAGACTGGAAAAACGCCATAGTAAGTCCTGTCTTCAAAACAGGTACGAAACACAAACCTGAAAACTACCGCCGCGTTAGCCTAACTAGTGTGGTTGTTAAAATCTTAGAAAAGATTATTCGGAAGGAGCTGTTTAAGTATCTCGATAAAAACCGGATCCTCTTGGAGAAGCAGAACGGCTTCAGAATAGGTTATTCTTGTCTCACTAACTTATTAGTGGCTCGTGAAAGCTTGTGCGCTCTTAAGGACCAAAAGCTACCTGTAGACTTCGCCTTCATTGATTTCAGTAAAGCTTTTGACAAAGTTCCGCACAACCGGCTGTTATATAAGTTAAGAAAAGTCGGGATTGGAGGCAATTTATTGATGTGAATAAAGGACTTCTTAATTAAGCGTCAACAAAGAGTTCGGGTGAACTCAAAGTTATCTAGCTGGGAAACTGTGCTTGGTGGAGTGCCCCAGGGTACAGTTTTGGGGCCAGTGCTATTCCTCTTGTATGTAAATGACCTTCCTTGTCTCCTATCATCATCGGTCTTGTTATATGCTGACGATGTCAAGATATGGAGAACGATGCGATGTAAGAGTGATAGCTTAGAACTTCAAAATGACCTGGAGAAGTTATCTGAATGGTCTCAAACATGGCAGTTGCCGATAAATACTTCCAAGTGTGTTGTGATGCATATCGGTCATCAAGGCACAGATACATACACGATGAATAACACTGAGCTACCTGTCGTCCAGACATATAATGACTTAAGAGTTATCGTTAGTCAAGACTTAAAGACTACTGCACACTGCCGTGCAATAGCCGCCAAAGGTTTTAGAACCTTATGGTCAATACGTAGAGCTTTTAGTCATGTCGACGCTAAAACGTTTTTGACTTTGTATACAGTGTTCGTTCGTCCTAAACTTAAGTACTGCATACAAGCGGGTAGCCCCTGCTTAAAAAATGCAGTGAAATTCTGGAAAAAGTTCAGAGAACGGCGACTAAGCTGATTCCCGGAATAGCGAAGCTTCCGTATGAAGTTCGACTGGCCAAGTTGAACCTTTTCCCGTTGTCATATAGCAGAACTAGAGGCGAATTAATTACAGTCTACAAATTGCTTAGTGATAAATTTGCACCTAATATGCCCTCATTTTTCTTGCCTTCCAAAACAGAGAATTTACGAGGACACTCCAAAAAAGTTCATAAGCCGAGAACAAATTACTTGTCAGCTGACTATCGACTTTCCCCATCGAATCATCAACGAGTGAAATTCACTACCTCAGCACGTGATTGAGGCTCCATCCGTCGACTCTTTCAAAAGAAAGTTGGATCAACTGAGAGACCACCATTGCCAGGATTAACATAGGCAATCGAGCCTCCTGTCCTTCTCAAACTGAAACTGAAATTGATATGGGTATGACCGTTAGAATCCAGATACTTCCAGGTAACAGCACGAAACATACAGTCTAGACTCCACTACTAGCCATCACACAAAACTACTAACCCCTTGGTATATGTTCTGCCTGACGTAGGGATGACAAGAAACATGATACCAAATGGTCCGTGTTTGATTAAAAGAGACTGATAAGTTACTTGTTAGAATGAAACTATCTATTTATAAACATATTTATAGTGAAATCAAAGGCTATAACTTTAATGCTAATCAAGAAATTCACAGTCTTAAGCAACACAAGTCCTATTCAAAAGTTCAGGAAAAAGAATAATGATAAAAGAATTAGGTAATTTTAAGAGATTAACAAATGCTAAAGTGTATTCCAAATAATAGGAACTTTATTATAAATATTAAAAAATAGAACATAAATAAAGATTCGATAAAAGCTTATATTAAAATTCACAGAACGTTTTATGGCAGGAACTCTGATGTCAAAAGTCTCAATAATGGTTATCAGTCCTCTTTTACGAATGCAAGTGATAATACAGGCATGCTCAAACCAAATTATCTGAAGCAGTTTTTAGATTTGATTAAAAAGTGATTACTTTAGCCACTAAGTCGCTGTTTCTAATGTAGAACATCTCTTGCGGAAACCCTGAATGCTAGTTTCACCAAGCGTCTGATTAAGATGGTTGGACTGTATAATTATTTCTGTGATATATATATATATATATATATATATATATATATATATATATATTAAAATTGAAGTATCAGATGAAGTCCTTTTATATTTTGAAACAAGGAAACCTTTCCTGTTTTACCCTTAGAAAAAGTCATGACATTCTTAATTACCAGTGCTTATGTATAACCTTTCCTGTCTCTAACAAATTATTATTACAGTTACATTTGTTTAAGTTTAATTAATCTCATTTTGCGGAGCATTTGGAAAATATGATAATTTTTTAACTGCTTGATAGCTTACTTTGGAAGCTTTTAAGCTTCTTGACATTCTAAAATGACTAGGAGCGTAGAGCGAACGAGTACCTTGAGTTGACTTTGCTAATAATACCGATGGCTGATAACCTGAAATGCTACCAGTTCTACTATTGTTATTAGTCAAAACAGTCGATCCATTTTCGACAGTTTGCATATTTGATGACATATAAACGCATGGATCCATTTGCCTTGTACTCTTTATTATATTTTGGTAAACGTTTCCAACTGAACCAATTTGTGATCTGGATTTCGATGATATATAAGATCCTGAAACAACAGATCCTGTAGGTTCTTGATTCATGGACTGATTTACAGGACGGATTGAAGTAGTTGGTGGAACACGTATAGGATCACTGGAACGTAATGAGGAAGAGCTACCGGTTCTACCCAAACTATTCAGCCTTTGTTGTTCATACTGCATGCGCGTTAAGTGACTCGTCATTATGATCAGGCGTCAACTTGATTATACTGTATGAAACTAAAATTTTAATAGTAAAAGAATAAAATAAGAGATGAAAACCTACTAGCTCTAAAAGAATTAGGTTTCTTGTGTGAAAGTCTTAGTATCTACCCGAAAACTATGTATAAACAATATTTTAGCCTTAAGAGCTTATAGATGAGTAGGATACCTAAAGACTGAACAATGTAACTGTTCTTTTTAAAAAGATTGTTTGAACATCAACCTCCAAATCAAACTGAACACAAGTAGCAATTATGAATAATCAGACCATACCAATTTTTATTCCATCTTAAAAAAAGAAATGCTATCTATGAGAATGGCGTTGTATAAGTAAGTGCCGTCAACATGTATGAGAACGCACGAAGTTATACTGGTTTTAAACTATTCCTTGTTCAAATTCACCAGCAAAAAGACACATCATTCAGTGACAAATCTGAAAATAGATGTTGATTGACCAGTTGGATAGTTTATGAATCTCAAAATTGTGGTACATCTGAAGCGGCCGGAAGAACAGGAAAAATTACACTAAAGTTTAACTATTAGGAACAATCAAAGTTTGAATGAATAGTTCAGGCATGAAGGTAGAAGTTAAACTTATTGAAAATAATGTATAATAGGATTATATTTTGCTGGCTGGATAACTCCACTTCAAAATCTGAAGCACTTAGGGGAAAAATAACGTTAGAAAAGCATAGAAAAGTGAAAATAATTTACAGGTTAAAATGACGTAAGATAATTGTCCAGATATAAAGAAAAACATAAAGGTCATGATAATAACTGAATATTATTCATTATAACATCCTGAGAAAAGCAGAAATAGTTCCAAAAAACTTTTTATGAATATCAAATTTAAAGGAGATACAGCTGCTGAAACTTTGAATAAACGGATTTCAAAATCCATGAGTAAAACTTATTCAGCTAGTATTCTGAAATGCATTTAGAAAGTGACAGCTTTGTGAGGCTAATGTGATTTCCCCCATAGGAGCAAGTAAATTCGTAGATGCACATGGATGTGGCCCAAAGCGAGAGTTTATGCTTAGCAAATCCGTGAATGGTAGGTAGGCTTGAGAAGATAATACTGAGATTAGCTCCATAGAAGATTTTACTAATGGATTTTGAAATCCGTTTATTCAAAGGTTCGGCAGCCATATCTCCTTTAAATTTGACATTCACAAGAAGTTTTTCGGAATTGTTTTTGCTTTTCTCAGGATGTTGTTATGATTATTATTCATGTAATATTATGACCTTTATGGTTTTCTTTTTTCTCCATATCTTTCAGGAGGACAATTATTTTCGTTCTTCTATTCTTCTCTCACCCCCTCAGTCAGTTAGTCAGTTACAACATAGAACCAGGCACATATATGCATCGGTCCAAGTTGGCATACCTCATTAACACAACAAGATGGACACCGCATTCTCTCACCCCCCTGATTATTAAGCAACTTTATTTGACATATAACTTTATTCTACAAGAGAAATCGACGAATTTTCAAGTGGACACCAGTGAACTCTTAGTTTATGGACATGAAAATGTAATCAACCTACGAAACAACCATCACTATTTTTTCACCACAGGTAGCTTGTATTGAAGACAAACAACTAAAAATTCATAATAACTAGCAATTAACTTTAAAACCCTGTCTCATATATCATGAGCAATGCTTAAAGTAAGCATTATATTCTCTTTGGTATTTCCCATATACACCTTTATTTTACGGAATTCCAAGTTCCGGAGTATTAGTGAAAAATCCAAATCGGAAATCCAATTACGATGAATCCGCAAAACGATGACAAAAAAATGAGCATAAGAATAATTTACTAAAAATATTTTTCCTAGGTTTAACTAAACAGTACAGAGACAAATCTTTAAGCCGTTGGAAATGTTCTTAGGTTTTTTACCGAATCGGATTTTCGCAATAAACTTCATAGGTTGTTTTTAGTTTACTGTGGTTAATATGGTGAAGATTGCGTTTTATTGTGTATAGTTTTACTGTGACACCATCGACTAAAGTTTTGGGGGACAAAATACTTAAGCATCATCTACAGGAATCTGAAGATATTGTCGTTATATTCATAATATCCTAAAAGTCATAAGTTTTAGTAATTATTGTAAAGAAGACAGTTAGGTTGACCTAGTCCATTCACAAAACAATCCATCATTTGCTTGTTAAAAATTTACACGGCTTTTTTATTTTTACACATATACTCTTATGTTACTATTGTCTGTACTATATAATCTAATATTATAATGTTTCTGTTATGTTATCATTCTTGTTTTTTTTGTGTTTAAACTATTATTTGGGACTTTATACATACAAACGATTGTACAGCTTCATTATCAACTTCTTAAAAAGAGATCCATTTGCTGAATTTCGTTCTTTTAATATTCAAAAATAATGCGTCAACTTAAGAACATTTAATCTGACCACAAATCGCTAGCATCACTACAAACAAGCAAATCTGTAGAAGTAGCGTTATTAAAAGGTTGTAACGTAACTGTATAATACTCTGCAAAGGGTTGCTTAACTTTGAGTCAGGTCTCACAAGCGAATACCATTATCTAAATCTTGATAGGTTGACTGTAAAATTTTAGAATAATAGCCATGATAAAATAATCTCAGAGCCTTTTGATGAGAACTGTCTGCTTTTCAGCTGCTATCAAATAGCAAGACCACTTTTAGCCTATAAACTATGGAGACTGATAAGGTTTGATTATTTAAATGCTGAATCAACGAGCCAAACGTCATATTTAAAACAATCCGGCTAAAGAAACAAAGCAAACAATTGGTAGGAGATAAAAAATCTTGCATACCTTTCATTTTTCGACTTATCAAACATCTGTATTAACAACTGTTTTAGGAGAACTACGTACAGTTTGTCTTTTGGCACTGATACTTTAGCTTACAACTAAAAAGCTTTATTGACCGGACGAATGAACGTGAAAATTTTTTTGCTCAATGGATTCACAGCTTATGGTACTAGTTAGTTACAAAACCCATGCATACCAAATATTTGCACACTTTCTTTGCTTACTATATTTAGTAACTCTTAAAGAACCTGTTGGGATATTCAGAAAAATATCCCAAAAATTACCCTGTTAAGTCTAATGCTATCCTTGGACTTGAAATTGTATCATTTTTCTATCGTTCAATATTGTTTCACGTATCATTTTCCTGTTGGCCAGATATTGTGCAACTTTTTTTCTATTTTATGGTACGATGTGGTCTGCATGATTGGTATATAAACAGAGTATGATTGAAATACATGATTCATATCACAGAGGCTGAGACTTGTGTTCTGGACTTAACTGGCTGGGCTAGGCAGGAAGCAGGGCCAATCAGGACTCTAGGCTGCTCGCAGGCGTTTTATGCGTCACTGATCCGATCGATAATCCACTGCTCTCTAATCGGCAGTCACAAGTTATTAAAAAGCTTCTGATAAAGTATGATTATTTGAGGCTGAACTGTTTGCATTTTTTAGTATAGGGAATTTTGCTAATGAATGAGCATCGTATCAAACCAAAATTCAAAAGAAAATTTCATTATGGCCTCAGTATAGCGTTATTGGTGTTTTTCTCCTGCTTCATGAGTCAAACAAAACTAATTTTGTATGAGTAACAGAAATGCTGTTGTCCCAATATTTCTCCGACGATTTTTATTCACGTCTGTGTCAGCATTACACCTTAGAGTTTTTAAAAGTCCTAGTTATTGTGACATATTGTACCATGTTACACTACACTACTGCTACTTCAAACCTACGTAAAAATAACAAGAGTAAGCTTTAGATGACATAAGAAAAAAACATTTTCGCACTGTACAAAATAATATATTAAATATGGGAACGTTTGAAATTTATGTCGGAAAAATGGACGAGATTATGAGGAAGCACTATTTATTTATAAAGATGGAAATATTAATGCTTCGCCATTTTACTGGTAGTGTATTAAATTCGGTGTGTCCTGGGGCACCACGAGATATATTTAGATCTGATCTTCACTCAATTCTGCAGGACCTTCGATGAAGTCTCATATATAGAATTGTTGTATAAATTAGCGACATCGCAATCACATACAACTCGCACTCGTAAACAAATGACTTAGTAGTCGAAAGTTGATAGAAATTACGAGCCAACTTCAAGCTACATTAGTAATAAACAGTGCTTAGAAAAAATCTTCGTAGTATAACGTGGAGTACGTGTCAATTAAACCCTCCAAGAGCATGATGACGAGTATCCGCCGGAAATAATTACGTGTTTAATAATCTAAAATCACCTTAGGTAGACACAATTATCGAGTAGTTACTGCTGGTCAAGGTCTGAAAACCACTGGACACTTTCGGTAATGTGTTAATTCCTGGACCTATCGAATAAATAAAAACACTTGTTTACCATAAATATATGTATTTAATCGCATTTATACTTTTAGTTCTGAATAGTGAATCCAGTTGATGATACTTTTGAGAGAAAGAGAGAAAGTAATCTCGTTGCAATCTTCAAATTATTTACTTTTTTGTACTTTATGTCCCACATTCTTCTCTAGGAACGGAAACGATTTGAGGAATCACAAAACCGTTGACCGTTCAAATACTTACTACTTGTCAAATCCAGGTGTTGATGATCGTAACTCTTCCTTAACATGCGACTATAACTCTTTTAACGGATATGTACTAATAACAGTTGAAATAACAAAGTCACCCTCATTATCAGGACTATCATATACTATTTGGTCTCATATCTTACTCAAAATAGATAATGCAGTTGACAATACGGCGAGCAAAACGTAAACCTGAAATAGAATGTGATGAAAATGGTTGATGAAAACTGTCTAGAATGGTGTTTTATAGGTTCCCCCATTTTTATAAGCCCATAAAGAATTCTCATGAAAATTCAAAAATCTGATTTGATGCAGTCTTCGTCATTCAAGTTGTAACGCATAGGTCGCTATACAGATGTCAAAAAACAGAATAAATTCAAAGTAATATGATTAAACTATTTCATCTAAGTCACTTCGTATTATTATAAAATCCGCTAATTAGCGGATTTCGGGTTTCTAAAGTCTTATGGGAGAATATGACACACATGATGCATAAAACATGAATAAATGGTTAAAATCGAGTGACTGTTTTGTCTATCGCAACAAAAATGTTTTCGCTATATTTATACAACGGAATTTTTTCACATTCTACTAAAGAATTACCTTCATGCATGTAGTTAAGTTATAATTAAAAGCAAAAGTGACTGCAAAACAGCTATAAATGTGAATTGCAAAGTAAAAATTCCGTTAATATTTTTTCACTCACTAGTAACATCGTAACTATGACTAGTACTCTGGGACATTATTACTAACATAAGCACTGATAAGTAGGCTGAGTAATTTATAATTCGGCAAATAGAGATATTTCTTGACGTTTTTAAGTCTTAAAAAGAGTTCATAATAACTCACGATGTTCTTTTAATTCACGTGCGGGACCAGTATTTACATTGCTTCCGTACTGTCATCTTGAATGTCAATCCAAACATTGACCGTCCTCAAGGACACGTTTGGAAGATTTCAACACAATACTTTGAACTTCAAACATTGTGAAGTAATATAACGAACGAGTTGGTATATCAGTCAAATTTTGATGCGCGCAGTTATACGTATTCTGCTTTTACTGGATGATAAGTGCTATGTATAACGTCGCCTGGAATCCCTCCGAAGGCTACTGCCGGTCCCAAGCCCGGAAAAAGGAGGAGGGTTGGGAATGCGGTTAGCGACCCCATCCCGTGGTAAACTAACTACCTAAAGAAACGCTAACCAGAAAAAATTACTCAAACCTGTCAAAGTGCTATGTATAGCCCTGAGTACTATAATAGGAGTACGTTTATTTATCTATCGATCTGACTCCATTTTGGATGTCCTGTAGTAGTTGTCCCGTGAATATAAACATTCCGTTTAATTACGGATTTTGTACGTAAGCTTACTTCGTTTGAGAGGAAGCGGTAATAATGAGCCAAATACGGATTGGCTAGAAAAGTATTATTCCGGACGTAAAAGTGAAATGGGCGAACGAAGCATGGAAGACAAGAGTAACAACACACCTATACTACTCATTATAAGCGCTAATAAAACTCCATATGGATAATCCATAGGGTGACATATAGACGGTCATTGAACAGAAGTATGAGTCACAGATATACACGCAACGCAAAATAAGCGTAGAATAACAAGGACATGAATCTAAGATGTATATGTGTGAAAGCCGCAATTTCCCATGGAAAGAATAGAGCCATAATGGAAGCTAATAGTCACATGCTGTTTGAGTTTTGAAAGTCAGCTTAAAAGCTAGGATGAAACATATAGGCACATAGTAGCATTGAACACTACATAACAGGCCGGTAAGATTTTGTGCTGGAATTTGAAAAGACAAACAATTTCCTACAAATACTATGAACATTTTTGCAAACTTTGTGAAAATATAGATTGTAAAAGCCATTCTTTACGAAGAGGCTCTTACCTAATATATTCTTGGTTTATTACTTATTTCCATCAGCCTTCCATGTTAAGGATGATATGTTGTTTAACCTGTGTTCAGTATTGGACCGGTTTTATCTCGAAAGTGCTGTTTGGTGGAACTGATATTGTAGTGGGAGCCACTCTGCTGTGTTTCATAGTCAAATAAATATATGCCGGTGTAAGATCCATTTTGAATGCTTTGTGTGTTTGTGAAAATCCCTCCATGTATTTACTTGCACTTTGTTCCTATTGATCCTCTTAGTTGTACATTGTTAACTTTTTGGCTACATTTGAATTGTTAATATTTGTATTTTATTATAGTTTTCGTTTTTACTACACCTTCACTAATTCCCTATGTTTCTTCCCGAACTGCACTTATGTTGTTTTACTTGACACTTAGTCTTGGCGGCAGCCATTTTGGTTTGTTCCTGCTTTGATTGCTTGACCTGTGTTGACTGGAATTGTGCATTTTGGTTGTGAAGTGAAGCACTCTTCCAGAATTGAAAACACTGTGTTATAGAGCGACCAATTATTACCTTTTGAACGGATCTGTACGTGGTCTATCCAGACGGGATAGAATAGCCTTTATTTGTTGTGATTGGTAATTTTCTTGCATCCTTTATCAACTTTCTTATTTATTGTAATTTAGATTTGATCAATTGAACAATTATTGGTTGGATAGCTGAGTGGTTATATTTGTTTAGGTAATAATGTACACTTAAATTTATGATAAATTATAGAACCGCTATCTTACCCAATTACTTTGTTTTGGTTTCAATCGGGCGAGGGCGCGTATCTAACTCATCCAGACAGCTGTCCAGCAGTCCAAACGTAGTTTGGATCTTACAACCGGATCTTGTTTATGTATATTATTAGTAATCACACTGATACTTAACAGGTGGCAAGAACTACTTCCGGACAGAAAGTCATCAATGAGACATTTAAACTGTGTTATGGTGTGGTAAACAGTGTTTACAAGAGTTTTTATAAGTCGTATATGGTGGGACATAGCGTTGAACTCGCAAAAGTCGTCAGACTGTGTGAAGAGTTTCAGTTCATCGAGAGAACATTTGAGTACCAGAGAAGACAGTTTGAATGGCAAAACATATTGAAAGATGAAAATGGATGGTTGTAGGCTATGTATGCGTAAAAATTAGATACTTCCTAACTTCCCTTAACGAATATGCCTTCCTCTTGTCTCTTTCTTCATTGCATTTGGTTTCTGCTGTCAAGGTCGAGTTGAGAGTGCTCTGGCTATATCCATTTGCAGATGGAGATATTGGAAACAGTCTCAGGAGGTTTGAGGTCACAATGGAGCTAATCGTTATGACGTAGCTGCGAACGAAAGTGACAGTGTTGGAAGCAGTAATGATTACTGAGGTTACGATGGCTTTTAGCTGAGTTGCACTTGTGGACGAGAAAAATTTTCGGAATATCATCGCTTCTCGGATACCGACGAAGTTTGAGAACGCAGCTGATCGGCATGTGACGTCTTAGATGTTCAGAGACATTGGTCTCGCACCAAACGGGAATCTGCTTATATTAGCCTCTTCGTCGACTGACTTGTTACGCCGTTCGTTACTGGCATTGTACAGAAAATGAAAGTAGTTATTGCCTTTCCAACTCCTCAGGAGTGTCACTAAAATTGTAGGAAAACAGCCTCAACTGGCGAATGCAGTATAGTTTATGAATATCATAGAAATGACTAGAGCAGCTTGAGAGCTGACGAGCTTAACCGTATCATTGTTACCAGACAACAATGAGCCATCAGTCTCCGTAGGAGAGTATTTTGGGGACCTACGACGAGTGGTGGAGATAAGAAGAGGCACGTGGGTGAATGATGGATGCTCTGAGTGCGAGAATGTTGGACACTGCTGAAGCAATTGCGCATGAACTCGGTAACATTAGTTATTTAGACGTTACAAAATGTACTTTATCCTTAGAAAGACTATTAAGATTGTCGGGTTAGTCGGTAGGAGAAGAATGTAGAAAATTGCGGTTGAACAGAGATTCGTTTACCTGGCACAGGCGTGGCTATATCGCCAAAATACGAAAGACACTGTAAAAAGATTAGGCCGTGTACGTTGTCAATACAGACCGTGCGTGGACAGTCACCAAAAACTTAAGGGTTTAAGAACTGCTTAGTGGAAGTTAATGTATGTACAGTACAATATCCTCTCGTCGCAACCAAAAGGATACACGAAACATTATTGCGAGATTTTCTCAGACAAATCGGGAAAGTGGTAGACACGAAAAATAAATGAGAGACTACTAGGCATGAATAGCTTGTCGGACACGATAACAGTGAGATAACGGAGGTATAAACACCAACAATGAGTAAAGACAGGGTATCAGATATTGAAAATGTAGTTCTATAATTTGGAATTATATTCAACGAAGACGCAAAAGCCCGTAAAATCATAGCCTATGCTCGTTATTAGAATTGCTATAATAATAGATTTAATCCTCAAATTATAGATACGTCACGTTAAGACTACCTAATTTAGAATGTATGACGTGTAGGACAAATCATTTTCTTGATTGAAAATCTGTATCGTCATGACTTTATCAAAAGAACAAAAATAAATTTGTCGTTTCAAATAAAGATTCTAGCAGAATAGCATGAATTCATTTTATTTCTTAGGTTCTCGTCAGCTGCTTACAACCTGTGATATTTAAAAATCATAATTGCATAATGGGTTTAAATTGCTTACTGAATATTGTAAATATATACCTAATGTGAAAGAATATTCTACAACATTAACTGTGACAACAGTTCAAAAGTGGGTTAGAAACAATTGATTACATAATGAATAACAATGATAGGAATATAGTGAGTAGAGTTCAGTTGAAAGATTATTAATTTGAAAGATTGTTGAATAAAATCAACGATGTAATAAATGCAAAAGAAAAAAAAGAAAAAAAATTTTAAGGTGCAGTGAAGGAATATTTGTCACCTGGGCAAGGAAAGATTTGTAGAATTATGGTCTACTATGATATTAGTACTGCTCTAATAATAGACCTAATCCTAAATTTGTAGATTTGTCATGATATAACTGCCTAATCTATAAGATCTTACGTGGAAGTCACACCATCGACTACACCAACTCACTGTATCGCATCAATTACCAATACATGATGTAGAACAAGGTTAGGCTAGAGAAAGAACAATATATTTAATATGAATAGAAGATATGAAGTAACATTGAGATGGACCACGCCTGCATGGACGAGCCATGCCATCCGATCAAACCCAGTCCATTCAATTCATTGTTCGCGCCTTCTCCATTGTTAGGTATTTCTCCGCGTTAAATATTGAATATGTATTTTCTGAGTAGTCTCGTGTTCACAGCTTTGTGGATTGTGTGGCTATTGTCCAATGCCACTACAGATTAACCACCGTCTCCTTTTGAATACATAGGTCAGGTTTTTGACGACTGACGGCAATGGCTTCAGCAAACTTCAGAAGACTGGAGTTTGGCTGCTTACTAATCACCCTAAAGGATTGTAAGGTTTCTACCTGATGTCCTGTATCAGGGAGATGTTTGGTGATTGCACTGTTCAGAGCCTTTCTTTCCCTTGTTCTAAGACTTTTTGGAACATGTTCAAAAAATCTAAGATATGCTCTCTTTTCAGTTCGGCCGGTGTATCTGCTTTGGCAGGTACACGTAAATTTATAAATACAGTTGGCGGTAACATGAAAGGTTTGCTTGTCGATCTTTGATTGGGTTCTTGAACATGTTGTTTTATAGAGAGTTAAAAGTTTAGCAGCCGGATAAGTTCTGGCTAGAGCAGTGTTCAGTCTCCCGTTGATTATTTGTACGACGTTATCACTTTTAAAGTTAAAATTTATATATACTGGCTTTTTATTGACCGTAGTTATTTCCGTCTTGTTTTCTTTGGGGTTTTTGTATTTGTTAATAAACTTTTGTGGATAAAAGTTGTCTTTTGGACATTTTTCTACGTTCATTAATTCTTCTTCCAGTTTGTCGGTGGTACATATCTTTTCTACCCTATAAAATAGTGTTTTAACCAATGCCTTCTTGTAACTAATTGGACAAAAACTATTAAAATTCAGGTAAATGCCATTCCAATTACTTTTTCTATAGACTGAACGTTGGACTGTCCCATCTCCCCTGCGTTTTACGGCAACATCAAGAAAGTGGAGCATGTTGTTCTGTTCGTGCTCCATAGTGAAATGTATGTTATTGTGAGCGTTATTGAAAAGTTTTAGCAGGTGGATTGCATACCGTTTATTGTTACAGATAATAAATGTGTCGTCCACATATCTGGAGTATTCCGTTGTTTCACTAATTGTCTGCTTAAGTACCGTGTTTTCAAGATAACCCATAAAAATATCTGCCATAATTGGACCTAGTGGGCTTCCCATTGCTATGCCATCGATTTGGCGATATATGGTGTTATTGAACTGGAATTGAACATCTGTTGTGCACATCAGTAGTAGTTTTTTGAATTCTGGGGCTGTTAAAGGTAGGAGATCACCATTCTGACAAATTAAATCAATAGTTTCAAAAAGTGGTATATTGGTGAACAGGGATGTTACATCAAAAGAGACCATGAACTTGTCGGCAACATTCGTATGATTTAGTCTATCAGCAAATTGGAATGAATCTCTTAGCGTATATGTTGCTAATCTACGACGAACCGGTTCTAGTTTTACTGCTAACCAGCGTGCAACTTTATGTATTTACTTGTCCACCGGCTGCTATGCCGAAATAAGTCTAGAAATCTTAAAGTGAAAAAAACAGTTACCTCCGCGAATTAGATCCCTAGAATGTGCATACAGAACTTTCAGTTACAATTTTAGCTGCAAGAGATGTCAACTCATTTAAAAGAATTTGAAATGACATTGGAACCTGGAATTACTGATACATTAGACTATATTTCTTACCTGAAGAATTGGTCAACGTTGAAGATCCTTCACAGCGTCAAATGAACGCAAACGTAGGTCAGTGTCTGTTTTACTCCAAATTTCCCTGAACGTAAATAACGAAGAATCACTTCTTCTGAGACATTCTTTTATGTGTTTATGAGCACTTTCGACACGGTTGTTTGTGTGGTTGCCTAGGCTTAATACATTTCGCTGTAACAGCAAGCCCACATTGACTTCCGGGCAATTCAGTAATCTTTTATATAATCATACGCCCGAGGGAAATGGGTTCTTGGATGTTCGTACTTCTGAGTGAATCTGAATATAATGCGTTATGAAAAGCGAAACTCAGATGTCAGACCGTCTAGTCTTCACGAGATGTTCCAAGCATTTGCGTACATCAGAATTTCGGAACTACAGAAAATAATTTGTACAATTAACACATACTTTCCTGAAAAATGCTCTTAAGACATGGAATGAACAAAGTACTACGTTAGAATGACTGTGCGTAGACTTCACTGCTGAAATTTCGGTCGCTGCCGAATACATAACGAAAATGCGTGTATCATAAGTACCGCACGTTATGTCTTTAAAGCATTCCAATAGTTGGGGATTTCCCCAAAATTTCCCCAAGGCTGGCAGCTTGGGATATATTACCTTATGTACTTATTTCAAACACGTCTCAAAATTGGCCCAACTTGTAAACCGTCAAAATAACTTAATATCACTGAAGATTCGTTCTGCATCATGCATCATCACGATGGTGTCGTCTTCGTTACTTGTAGGATGGACGTTATCAGACATGGTGTGGCTGAACTCAATCCAAATCTAAAAATGTCTTGATTTGACCGCTTCTGACAAACTTCACGAATTGTCGATGTGGTGCACCAATCAGCTTGCAACAGTTTGACCTTCAAGTGCTCGCAACCTTTATCAGTGGACGACACCCCTGAAGTGTTGCCGACGTTTTCCTGTGGCGATATGTCGTAATGTGATAACATAATTTATATATTTATTCACCTTGGGGTACAAGTGATTTTAATTAAATCAGGTGGACTGAAGGCCGGATTAATTGGAAGAAACTAGCGAGACATCGTATTCTCACCATTCAATGCGAAATATATAAAACGAATTATTAGTGGATCTCACAAGTTTTGTATCTTAAATTATTTTCAGAAAAGGTGTAATAACCGCGGAAGCCTTCACTAAAAACGAAACATCCCGATAACTTCACTCCTACTGCTATATGATATCATATATTATATAATTATGAAATCCTATGTAGCCGTGGTCATTTACTCGGTCAATTCAAAAAATTCTGTGTTCCAGAAGATGCGGGTTAGATCTTTGAAAATGGGTATAGAAAAGGTTGATGCCTTCGATAAACTAATGTTATTTGTAAGTCCGTGTTGTTCATCAACTTTTCGAAACTTGAAGGATTCGCTCCGAACCAGTTCGAATTCCTGATTTTGAAAGGTTTTGTATGCCACTAGTTTTCTGCTCTAGATAATGTACGAAGATAAATGCGTAGGTTTATTAGGTTTTTGTCTAATAACCTCGTCTTTGTGCATTTAGTTTTTCAAGAGGATGTTGCGTATATTAACCCTATTCAATTTGTCAGTTTGGTCACAGAAATGACTTCGCTTTACTGTTTCGAATAAGGAAACAATAAAGAGTATGTCCGTAGGTAGTATTGCTCAGAAATCATTCTCCCCTAAATAACCGACGTGAAGGCGAAAAAGCTACATTTCACCTGTAGCGGTAAATAAATTGTCTTTATTTCCCCTTAATTGGTTGCTCAAACAGAGGCACAAGTATGTTTTCTAGATCTCGAAACTACTGAACGAAGTAAAACTATCTATGCTCAAAAAATATAATCCAGGAGTTATAAACAAAAGGAGTAACAACAAGGTATTATACAGTTTTCTTGAGCTCTTGTTATGTGTACAGGACTCACGCCTGTTAATCCTTGGGTGAGGATAGGCCGCCAACTAGTATTCTTAATCGAAATCTGTTTTTGAACAATCCTTTCCAGTTCTTCCAGATCCTATTCATTCTTTTCATGTCTGCTTCTAATTGTCGACGCAATCTGTTCGTCAATCTTCCTCCTTTCCGTTTACCTTCATGACTCTAAGTCAGGGCTTTCCTCGTGATTCAACTGGATGATTTCCTCAATGTATGTCCTGTCCACCTCCAGTGTCTTTTCCTAATTCCCTCTTCAGTTGGAAGTTGCTTTGTTCTCTACCACAGTAGTTCGTTGCTGATGGTATCCGACCAACGGACATTCGGTATCTTACGAAGACAATGCTTTATAAATACCTGTACCTTCTTAATGACGGTTGTGGTAGTTCCCGAAGTTTCAGCTCCGTACGGTAGAACTGTCTTTACGTTCGTATTGAAGATTCTCACTTTGATATTGGTTGACAGTGGTTTTGAGTTCCATATGTCCTTCAACTGTAGGAGTGCGGCTGTCGCTTTGCCAATCCTCACCTGCACACCTGCATTGAATCCTCCTTGTTCATCGATGGTGCTACCTAGATACGTGATAATTTCCACCTCTTCCAGAGCTCCTCCATCAAGTGAGATTGTGTTGGTGTCCTGTGTGTTGTATTTGAGGATGTTGCTTTTTGCCTTGTGTATGTTGAGGCCTATTGCTACAGAGGCTGCTGCTACACTGATTGTCTGCATCTTCATCCTTGTCTGGTCGCTCGGGTTTATAATATTTCCCTGCTTATTTCTTCATTGTATCATATCTCCTTCTCTTGCAACTTTTTTGAATCTTGCTTAGGGTATCTATATAGAACCATTCTTTGTGATGGTGCTTCTTGCGGCCTAGCACGTTGATGTTTGTGCTTCAATCTCTATTTAGTTGTTCTGTGAGTAGATTTTGTAAGGTTTGGAACCTGTTGCTGCGACCTATCTGGAATTAGTTGAGTTTGTCAGTATCTTGAAGAAAGGCTGTATTGAACCTTTGTAATACTGTTTCTTCAGTTGTCCAGTGCTTTTTTAACTTCAGCCTCTGGACCACACGCAATTGATGATTTGAAGCTATTCCAGCTCCTCTATTTCTTCTCACTTCTTCCATTGATCTGAATTTTTTAGTGTTGCAAATATGATCAGTCTGGTTCTCTGTAGCGTGATCTTGTAAGACTCATGTAGCTTTGTGTATGCAGGTGTGGGGAATATTGTTTCGCCTATAACCATTTTATTGAACGCACATAAATTTGCAAATCTGTCACCATTTTTGCTTCTTTCTCCCAGTCCATGTCGTCCCATGATATCTTCATAACTGGTGTTGACCATCCCGACTTAGGCGTTTAGTTCTCCCATCACGATGGTCAGATCATAGGCAGTACTCTACGATCGACTGCAACCTCATAAAACACCTTTATCGTCGTCGTTGTTATCATTGGTGGGTGCATAACATTGGACAACATTCATTGTGATTCCCTTCATTGTTTTGAATTATTCTCTGATGATTGCTCATCCATGAGATTCCCATCCTATAGTTGCTTTTCGTGCTTCTTTGGACAGCACCAGAATAACTCTCTGAGTGCTTGAAGCATTTTCCTCTTCGTGACCGAACTACAGCAGCATCCCTCCCGAATCTATCCTTTTCTATCCAGCTTGGGTCGAATGGATTTCACTGATTCCGATCGTCGCCAAGTTGTACCTCGTCATTTCCTCCCGGTTTCTCACGTTGTGCGTACGTCCCATATACCTATATTCATTGTTGCTGTGGTTTTTAGAAGGAGCATCGGCCTCGTGACTGACGAAGAATGAGGCGTGATAATCCTCCTACATAGATATTCTTCAAGTCGCAGGACAGAGTTTGAATGCTTTATAAGACTTTCTGGCAAACGTTTGTTGTTAGGGTTGTTTTCTACCGGATGGGGTTTCTGACCACGTGCTTAACCCTCCTCTCTTTGGGCTTAGGACCGACAATAAACCAGGATACCTCAAGATACTAAGGTGGCTAATGTTAGTGATTAGCTTCCAAATAATTTAGTTACGTTAGGTGTTGTGTTTCTTCTATGATTACTACTATTGTGATTCATTCTGATATGAAACAGGAGAAAAATTGGCTATCAGAATTACTAGTTAATTAAATTAATAATATTCATTAACCGAGTGAAGACTATACTGGTACCATATATACATTTTCTAAATTTTTTACAATATGTATTTTAATTTTAGTCTTGTAGTGTAGATCCATCTTTATCATGGTCTGTTGAAGGTTCTTCTTATAAGGAAAGATGGATTCCTGTAACTCCACACGCAGCCAGTGGTTTCCTTGTTTCGGACCGTAATTCATCAATGAGTTCTACATTGGTAACATCTTAAACCCTATTAAATTACCCTAAAGTCTGTTGATTTAGAATTAGAAACTGTTTCTGGTTCCGAAAAATCTTGTGTTTCATTCACTTTACATCCAGATTATTACGATGACCAGGGTCTACTTTGTCTTCCAGTTTCTTCAGTTAGCGGAATTTTGGATGAAATTTACCGTGAGTAATTACTACAATAATTTCTTGACAATTAGGTGTTGAATATGCCAAAACTAGATTACTAAATCAATTGTTCGATCACAAAGATGTGTTTACTGAGAACTTTTCATTTGGTATTTATGTTAAACTGCTTTTGATGTTACTTTCACTAACTGAAAGATATTACTATCAAAATAAACTACTTTAACGTGATTAGGCGACGTCTGCATATTTGGAACAGATGCAGGACTTGAGACTTCAAGTTATCATGCAACAGCATTACGTTTCATTCGATCACACACTTTCTAGCATCAAAACATCACGTTTTGTTGAGTGGTATCAAACTTGCATGTTTTAGGTAAAACCGCTACGTTTATGCAAGGATGGAAACTAACTGTACACTAATTAACAGTTTCCGTGAGACCTTCCCCACCGTATAGTAGATTTCACTTTTGCATGATGTGATTGTTCAGTTGTGATTTAAATGCTATATAAATCTAGGTTTTTTGTGTAGTGTATCAGTCTTGTTCTAGGTTTTCAAATAATACGAAAGGCATATCAAAAGCGACATTTTAAGATGAACTACTCACGAAATTTTGACAAATATTCTGTCAATGTATCTACTAATTATCATGGATTCATCCTTGTTAAAATATTTCTTAACTTTTTTTTCACATTTAGTGTACTATCTGTTTGTATTTGGCTACAAACCACTTCATACAGACCACAGAACACCTCTCTACTTGTGCCTCCCTCCAGTCAATTCATCCCTGCATCAAAATGCAACCTCCCAACCAATCATAGTCGGTCATGCTGGTGCTGGTGTAAAACGTGCACATCATGGTAAAGGGCTTGAATGGCCTGAGAACACGATATGCGCCTTTCGACGTGCTGAGCAACTTGGAGTAACAATGGTGGAATGTGATGCAAATATCACAAAAGATTCTGAAGTCGTTTTACATCACAACTTCACACTAGGAGTATGTGAGCAACCGAGAAAATCTGAAAACGATCCACCAACTTTCATTTTAGAACATAAAAGTAAGTTAGTTTCTCTGTAGTTTACTGGTTAAACTGTAATTTCTTTTGAGGATTATTAGTGTCGAGTCCAAATTATCTTAGACAAAGAAGTAGCAATAACTTATTGCAACAGCATCAGATCATAGAAAAATGTGGATTAGTAAACTGAAAGTACTTTACTTATCAAATAAATACTGCGTCTGACAAGCCTGAGGAAGAACCTTTTTTATTATCTATTTAGGTTGTTTTTGATACTATAAGATACATATATATATATATTCAACAAGAAGTACAAAGACCAACGTAAAGTAACACGGTCCACACTTCTATTGCTTAAACAGTGTTATCTTTAGGGAAACTTCTCTATGGTCTCTACGGTCTATGTTTGCATTTTTTACGTGATATTAACAGCACGCTATTTAACCTGGTTTAAATAAGTTAATTAGATGAATCTATAGCAATTTTTGTCCCTCTGGTACAGGATTAATGAAAGCAATCTTTTTCGCCCGATTCACCTTGAAAATGAAAGCAGCAAAAGAGATGAGAAAAAACTGTAGCAATGGTGATTATAGTAGAAACCTTTAAATACGAAAGGGATTTTGTTTTGTGTACCTTTTAAAGTCGTTTTTCACCAGCGCTTGTTTGTAATTTTTATCTGAGTTGTCCTACCTTTTACGTTTAAAGCTGATGGTGTAGTAAATGAAAATAGCACAGATCTGATTGTGAACTACCAATTATCTGGAATTCGCAACTTATTGAGAAAGGTCAATGGAACGATCGGTAATGCAAACATTATCCAAAGTCAGTATCCTAGTCCCTTAACAATGAGTGATCCTATTCCAAATATTCATGGTAAAGAGGCTGAACCAATACCGTTATTAAAAGACGCATTCTATCAAACTTCCACAAACCTAAGCTTTAACGTAGAGCTAAAATATCCCATAGAAACGCCATATAATTTAATTGCTGAAGCATTAATTAAACATAAACCTGTCGAATCTTCTTTACCAACACCGTCCTCATATTTCTATAAGATCAACAAATTCTGTGATACAATATTAGATGTAAGTAATTTAGTATATCTCGGATTTTTCTCTAAAATGTTATTTATTTAGTCTGTTGTCTCGGTACAGCAGACCTTACAGAATATTTCAGTGATTAAGATTCTTATCACTTTATTCAGTACGTTAAAATATCTTTATTTGGTCTGAAAAGATATAACAAGTAAATTTTGAAGCTCAGAGGAAACCACCCTGAGCCGAAAATCCCCATCACTACTGACGATTTCTTTCGAGAACACTTCGTCACTGGTGAGCATAATAGAACTGACTTTTGATAATCCTTTACACCCCATAATAAATCAGTACCAAGCGACTGATAAACTCGATTTTTTTTATTTCATCAGTTCGAGAATCTACTTTACTAAATTAATGTCTCGTAATTTATTGTGAAATTAAGTGGCGAGATGTAATAAAAATTTTATTCACGTATTTGTCAAATCATTGTGACACTTCAAATGCAACAGTCTTCATAAAAAACCTTAAATAAAGGTTATTATGTTTACTAGTGATTACGAGAGGTAGTTCTGAATGTAGTTCAAGTAAGGAGCTGTGACCACATATCCAATCTAGCTCAACGTAAAAGAAATACTACTAATGACAAAGGTTTGAACCCCATCCCACCTAAATCAGTTTGGGCGATTGGGTACCATCATTACCCCTCACGCTTGGAGTGTGGCTCACACCCAAGTACCTGTTAAATGAGTTAATTTAATTACAGAAACAATGGTCCAGACTGATACTTGCCGAATATCGCGAATTAACTAAACTTATAGACATCATCCTTTAGATGCCAACTCAGCAGCCACAAGATTAGTAAGTGCTTCCTGAGAGGTCGAAAGGTTGGTCCCACTTCAAACAGTCTCTAATTCGAAGTTACACTAGATACAATTGGTTGATAGACCACTTAGCACACTGAATCGCGTGTCAGGAAATAAATGCTGGTTAAGCTTAATTCATATCAAATGATTTCATTGCTAGTCTTTGTGATTTCAAGACAAAATTTTGTTTTGATTTGTTGATACGCACAATTTATTGTAAAAATGAAATTAACCTTTGGTGCTTTTCAGTTTCCCTACGACCCGTACTATTCATCAAACAATAACAACAATTGTTTTTTCCCTTAACAGACAATATGGTTACATGCCGGACCCAGATACGTTATACTATCTTCATTTAACCCTGACGTATGCTTAACTTTAAGGTTAAAACAATCTTTTTTTCCAGTCTTGTTTATTTCCCGTGGTGGTTATCCAAATGATAGTAGTCACAAGTCAGATCCACGACACCACAACATATTCTCTGCAATAACTTGGGCACATATAATGAACTTAAATGGGATTGTTACAGTGGGATATCATTTCGGTTCGACAAATGATGTAGATGAAAGGCAGCTCAAATATCTTGAAGCGGATTTGGAGAGTAAACAGCTATCCTGTTTTGTGTATGGTGATGGTGTGTCTGAAATCCGTTTTTATAGAAAAGCATCACAACTTAACTTGACTGGAGTAATCGTTGATCGGTTAGATGAATTTATGCATATGTACCATGAACAATGCAAAACAAGTACGCAATTAGAGTCTCCAAACCTTTAATTAATTTCATGAATTTTAAACATATATTTAATTGATAGACAGTAAATTTGTACAATTAACTTTTTTTTGTAAAAAATGTTTACTGGTATAAAGAAAATTTAGTTAAAGATCACATGTATATTTAGTTACGTACTTTTTTTGTGTAGTACGTAAAAGTTTGGACATAAAAATCTCATAACAAACCTCTAAGAAATATTTACATATGGAAAGCAGAAGTTAGTGAACGTAAATAATTGGAAGTTTAGATGCATTGGAAGACTACTTTATCACGCAAAGCAAATGTCAATGCTTTTGGGCACTTTTGATTCGATCTAGTCTTCGTTTCAAATCCATTAGTTCAGTGGTGGACATAGTAGGCCTTTGTTCTGTTTCAGGTCGAACATTTTCATCAGGAGAATCACCTTTTGGTTGAACCATATTCTGAAAAATAAAATTTTATTTGCTATGCATAATTTAAAGTTAATCTCTATATGTGAACAGCGAAAGTAATCCTTCATCAGAAATCATCAATAAATCTTGTGCTATTGCTGGAAACTTCGATTTCAAATCACTGTTTTGATAATACAGATGATCAGTTGGAGACCGTAGCGAAGATCTATCACACTACATGCATACTCAGATAATAAACCTCAAAACTGCTACAGTAACAAACAGACACTTGACAATTATATGTTAGTTGTTGCACTACTTCACATGTTTCTACATAAGCAGTCGAATCCAAATGAATATGAACGAGAAGAATAATTCTACATCAGAGTTTCAGAAATAATGGCAACTGGTTCAGTTTAGCTTTACTCAGCTCAGTTTTGGTAGTTATGTTGTAATCTTTGTAATTGCAAATAGAGGCCAGTACAAATATTTTTTTTAAAACTTAATTTGCACGACTGTTAGTAAACATGGGTTCAAAGTCTGACCAACACACACTATTTAATAACAAATTTTAAAAACCGCAACTAGTTCACTGGAGTAAAATTTGTGTGGACTTCATACAAATCCTTTTAAATTTGTTGTACACTTGAAGTCAGTGACATTCATGTTCAAATTTAATAATAATTTAGAAATGAACGTCCATTGAAGAAATTTAAGTCAATATTGAAAGTTAAACAAATAGGATAGCAAAAAATGTCGATAAATGACGATTGAATCAAGTGATTTTTATGACAATTGTGCCTAGTTGAAACCTGTTATTTTGTGTTCAGTTGGGAGTATTTCCTTACTGGCTTTTGTTGATTGTTTGGAAGTGCAAGAAGCATAACCAATACATTTTTACTTGTGAAATGCACACGAATCTAATCAGGTCTCGCAAAGCTACTTATTTTTGAAATAGACTTACTCGAAGAGTTGTTTCAAAGGCTGTATTTTGTGAACCAGCTTCATCAGATGGCCCAATATTATCATCAATGTTCGTTGTAGATACACCACCAAGACCCAGTTCTCTTCGTAGCATCGCCAATCGATTCATAAATACTTTGGGATCAGTTAGTTGGCCATTAGAAATATCTGCATCAAAATCTGGATTCCAATTAGGACGCGCTAAAATGCCATTAGTCTGTCAAAAAATAAGGACAGTATACTAGACACGAAATTCGGAATCCACACAATGATATCAGTATATAGGTAAAGAGCATAATTATGGAATTCACTGTATAACCGCAGTGTTCAGACTTATCTATTCAAGCATAACAGCTTATGAGCTTATTGTTTAAAGTGAGTAAAGCAAATATCGATTTCATTTAGCGACAACTGATAGTAAGATAACTTCTACTATCGGACAAGAGATTTTGGAGACAAAGGTTTCCAATTTGGTAATCAAAAACAGATTTGTGTATGTACGTTCAATCTTTAGTCGCATTTTCTTGTGCACTGTTGTGATTGTTTGCTTCTTTTCGTTCACCTTATGTTCGTGTGTAACCATGATGACTAAGGGTATCCCCGTCTATTCAAATCGATGTAGGCGGGGCAAGGTTCCAATAGGTAAATCGTGAGTTGACTTTACCACTGGGCAAACGTCCCAGATTGAAGACTATCAACAAGAGTGAAGTCTTGTAAACAAATCTCTCAACAAGATCGTAGTACATCTTTTAGTTTTTAAGAGACTAACTAAAAAAAGTAACTGAAGTACTTACTTGATGAGCTGCTAATGTGTTTGGTTCTTTATCATTTGCACTTAGTCTAGCCTGACGGGCGCGTTCAACAGCTATATTTCGTAAAGCTTGTTTTATGTAGGCTTGGAAAAATTGGCTTGTGTTTGTTAAGTATGACGATAAATCTACATCTGGATAGAGTTGAGTGAAATCGTATAGTTCATTTAAACCCTGGCGGAAAAATAGAACGTGAAGATAGCACATGTGAATGAACTAATGATAATAATGATTTTAATATGAGGCGCATCTGCTTGCGCCTCACTGGACGCAAAAAAACCACATTAAAAAGACCCGTTAGAACTAAGTTGAGTAACGAGAAAACCAAAAGTAGGTTCCAGGAACAACTGAGGTCACACTTAGGTAGATGTGAAGACGAGGCTGACCCAGATGTTGCTTGGAAGGGCATACAATCAGCTGTGGAAACAGCAGTGACATCTATTAGTGACTTAAACCACAGAGTTGCAAGGAACCAGTGGATTTCTTCAAGGTCTGTCACACTGATGGATTCTCGCAAACTCGTCCCATCAGGTTCTGAACATGATGAAGAGCAACAACAAATCAGATCTAGGTTAATAAAAAGTCTAAGGAACGACCGTGAGCAGTGGTGGGTAACGAAAGCAAAAGAGATGGAAAAGGCGGCGACTATAGGGAACACAAGACAGCTTTACAGACTTATAAAAGAAACTGGAATTCATAATTCAAGTGTAAGTGAGATTATTTCGGAAAAAGATGATACTCTCATCTACTCCCAATCCAGACGTTTAAAACGATGGGCGGAACATTTTAGGGAACAGTTCAGCTAGCATTTAGCGACTCTACAACTACCCTCCATTCTCAGACAGTGTGAATGGAACATTGAAGTAGGCCCCCCAACTCTTGCTGAAGTTCAAAAGGCTATAGTTAGTCTGAAACGAGGAAGGGCAGCTGGTCCAGATGGATTGACTCCAGAGGTCTTTAAGAATGGTGGTACAATATTAGCGATCAGGTTGACTAATATTTTAGCTAAGATCTGGGAGTTAGACTTTATCCCATCTGACAGGTCACAATCACTTATCGTCCCATTATATAAGAAAGGGTCAAAATCATCCTGTGACAACCACAGAGGGATTAGTTTAACTAATATAATATCTAAAATACTAGCTTCGATAATTATCGGGCGGCTAACAAAGTCTCGTGAACCGCAAATACGAGAACACCGGTTTGGCCTCAGACCTGGTCGTGGCTGCATCGACCACATATTCACTACTCGTCAGATTTTCGAACACAGGCATGCTTATCGGCGTCTGACAGTAGTGGTCTTTCTTGCCTTAAAAGGAGCATTTGACTCTGTAGACCGAGAGGTTCTGTGGCAGTGTTTATCGCCGAAAGGTGGATGTCAGAGGTAAATAAACCTTGTGAAATCTCTTTGCCCGAACACTACTAGTCGGGTCAGGGCTTATGGCGAACTGTCGTTTGCTTTTGCAACGTTAAGTGGTGTCCGTCTAGGCTGTCCACTTTCTCCATTTCTGTTTAACTTCATCATAGACCTACTGATGGAAATAACATTCTCGTCGACTGAATTCTCGGGTATTGATCTAAATCCAGGAGGTCCACTTATCGACTTCGATGACAGATGACATAGTCCTGTTTGGTGAAGACGCTGACAAAATGCAGAGTCTTCTGGTAGCACTAAGCAACAATGCCAGAATGTTTGGAATGCGCTTCTCTCCCTCTAAATGCAAGTTGTTGCTTCAGGACTGTCCTACGTCAACACCTGAACCAAGGATAGGGAGTAAAGTAGTCGAACGCGTTGACAACTTCACTTATCTTGGAAGTGTGATCAGCCCTAATGGGTTGGTGTCTGATGAAATCTCAGCACGGATTCGAAAAGCTCGTTTGGCTTTTGCCAACTTACGTCACCTTTGGCGGAGGCGAGATATCCGTCTATCAATAAAAGGACGAGTATACTGTGCGACAATCCGTTCTGTTTTAATTTACGGCAGCGAGACATGGCCATTAAGAGTAGAAGACACCCGTAAGCTACTAGTATTTGACCACAGATGCCTCAGAAATATTGCTGGCATCTGCTGGGATCACCGGGTAAGTAATAGTGAGGTTAGACGCAGGGTATTAGGGAATGATGGTATATCAGTTGATGAGGTTGTTAATCTTCATCGACTGAGATGGTTGGGCCACGTATTACGTATGCCTGAACACCGATTACCACGACGTGCAATGCTAACCGGTGTAGGGGATGGTTGGAAGGAAGTTAGGGGCGGCCAAACCAAAACGTGGCATCAGTGCCTGAAGTCACTAACTTCTAGTCTGAGCCATGTTGGTAGATGCAGACTACTTGGTTGGGGTCTGCGGGACTGTCGTAACCAATGGTTGGAGACTCTTCGTGACATGGCTCATAATCGATCACAATGGCGTCGGTGTATACACTCCCTATCTTCCCTTAAATTAAGAGATTAAAATCGCTTCATACCTTTTTTTCTACGAACCAATTTTTTCTTCTTGTACTATATCTCTATATGCAATCTTTCTCTTACATATTACCATCTAGACCTAACCACTGCTATGAATCCGGTGTTCATCTTGTGTGCTGATGCGGTATGGCAACCTGGACCGATGCACATATGTGCCTGGTCCTACGTTGTAGCTGACTGACTGACTGAATATGAACATTTATTGACTTGTATTAAATGTAACTATTTAAGACAGAGAACCAATGAAACAATATACCAACATATTTTTTAGATTCAAAATTAACGTGTATAAAATATTTACTCAACTGGAACAGGATTATCGTTGAGATATTGTTTAGATTAAGAAAAACATGATGGGAATGTGCTATAGTAATAGAATTTCAGGAGACTCAACAGCTTACATATAGATAAAAATAGGTTACCACAGAACTCAAGCCAATAGTAAGATGTGAGTTAATCGGCTGTTCTGTATTCCGATATTCAAATTTCCTGGGCATTAGGAAGTTCGGTTTAGTGGGTAAATATCTGTTTGATTATTTTGGTTGCATATTCAACAACATTAAATTCAACAATCAACTCAACTAATATAACCAGCAACTGTTCAAATACTTACATAAGATAGTCGGTTAAATAAATAATGAGTACTTACCTCATCAGGTTTCTTAGATCCAACCTTCTTGAATATTTCGGTTAATTTCTCACGAGTTGCAGTAGAAAGTACAAATCCCTATGAAAATATAGGTGTTTTCTAAATTACAAGAGATCAATCAGTTAAAAAACCACAATACGAGCACCGTACATTTAGGCAATTACTAAAAAATGGTTCTTTAACAATCTACGCAGACTTCCACTCACTCACAATACGACCATTAGTAATTTGAAACACTAGCAAATAGCTGCTCGGAAAAATTTATTCTTGATATAACGGATGGCTTGAAATATTTTTTTTCTCCCAGGTATAATACTACAATAGGTAAATACGATAATGAGATCAGTCATGTTATATCAGAATCCAGGATTCATGAACCGGAATAACACTAGATAATACTTTATTCAATATAGTCACACTCAGTGAGTCCGGGGTAGAAATCAATGAGAGAGAAAGGAATTGCATATTTAGTAGTTAGTAGGTTATGCATGTTTGTCCAAGCTCAGTGACTGATCATATTTTATCTTCACTAAAACAAACCAATTCTCCAAACGTTAAAACACTTTAAAAAACATGTAAATGGTGACAGAAAGTAACGAAACCATCTAAAAATGCTTGTACTAAACAGTATAAGATTTTTCGTTGTTATTCTTCAAATGAGAGATATTTAACGTGCTAAAAATAACAAGTTTTGCAGTAAAGATCCATTTGCGAATGAAAACTAAGACACCTCTTCTCGACATTTATTGTAAATGGAGATAAAAAAATCTCAAAAGCAGAGAGGATCGTGGATAAACATTTTTTGAGTAGGAAATATCTATATTTATGCTGATTGTAAACCTTCATGTTTTCTACTTTGACAACATATGGAAAACCAGCAAATCCATTTGCGCTTAACAGTCTTTAGTCATAATATTTTCAAATAACAAAATATTCAATCTATGTGTATATGAAGACAATAAATTCCGCTTACTTTTGAATGACTTTCAGAGGCCAGTATTTTTTTGGAATCAGAGGTAGTTGTAACTCCTGAAGTAGTTTTTAGTGTGCGAATGAGGTAGGACTCCAGTTCTGAATCTTCCTATTAGTAAGGAAAAAAGTATGGGTACATTCTAAAGATACTTTGAAACTACTTGGTACTTTCAGAGAACCAAAACAAACTAAGCAACAGAAGTATATAGCATAACTTCCTCCTTGTATAGCCAACCAATTTAATACTTCATTGAGTTCCCCAAGTGTAGGGATTATATTGGATCAGAGGTACTTAGCTAAATAAGTCGATAGATCCAGGAATTTCAAGGGTTATATTGAAAAGCCACTTGATTTATGGAATGAGAATCTGATGTTTAAAAAATATACAACCATAACAAATTCAAGTTCACTTCTGTTGACGTGAATTTAGGATGGACATATACACAATCCACTAGGAAATACCAACATTTTAGTACATATTGTAGCAAGCCCATTCAACTATTGTATTATTTGTCTACTCATTGTAATTCAGACTATGTTAATTTCTGTGTGTGTGATTGAGCGCGTGTCTGCACATCAACCTTAATCTATTGTCCTATTGGTTGTAACATACAGATAATCAATAATTTATCCACATTTGATTGACACTCAAAAATATATATGGATTTTCAACTCTCACACACTCGTGGTTTCACAGAGTGCTTGTTCTCTGTACGCTTGTGGATTTTATTCATCTTTAACAATAAAATATCTCTACAACTGGTGTTCAGGCTTCTATCTTAAGTACTCAGTTAACGAGGTATCATTTATTGGAATCAGATATAGAGGAAATTAAGCCTCAACAATATACATTAATATTGGACCTCAGGTGATAAAAAATTGCTTGGCATATTGCTTAAAAAGTTTTAATTAGTGATCTATTTGAATTAATCTGAACAATACATGAAGAGAGTAATAAAATGAAGTAGTTTTTACTAGTACAGGTCGAGAATGGTTAAAAATCCGACCAAGATTAAGAAATATTCAAGGGGTTTTTTCTTCTACGATTATTCAGTAATAAATGTTCATGAAGAAATGTCGAAATTAGGGGAAAAACAGTAACACAAACAGAGGATGCCAATTTTGTTTCTGGGTTGACACACACAAGACGCAATGTTACAATATACCGTGTTCTTGAAAAATTTTGAATTTAAAAATGTAGCTTTTAAGTAGCTTAGGGTTAGATTAATTTTAAGTTCTATAACAAAATATACGAATGCCCAAAAATACCTACCTTATTAGGTATACTTTCTAGAAACTGTAAAATTGATGGACCTTGGAGGCCACATAATACATGCAATAGGGTTTTGATTGTTCGTAAAGGAACATCTGATTTCCGTGCACTCCATGAGGAAGGTGGGAAAGCCTTTAAAAAATGATGACAGTCCAGAAGTATGACATCCACAGAGTAATTATTAACTGATGCCGACAGAAAAAAAACAGTATGTAGTTTAATTCTTGCTTTCAGAAATAGAGAAATACTGAAGTTGAATACAACAGATCATGAACATTAAATTATCCACACAAACAAGTGGAAAAAAGAACCATACTTAGTTGTATAAAGTAGGTAACGAACGAAAAACCTTACAATGGGAGTAACAAATTTTTATAGATACATAATTTATAACATATCGGAGCGTATGAATGCATGTAGTATTTCTTAAAATTGAATTGGATAGCAAAAAGAGTGCGTTAAGACTATCGACTTCTTAAATTTATTAACCCAAACCATGTAAATAAGGATATATATTTTAATCTCAGATATAAGTAGTGTGACTCAGTATTAATTGGAATCCCCGGAACAAAACAGTAGAAAGCTGATTCAGATGTTCATACAGAACAGCAAGTAAAGACAATGGTTGTTCAACGTTAGGTCTGACAAACCACACACGAATGTGATGAAAAGGTAAAGGGTCAATACTATCAATGTTGTAGATTATGGTTCTGAATTTCCTACGTACGCATTTTAGTTGATGTGATATATGATTCATAACAACTGTCCACAAGACAGAATTATTGAGTCAGTCAGCAACAACGTACAGAGATATAATTGTCGATTCAAATCCCATAGTGGTAGGGGTAGTAAAAGTATAAGCAGAAACAGGAAAGATTAGGGTTTGAAGATGTTACTCAAGGAGTATGATCCAATCAAATTATTAAGTGATCCCCAATCCAGATCAAAACGATAGTAAAATACAACATAAATGTCAGGAAAGGAATTTTCTTTCTAGAAAAATGGCTAGATTGTTCGAAATGTATAGCGCAGATACATCATATTATTCAGATAAAACTCCGTCTGCTCATTACTTATTTATTTACGCCTGTTACTCCTAATGGAGCATAGGCCGCCGTCTGCTCATTGCTCTATCGAAATTTATGAAAGGGACTAATTGTTTTAAATTTCTGACAATAAATATTGTTAAAAATCAATCAAGTTATAAGTGGATGTAGGTTATGCGTTTTGATCGATTATATATTCTCCACTTGATGTAATGAAATTAAGACCTAATAACATAGACTAGTAATTGCTATCTATGCCAATCAATTACTATTACATAATATGAAAACAAAGTTTGTCGCAAATGGCTTAAATCTTAGCACACATAAAAAGTAAGTTAAAAGTGAAAGTGTTTAGTAGTGAAACTTGAGATGAGAGTTGTTGTTCATGAAAGCGATTGATTACACTGAAGTTCTTTCAAAAAACCTTCAATCTTAGATCAACATCAATGAGTAAAATGTAAACTATACCAGGTAGCTTACATTAGACAGAAATCTTGCGAGATAAGGTGGTGGAAGTGTAGAACCTTCATTTACTTGATTGATATCATTGAGAAAACACATGTCTGAAATCAAATCAGGACAAGCAACCACTAATGAGAAATACTTCAACTATACGCACCAACGTTGAACAAACTTACATGCAGTATTCATCCCCTTAGTAATACGCCATATACTTTTGAGGATAGCTTGTGTGAATCGATTTGTAAAGTGTCCGTTACTGATACATTCATGTAGTAACCGAATGAGCGCACTGTAGCATAAAAAAGAAGTAGTTCAATAGTTGTTAGTAAAGTGTAATCAATCATTGTACTAAGACTATAATAATTCAAAGAAATAAGTAGTATATATTGTAAAGTTTTTATAAAAATCTGTCTTTAGCGATAAAGTCTAACTTAAACACTCATATAAAATAAACATCACTCTTTGATAAATTTTGCAAACAATCTAATCTTTACGTCTCATTAGTTTAATTTCCCAATAAAATATTGAATTAAATTTGGGTAGCGAATAAACAGAATTACAAATAACATTATACTTTTACTTGAACGGACACTGCAGGCCTAAACCACCTTAGATTCAAGTTCATTAATTAATTAAACACCATTTCAACAGTTGGGACGGCAACACCACTGCAAACAATAGTATTCTTGGCAAACAAATAGCATAAACGGTAGAGGTGAATATCTATCATGCAATAACGCATGCTGAACGCACCAATAACAGCTGGAAAAACACTTTGAAAGTATTATCTCATAGAGGAGAGATAGAATTGAACAGATAGCTTCTCATGAAAACGGACTAAGAGACCAGTAATGAATCGAAAATATACGTAAAAGGTAAATTGATCGTGTTTATAATTATTTGGACTGTATGATTACAGTATTACTACTACAGTCCAGTGGTCTCACCGCGCCAATGGATATAGAAATAAGTAAAGCGGATAAAAAACACAGCAAAGTATAACCGAGAAAATACTCATATTTCTGGTAGATGAAGTTCACAATTGTAAGTAACTATATATTATCGAAAACTGAAAGTAAATAATATACCTGAGTATACGTGTTCCATTGGAAGCCTCCAAAATAAGAACAAATAATGCATTGATCGATCTGATAACATTTTCTCCACTGGACATTTCAGCAGTCCTTTCATCCAACATCATTTGAAGGAGAGACTGGGATAATTCTCTTAAAGTTTCCCGTGAAGCTTCGCGACCTAATGTTGGACGACTAAAAAGCTGTGTAAAAAGACAGTAAGTTAAATTTTTAAGTTAATTTGAAAAGAACACTGATTATTTAGGGAAAATGCAAGAAAGATTATGAGTAAAAGTTACACAGAAAGGTACCTATGTATGTTTGTACAACATAAAACATTCATAAGGCGGGAATCCACAATAATAGAAATGTAAAATAAACAAGCATTTAGATTTGAACGAAATTCAAAGTACACAAAGTTGATTTTATCTAGATTGTCAAGAATTTACAACAAATGGCTTTGAAATTAATCAGTTTATTTAAGAAGCCCATAAGTTAATACACATATCTCAGACCAACGTTAAGTAGCTTTATTAATGTCTTAACTTCTAGCTTAATGGTTTTTTGACAACATAGGAAACTTTAATTTGTGAGATATCTTTAGTAAAAAAGTAAAGATTATTGAACTTACAGATTCGATAGTGGCCAAATGAGACCGAATTAATGTATGCAATTGCTCCTCTGAAACTGAAGGATCTCCAAAATATCGCGAAGTAACTTGGCGTAACTGCATTGTAATAAGCATCAGGACTTGATTGACATGATTGAGTAAAAGGTACCACTTTTCATCTAGATTATTAAAAGTGAAGAGATATGTTATGGTGTAATTAAAAAATAAATAATTACTCAATATGACTAACAATATATCTAAACATGACAAACTTCAAGTCACTAAAAACACTGAAGGTTTTATTATTAATATTATTTAAACACACGCCACGTAAATCACTCGATTTGTGTGAGGGCTGGAATACTGTCCGACAGCCCAAACCAAAGCAGACAGTTTTCCAAGAAGACCAATCTTTGAGCTTTTCACTTAGAGGTCCAAACTACAAGGCAGTGGAGCAACGTTAGGAGATTCAGTCCCTTGGTAACCGGTGACCAATAATTAGTTCATACACCATCTGTTGTCTCAGGATCCTGGATCCCACGTACACCATTGGTTTGGAATCAAGGCTTTCCAACTCCCTTAGGTGGATCCTTCATATCCTGGTTAAAGCGCCGGACATTCGATTTTCGTCCTCACGATTTCGTAAACAACAGCATAGCCGCGAGGAGAATCGATGAAATTATAAAATAATTTTACATTGATAATATAACTGAGGAAAAAATGTGAAAGTTATTAAAACCGTACCTCTAAGAACAGTGTCGATTTCGGCCAAAGCATGACAACTGATTAGTAAATCATTGGAAGATATAGCCGTTACGACCATTGTGATCGCCGAAGCAGTATCAGGACTTGTTCGTAACAGTGCATTGAGAACAGGTTGGCGCACGTGTGCTCTAAAAGTGATATAAACCCATGACAGTAAAATATATATAAAAGAATAAAATTAAGATAATTGTTCACTTGAATTAAAATACCAAAAGTAATAGAAAACATTGTGAATACTCACTTCAATGCTGGAATTTCAACTGGTTGGAAAAGATCATTTATATCAGCATCTAACTGAATAAGTGGAGGCATACATGGAGCTTTCTCAGGTGATAAATCACCTAATTCATTCAACATAGCACGCGCTCTAGCATGAGCTGCAGAAACCGGTTGCTGACGGCGAAATTCGTTAGGAACAGGCTCTAGAGGATTACGTGAATCTGATGGATCGCTGATATAAAAATGGAAAATAAGGAACAAAAACAAATCCGAATTACTACTTATAATACTACTACCTCAGACAGATTAATTTATATGAATTCATGATAGAACTATGCAGGGAAATTGTTATATCCGAGTGGAGATTAAATTACAGGTAACTTCCGAGGACTATTCATGGACTAATATTCTATAAATATTCTTATTGTATAACTATTCAACAATTACATTATGTATATTTATATCCCTCTTATGACAAGCTTTATTTTGGTCTATAATTTATTATTGTACGATTTACGGTTCTTAAGTTATGTTCAGTTTATTAACTACTGCCTCCCTCATTCACAGCCACTTTTTGGGCTTATTTGTGTACAAATATTATTTCCTATTTTATGGTACGTTGAGGTCTGTGTGATTGATATATAAACCAAGTATGCCTGAAATAAACGATCTGCTCTGATTCGGAAGCTGGTATCTTGTTCTGGACTCAAGTGGAAGGGCTCGTAGGACATAGGACCAATAAGGACGCTAAACTGCCCACACCGCTTGAACGTTATTGGTTGGCCTAGTGTAAAGATCCGTATAAGTCGTATTCGGATTGGTAGATAAATCGCGTGATAGCAAACACAGAGATTCAAGGCCATAACAGAAATACACAGATAAGTTTCTAGTATTCTCGAAAATAAGATACTATGATAGGACGTCGGCAGAAAACAAAGTCGTACTCTACATTCAGGAATATTTCAGAGATAACCCTTCGATTGAAAAAAAGTAAATAGGATTGAAATTTAAGGATTATATAACAAACGTTAACTTTAGAATACATACCGTCTTGCAGTGCTCGGTCTTACAGACGGTGTCTTTGGTTCAAAATTATCTACAGTATTGATCGGTATTTGCCCAGCTCGTTTGATACGTTCTTCCAGCATTGAACGTTCTTTTTCTGGTATCTGAGACAAACGAAGAACATGATAATACATGACTACAATGGTACACAAGTATGCTATTTTAGATGGATTAAAATATGACCTAGGAACAGGGAACGGAATGAAGTTCAGCAACACAACAGGACCAGCTAAGCTGTTTTACTGTTCCCCAAACCATCAGCAACGACCTACTGTGGTAGAGAACAAATCAGCTATGAACCGAAGAGGGAATTAGGAAAAGAAGCTGGAGGTGGACACACATTGAGGAAATCATCAAAGCGGAAAGATTGTTCAGGACAGAGTTCGACTGAGAATGCTGGTTGGCGGCCTTTGCTTATCCATCAGGGGCAACAGGAGCAAGTGAAACTTAACTGTCTTAATGATATAATAGAAATAGGAACTGAAAATATTAATGCAAGAGTATAATACCGAGTGAAGCGAGGGATGAGTTAAGATTCTGAGCCAAAATAGTTTACTCGCTGGTATTTTTGATTAATACTTTCTGTATGAAAAATTTATATTACTAGCTTAATCGTCGTAGAAATAAGTTTACTAGTTGACAATATTCCCAAGTGGAATAAAGATCAACTTAACAACGTAGTAATATAGAACAACTGAAATCTCTTACATCACCGATAACCTTCCATATCTGTTCACCAATAACAGCATACGCAGAAAGTAAAGCATTCAAAGCTGCTGATCGAACTCCGCTATCACGATCACCAATTTGTTGAGCGATCAATTTGATTGCAACGGGAATAGAAGGCTGGCAAACATTTAATCCAAAACGATCAATCAGAGAACCCATCTCATCCAAGCACTCTAAAACAAAAAATAAATAAGAATCAACAGGACAGTAAAGCAACTGTGAGAGATGATTACTAGATATGATACTTGCTTACGTATGTAACGCACATAAACAACGAAGCTAACCTTGTCTTGTTTTACTTGTTTTGGCCTTAGTCCCATTAGTGAGAAATGTGAATAGACGACTGGGTGGATAGAGATTAACCACAAGTTTCAATATTCCTCGAATATTCTGTCGAATTATATCTTTAGGTTCACCCACTTTCATTACCAAATAAGGAAGAAATGAACCACCTTCATGTTCAGAAAGATTTGCTCCAGACTCTGACATAAAAACGAATAATTTTGTTAGATAATCCATACCTGTATTATTCGAAAGAGGAAATGAGAATAAAACACAATTCAGCCTAAATAGCTATTACAAAGTTTTAGGAACAACAAATACAAATATCACAGTGATATTTATTACGATAGCTCAAATATTTATGACCTGATTAACATCTTATTTTAGACTAATCTTTACAACGTGTATCCCCAAACAAATACAAGCAGAGATACGGTTGTAGAATATTTCATAAGAGTGCAATAGCATAGAACGAAAAACTGACAAAATTGTAGAAATGCCAAAATAAAATGAATATAAAGTTTACAAACGAAAGTAAATGATGAGTAAGATTTTGAAGGTAATGGATAAATCGGCGAAACTATAATTTATGGAAGAATCAATCAGATATAAGATAAGGGGTCTTGAATTTAGGCGCGAAATTTATTCATCCATTTGGCTAAATAGCGTTTTGGCATTTTAGCTGATGTCAGTCAGTAACGAAAACCTTAAATCTAGTTTCTAATTCTAACCATCAACTGTAAATCACAATTCCAATTCCGTGCATTGCTTTATAACTGTCATTTAGTCCCAGTTAGTAGGTGGACAATAACAAGGTCACTTTAGCGTCGCTCAAAGTTTGTCCATAAATTGTAGTCTCGTTAATAGATTTGTAGTATATTGACTGAATGAGTAATCAATATTTTGAGGACCTTACGAGTGAAGTTTATACCTTCCACACGTAACTCATATATTCAGTCAATGACTTCGTAGACTGAATTCATATCTTTATCTCGTTACAATTATGTTTGATCAACCTATGGTTAACTAGTTTAGTCAACTATATCAATGTATCTTTTAACTGGGTAATATAGGTTGATAATTTGGATGATTTAAATATTAGTCATTAGTTGACAGAATGATCAAACAACTGTGCACAAATTCAATTTTATAGGAAAGTTATCAGTTATATACAAAAAAGAATAACTTAGAGTATGAAATCATTAAATTTCATTAAAACTTATTTTGTAGTTTGGGTACCGATGAAGATTAATTTAATTGATATTCGGAGTATCAAATTAACTTACATCTGCCTAAAACAACTGGATTAGTTTCAAAGAATCGTAGAACAATCCATCTCAAGATAATATCTACATTTATTACAGTAGCCTCACAGCCTTCAGTGGTATCTAGTAATTGAGAAAGCTGTTCAATCGCCTTAATGTGTTGTTTAAAGTCGGTATGAAATAAAAGTGCATGAAATTCAGGAGCGGTTCCAGCTGCAGTGAATAATGTACTTAATTGTTGTATGTGGTCTTTTGTTGGAGCATCGAAATCCCATTTTAAAAGCTGTAAATTAGAAAAAATGAGTTTTTGAAAAACAAAACGGAAAGTAAAGACTTACAAAAAGTTGTATACCTTTCATTGAAATCATGAACAGAACAATATTAGACTAAAATCGAAAACCCGGAAGCACAGGAAGATCGTTTCGTCCTACTATGGGACTCCTCAGCATTGTGCATCCACAATCCCGCATTCGGAACTCGAACAAAGGACTTTCGGTCTTGTGCAAACGCTTAGCGTATAGACCACTGAGCCGGCACCCAACGGAGTTAATATCTAATCTTAACCAATCCATGATGTTGGGCAACCACCTTACATTTATTAGAGGATACCAAAACGTTATTTAATTAAGACTATTCAATTTGTTCATAGGAATAACACTGGATATGTAAACCGAACATTTAACATAATCGAATACTTCCATACTTTCTGACTTTAAGTAGTCTAATTTGCGTAACTATGATGCCTTGCTGTCATTCAGTAATCTGAATCATCCAGTCAAATTTGTCATTAACTACATAGGTTGTACAAGAGGTATTCTCACTCATTGCTTTCAGTGAGTATCACAAATTTATGCTTGAAATATTATCCATGTATATTTCTCAAAATATAATTCGAAATTACAAATTTCATGCATAAAAATTCAATACGTTAATAGTTTAATGTGTATATTTGGAAATAGACACAATAAACAACAAATGGAACAGGGTTATTTAAAAAAAATACAGAACCATTACCTTGCGTTTTTTCTCATCATTTAACCTAGAACTCTTAGCTGACTTATTTGGCGGAAGAATTATGGATGTCGTTGCCAGTTCCGGACCTGACTTTTTAGACGTGTTGATAGACTTTTTATTATCAGCCTTTTTCTTCGTATCGGAAACAGACTTTGAGGTATTGACTGAAGATTGCGTAGCATTTTCAGATTCCTCGCTATTTTCTAAAATTCAATGATTGAAATGAAAAAGATAAGGTAATCTTTTCTATGAAGCATATAATCCAGTGAAAAACGGATGTCTTATTTAAATTTTCCTGTAAAATACATGAAAGAAATACCTGGAGTAGTAGCTGGGGCATTTGAGGAAGGTTGTGGAGGTGCTCCATTACCTACACGTACCGCTTTAGATGGAGAAGAGGTTTTTTTCTCAATGGATGAGGGATGTGAATTAACTACACTTTCACGAGCTTTCTCCAAATGAGGCATAATTGAATCCTTTGAGGTGGGCTTCAAACGATTGGTAGACTTTAAGACAGGTTCCCAGCCAAAAACTTGTATTAATGAAGGAAGAACTAGTTGGGCTTGTTTACGAGCTTCAACATTACGATCTTCAAGAGAAGCAAATACCTGAGGTATTAGATTCTCTGTTATTTCTGAAGCGTTTTTCCGCAGGGCGTTTAATGGCATAGGTGAGAGAACATCTTGAAGCCAACGTAGTAATTCGGCTCGTAAAAATGGATTTTCCATCTAAATAGTAAATAAATAGAAAGATGAATAAAGAGTTTAGATTATAAAACAACTTTACATAGAACAAAACGTTATGAATGATTATCTTAAAAACCAATAACGAACAGTTTAATGAGCCATTAAAATCTTATTAATTATCTTCGTCTATAATCTAATAAGTAATCTTTCATTTCACACACACATGTAATGACTCAGGAATCAAGTTTAGTTCACATACATCAGTCAGCATTTATATTTTTATGTACTAGTCCAAGTATACATGTATTAGTGACGATTAAATGTAAACAGTAATTAATGTTTCGGTCGAAATTGGCTCAGGTTATCTTCAAAAAGGTACATGAAAAGATACTTACCTTTAAGGCATCAGCTAACATGTCATTTTCAAATACTGATAAAATGGGAACTCGACTTTGCCAAGAGCTAAGTGCAGTTACAGCTGCCTCACGTATTTGAACTTTTGAATCACCAAGACAGAGTAAAATAGGGGGTTCAACATACCTAGAAAATAGATCGGTTGAGTAATAAGTTAATAAAATATTTGTAGGAAAACTGAGTTATTTTAAATGAGGATTCGCGTGCTTATTACATACGATTGTTATTGAAATTCGGAAAGTTTGGTATCAGTTCCTACTTGTCTTAGTTAAAACAGTACTGTTAATATTTCTGAAAGGATTGCTAGATTATAAAATTTGTGCTTCCGGTTTTGCAGAATCAGAGTGAGTATAGCTAAATTGTAAACGTATAGATATGTTTCAATTGATCTTATGTATTATTCTTGAAATAAGATAAACCATCTTACTTCACCAGTATGAAATAACCTAATAACATTTTTTTATTTGCCATCAGTTAGAATCCAATAAGCTTTGTACAGTACACCTTAGCATAGTTCATAATAACAATGTGTTAAAAATTTCTTAACTTCAACATTTTATTTTATCACGTTACGCAACCTCATTTTATTATTATTAATCTTTATCTGTTCTTAAGATCTTAATAACCACACTTTCACTTCCTTACCAAGAACAAAATTTTTTCTGCGATTTTGTTACTATACACAGTACGTTGTTTTTTTAACAAACATATTACTGCAAAGAAAGAGTATAACTATGATTGTACTGTTTTAAGAAAAATCCGCCAAAACGAGAACTCTTTGTTGAACATATCTTTTCTATCTTTGTCTTAATGAGTACATTTCATTTATTTAAAAAGTTTGTCAATATTAGATACGATCAAAGACAGATACGTACAACATCAATCGACAAAAGTTTGAATACTTGTACACAAATAATACTGAATTAGAGGTCAAGTGCTCTTAACCAGCTGTTTACTAGCATACATTTTTTATTCACTTCTATATAGGACAATAGAATCAATCAGAAGATTACAAATATATGCTTTAGTAATTTTAAGAGCAAACTGAATATAGAACAACGAGGCGCGGATTAAAAACTGCAAATATAAAACAAATAGATGAATATATTTCTCTTTATACCATACAAAGTAGTGTGTTGCCATAAATCATATCTTCTTTCTAATAAAGTTATAATGATTATAGAAAGTAATAAAATTATTAAACAAATATATAGAAAAGATGAACTGTGATCTATATCACTGTATTTATTCTGCTTAACAAAAAGTTCACGTGTATACATGATACTATTATGACAAAACAACCGATCGATGAAATTCCGGCATGAATGAAGATGTCAGTGGTAAGTGATTGGCCATCTACTACTGCCTAACTGATTGAATAAATGAGGAAACTATATCTTTTACATGTAAAATATCCAAATAAGACAAAATGATTTGTCAGAAAACAGAAAAAGATGGAAACAAATATTATAAGTCAACAAATTACCAATTATTTTTAATTATCGTACAAAATATAAATGACTATATTTGGTAATAAAATACAGTAGAAAATAACATGAAGATAGCAGTGAAAATAATTTAAAATTATAGGCAACTTTCAATAAACTATGGTATGAAGTTTTTGTTCAATTAACAGATGTAGATTGGATTTGACCTGTGACAATAGCGGTTAAATTATGAAAACACTAATTTCCAATATTAGATAAGCTCAGATGTCACCGGAACAAGACACTGAGAATCCAACACGACGATAACATTATTGTAAAAACTAGTAAAGGTTATAACAAACTTATTTTGTCTGTTAGCGTTCGTAAAGATACACTGTAGATATAAAACGAAGAAAGAACTACACGAATCAGCCTGGCAACCTAGAATACGGACAAGCTGTAAACAAAATCAGTCAGATTGAGCAATTAAATTTATCGTACAGCCTTAGGATTCATTTCTTATACAGATAATTAGTCTAGTGTTGGGAGTGTGTGACAGAACCGGGTACCCAAAAAACCTAAGCCTGACCAATAACTTGATAATAGTGATAAGAGTATGGTATGAGTCCCAATTAGTTAATATAACGAGTAACTCAGACTTACAGTGTAGTAGTAGCAGCTTTTGAAGTCAAATACAGCGTGTTTTAAAGTGGGAAAAAAGAGGAAAGATGAATATAATTATAAAAATAAAAAAAGACTTCAGAACATATATTTACTTTATGTAATTCACAGCGTCTGATTTCGGTATTGATGAAGCGAAGGAAGACAGGATTATCAAAGCTTGTTTGGCCAAGTTTTTATTCACATCATTAGCTGCTTTAGCTATCATAGTCAAAGGTTCTTGAAGCTTTCCGTTTGAAGCATCAATCAAATGGGAAGGAGATATAAATTTTTCAATAGTAGTCAGTGCTTCTAAACGTTCTTTCCAAACCTTGCTTTTCAGAAGTCCCAGGAGTTCAGGTGTGAGTCGGTCACTGAAAAAAGAAACTGGAATATGAATAGCGGACACTCAACAGCATAGATGCGACAAAAATGTGCGTCATTGAAGCAGATGACATTGAAGGTGAATCTGATTCTGAAGAACCTATGGTAAGTTAAGGTCTCCACTAGTCCACTTTAAGCATTCAAGTGTGTTAGATGGAGAATTTTATTTAAGCAGCAATCACATGATAGCATAGTCCCCCTCTACATTTATTCCAATACGCAACCCACTTTTCGGTTATGTACGATATACGTGGCGATTTGGTTTAAAAAAATATGGAAATATAAATTTACACACCAAAAACAATATAGTTTGGATGTCGTACATATACTAAAATAACAGGTAAAACATAACGAGTAAGTGGAAACACAGGCATTCATAAAAAATTGTGAAAAACCCAAAACGTAAAAGATCATGACGAAAACTTTTTTATCTACCAGGAATGTCCGAAAAAGCTAATAAATCAGTTAAGCTGCAGAAATGATATAACATATTTCAATAAATACCTGATATCTACTTTTGGAAGTAATACATCAGAGTCCATCTCCTCTATTTGACCGGTAGTTTCTATATCTCTAGACAATGCTTCAGTTCCGCTGGGTACAGCAGACACTGATTCTTTGAGAAGAGTTTGGGCAGCAGAAAAACGAGTTGGAGCAGGAGCTTTTTTGTCTTTGTTTTTCGCAAATTCCGCGTTCAGTAACGTAATTAAAGCCGGTTTCTCATCCGCTAGGAGAGCTGGCAAACGATCATGGAGATATAAATGAATTGTCCCAGCAAGATTTAGTGAATTTTGACGAACAGAAGGGGTAGTTGCATTGAGGCCTGTTTTTAGAAGTGGTCCAACTTCTTGTGGTGGAATACTAAATAAATTAAACAAATTCATCAAGCATCTAGGATTAATTTGGTTAGAATATTCAGCTATTAAAATCATGGACGTCATGGAATAGAAAAACTTACATACAAGATAGGTCGAAACACTAATTATGCCTTTAATTACTAAGCACAAGGAGAAAGGACAGAATGTTCTGGAAAAAATGCTAAACACAAGTAACATTCGATTAATTATAACAGAAACTAGATTCCATAGCCAATTTATTTGAACACATAAATATTGGTACGAAGGGGCAGCGAATACATATGCGCCACACGAGTCACTTGGTTCGTTTGTGGGTTGTGATACTGCCCGGGTGCCCAGATCGGAGCAGGTGGTCTGATCCACTAGGCAGTGGAGCAACGTTAGGAGATGCAGTCCCATGGTAGCCGGTGACCAACAATAGGTTCATATACCATCTGTTCCTTCAGAATCCTGGAGCCCATGTGCACCATTGGTTTGGAATCAAGGTTTCCCAACTCCCCTAAGTAGATCCTCCGTGTTCACAAACCCGGTTAGGACGCCGGACATTCGCTCTTCGTCCTCTCAATTTTGTAAACAACACCCCTGCCCCGATAAGGCAGTGAGTAGGACTTACCTGGCAGTGGCTGTATACGTGTGGTTATGTAAGAGCATTTCAAGAGAAAGAGCTAACTCTCCCCACCCTCGGCAGCACCAGGGCATTTAGGGGTAAGCTTTCAGTCATTATTTATTATATGATTGCGATATTGAATGGGAAAAGATCCCTCAAATTAGTCGATTGTTGTCATGAAACGTAACCCGTAAGTAAACGTGGAATTAGATTTATGGACAAGTCACAGATAATAAATAATATATTTGTAATATTCCAATGAGTAGAAAAATCAGATTTTCTGACGTTTCGTGACTTAGTGTAAGCCATTTCTTCAGAGAATAAATAACTAAACCAAAATTAATCCAAGTTTAAATAATACAACGGAATAACAAGAATATTATGACATAATATACTTATTTATTTATAACAATCTACCCAATGCTCAATTTATTCGAAATTATCAAGTCAAAACCATGGTAATGATACCTACAAAGTCATAGATTTGTTTTCTAACATCTTAAGAAAAGATAGGTTACATGTACTTAACCAAAGTAGAGCAATGTACTACGACACCAACTCAAAAGCACTCTTTGATTCTTTATTCTTTGTTTTAAAAGCGTGCATACTATTTTATGTTTCTCGTCTTTCGAACCGTTTCATTTTCTCCTTTTATTGGCGACTGATATGCAGTATCCCGAACATTATGAATAAGAATTTAGAATTCAAAGCAACGAATAGATATATTGGAACATGCGTACTTACATTTAACATGAAACTTTGGACAAGGGGTACCATACTTTACGATAATCTTAGCAGAACTATGTAAAACGAAACCGTATACTGAATTTTTAAATACAAGTTCGAATCGTATAGCAGCAAAGAGTTACGAACGATACCCCCGTAAAAGCCGGTGGACGAAAAAGAGAATTTACTAACAGCGGCAAGGGTGTATGTGTATCACAAGTAAATCTCCGTACAAATCGATTCAGTTTAGACCATATATATCCACTTTCATTTTTTGTACATGTAGAACACTCCTACCGCGTAAAACCAGTGAGACTTTGCTAAAAGGTTTCTTAGTGCACAGCCAAATGAAACTATTGCAAGAAAGAGAGAGAGAGTAAACTCCATTCACAGATTATGTTACAGGATTTGGGGATAAAAAACTGTACATGTACAGATCTACGTACTAGATTTTGAACTAATATTGTACAAGAGATATAGATAATCCCTAGTCGCTTGAACCAAAGTAGGCGGGACAGGGTTTTGGAACTTCAACTCAACGGTTAAAAGTCGACTGATATAAAAAGGCAGAACATTTTTGTGCTCTACAACACCTGAAAGATCTAGCTTCTATGACTTGAAAATCTCTGACACCTTTCATCTACTCAAACTTTGTTAAAGGCGATAAACTCAGAAAATCTAATCACTCATATGATGTTAGAAGCTTCAGTTACAACTGTTGACCAGGAGGTTTATCACACACTAAAACGATAAAAAAGCATACAGAACTGATATGAACTTGGTGAAGTAAGATATCATTGGACTCTGAGGAAGGACAAACGAGCACTAACTATAAACACTACTGCTAAAGGTAAACGATTCAGTTCTACACCGGGTTTCGCAGCAGGTGGACTGCTTGTATATGCTAATAAAGCTATTGATCGGCTTGTAATCAGGTTCTCTCGTGTACCTGTATACACAGCAGTCTAGTCTAATGGTTTGATAATATCGTACTGTATGCATCGATTGAGTAATACGTCTAGTGCGTTGTTCAGTCTAATATGTCGTTTCGAGGATACAGGATTTGTGATCATTCCGCTATGTTAAGAATTAGTTGTAGTTAATGATAACAATTTAAGCAGATTGAGAAGTGGACAATGGTTATTCGGTTAGCAACAAAATAATTTTCAAATTGTGAGATTTTCATTTAGTAAATATAAGCAACCATGCATATAAAAATACATACCAAAATCCGAATTCCTGAATGCTTTGATTCAACCAAGCCAAACCTTCGGTCTGACTGCGAGGATTTTTAATCTGAAATAGTGTGCGCATTATAAAACCACCAACTAATTCGAGACTTGTTTTCTCAGCCAATTTTGTCATCGCAATTTTTGTGACGTCACCGACTTTCGTATCACCAACCTTCTCAATCAAATCTGATAAAAGTAACTCAGCCAAATTTGAACTGATAGAGACGCTTAAAGACAAAACTGCTTCGATGTATTCAATTCGAGCGCGCAGCACCTTGATTAATACAGGAAAAGTCAGATTAAAGTACCCATAAGTACACGAATACCTGATTATATGGTTATTCTTTAACATGTATGACTGAAAAATTTTGTCAACAGTAGGTAAAAAACCAAACGCCAGTTTGTGAGTTCGAACATACACTTCGAAAACTTTGCATGGCACTACCACCACCTATGTTTTTACTACCTTGATATGCACATGATTGTTGCTGAAGTTCACGTATGACTACCAATTTGTAGACAGAAACAGTACAGTACGCAACGCTCAAGGGTCATATGTGATTGTTTTTGAATAGTTGTCGCTTAGGTTGCAATCATTTGGGTTTCTCAAGAAACAATTTGTCGCCAACTCCATGACCGTGAAAAGTTAACCCCTCACATACACACTTTAGAAATCACTTCTATATACTCTGTGTAATGGAGGTGACACCCCAAATTTATAAAATACGACCCTTGGTTTTGTAAAATAACACAAAATTCTGACTTCGAATTGAATAGTAGTGTCAGAAAAACCAGTCAATATTGTAAAATCCCAGTGTAATGAAACTATGCCGTTTCCAAAACATCCATACACGGTCACAACTCGTGTGTGATTAGTTCAAACGCACATTTCGATTTACACCAAAACAAAAAACTTAACTATGGAGAAACTTATAACATAATGATAATAAAAACAAAAAATTTGAATATGTAAAACTTAGTATATCTAATTTTTAGAGGACAGATTACATAAGCACATTATTTTGTATTAATAATGCAAAATAAACGGGATTTTCACAAAATTTATTGACAAATTGTTTACAAGATATCATCATAAAGTTAAGTCAGACTTGATTTTGGGGAGGAATTTTATCAGTTTCCAAATTTTTATTATCGCTACAGGTGTTCGTGGAGACAGCTGTATTATAATAGTTTTCACGACGGACTGATTTTAGTAAAATAACCAATGAAAACCAAGAGTCACCGAAAAGATATTTCGTTCAATTTAAATAATGGGAACGTTTCAACCGGCAGTCTGGTCTAAACTTCTACAAGAAAATAAACAACAATAAATGGGATATTTGAACGCCCTCAATGCCCTGGTACTGCCGAGGGTGGGGAGAGTTAGCTCTTTCTCTTGAAATGCTCTTACATAACCACACGTATACAGCCACTGCCAGGTAAGTCCTACTCACTGCCTTATCGGGGCAGGGGTGTTGTTTACAAAATTGAGAGGACGAAGAGCGAATGTCCGGCGTCCTAACCGGGTTTGTGAACACGGAGGATCTACTTAGGGGAGTTGGGAAACCTTGATTCCAAACCAATGGTGCACATGGGCTCCAGGATTCTGAAGGAACAGATGGTATATGAACCTATTGTTGGTCACCGGTCACGAGTCCTAAAGTCTACTGTCAGCAATTATTTAAAGAAAATTGGCATACAGTTATTTCAGAGGTTATTTATGTTTGATTCTGACTATTTTCCTGAAGAAACTTGGACGAAATTATCAGGTGAAACGCTAGAGTTATATTACTTGCAATCACTGAGATTATTTCGTTCATAATTCCACATCTAATGTTATGGTGAACAGTATTTTGGAATATAAGGTGAGACCGAATGGAGCAACAGAGATGTATCCATTTTTTCAACCTTTCACTACTTCTATAGCCAATTATTATTTATAAACGAACGATTTTGTGGTCTTTTAGGGTTTTCTTGTTAATTAAGTCATGCAGTTGTATCTAACACATGATAAACTGAAATACAACATTAATAATTCAGGTTTCAGTTTGTTCTAATTGATCAATGAGAACAGGTATAAAATTGATGGTGAATATATTCACTCAATTTCCTTTTTATATTAACGGTTACTTCTGAGATCGAAGGTGTCTATCAGGCTACTAAAAAGGACCTTAAAACTTGTAGTAACATCAAGGAAAAACATCAACGCAGTTTAGAAAGTCGATGTTATGGGTGTTGGAAATCAATGAGAGTAAACGATTCTGGGTTTGATTATTTAAGACTAGAACATGATAGGTGTTGCAGACCAATACAACCATGACAGTAAACATACCGAAATTATTTGACATAAATTGTCACTTATAAGCTGACATAAAATGATTTCACTCAAAACACAACTAAGTACCTGAAAATTAGTATCCTTGATTCCAGGCTTAAGTAGAACAGCACGACACAAAATTTGAGTAGGTACGTCAGAACTGGTAAAGGAATGTATGTTAGATTTCATTTGTTCAACCGCTTGCAAGCGTTCTTTCCAATTCGTATCAGATAATTGCTTGATAAGTGCTTCCCCAAGAAGCCTAAAACACATTCAATCAGAAATTACGGTCAAGGAAAAAGCCTTTTGAATTTTCCATTCAAATAATTATCTAAAATAACCAAAAACACCATATGTGCTTTAAACAAATAAATTTAGTTTACAGAGGATGACCTCATCTATTAAAACGATTAATTAACCCTTCCAGTTTTAACAGGAAAAGATTTCGTAAAAAGCGGTAATCAACACAAAAGATACAATGTGCCCAAGAATTACTTGTTGATACGTGAATTCAGTTAATTAATACCTGAAGTGCACGTTCAAATAGACGATGTAGTTGTGCAGGAATGAGAGGTGAATTGGGTATAGAAACTGTAGGCACATATTTACTGAAATCGTTAAATTATGTATATTTCTTTCTGTCAATCGATGCTTAGAATGAAATAAATGTATTTAACAATGCTGGCTGGGACGGTTGTTTATGAAGCTTTAATAACGAAGAGAAGTACTAAAATCTAGGTATTACCTTTCAAGCAAATCGTTAGCAGATAGGAAGTATTCCTTCATTATTGATCATCATTCTTTATCATCTAATTCTTACTTACATGACCCCACATTTCCGACTCTACATCTCCAAATTCTGACATGGCAGTAGACAGGTGGGCCTAGCGGTTAGGAAACTCGACGTCCGGCTACTAAGTTTCCGATTGGAATGCCACTCAATCTAATTCAGTTTGATTAAATTGGATAGTACAATTAGCGTTCACAATCAAATTACCGCACATACCCAATTACCTGGCGAATGAGCCTGTAATTATCATTAAGTATCCAATCAAAACAAGCTAACATAGTGAATACGTAAGCGAGTCCCTGACAAATGTATTGGGACCTGATGTTCAATAATGGTCCAGTTACTCTGTTTTTTTCTATACCCATTATCGACCTTGTTTTCCGTGCAGCTTTGTAACAAAATGCTATAACAGAATAAATAAATTCTAATCACTAATCAGATTCCTCGGAATCTTTTCGTAATCATTACATTTAGCTTATAAAAATCATCTGATATTTGGTGTAAGATATCGAAGAAAACAAGATGGGTGATACTAGTAACAACTCACTCAGAAGCTTTCTGAGATATTTCATCCTCTGTTAACAAGTTTTCTGTTGGAATGGTGAATTTCGATTTCTCAATAACAGATTTCGTACGTGCTGTCGATTTTTTACTAGATGGCCCAGAAGTTGGTGTTTTAGTAGCACATTCGGAATTAGCCTCTCCAGTGCCACTGGACGCTGTATTCGGACGAGTGACTGGTGGTGCTGCACGACGTGGTACAGTATTGGGTTTAGCAGATGTAGACATATTTGTCGAAGGAGCAGTTAGTTGGTTACCTGTATTGTCAAAAATAAGGGCAAAACATATCAGAACTGAAATATGAAAAGCATTTAAATGGAGAAAAATCTGCGCTACTCTACATGTGTGAGGATGGAGAGGTTTTGGATACGAAGGTACGGGGAGCATACAATCAATAAGACGACAGATTACATCCCCCGATAAATAGAAAAAGCCAGATACTGATCACATTTCGCCTGTCATAATCAAAGTAGAACCTAGCACACATGTGTGCATTAACACAAGTTACCATATCATGACGATTGTAATGATTACTGATCTGAATAGGATATAATTGTTTATTTACAACTTAAAAGCCTCAGTCAGTCAGTCAGCTACAAAGTAGGACCAGGCACATATGTGCATCGGTCCAGGTTGCCATACCTCATTAGCACAGCAAGATGAACACCGGATTCATAGGAGTGGTTAGGTCAAAGGTGGTAATATATAGGAGAAAGATTGCATATAGAGATATAGTATAGGAAGAAAGAATTAGTTCGTAGAAAGAAAGGTATGAAGTGATTTTAATCTCTTAGTTTAAGGGAAGACAGGGAGTGTATACACCGACGCCATTGTGATCGATTCTGAGCCATGTCACCAAGAGTCTCCAACTATTGGTTACGATAGTCACGCGGACCCCAACCAAGTAGTCTGCATCTACCAACATGGCTCAGACTAGAAGTTAGTGACTTCAGGCACTGATGCCACGTTTTGGTTTGGCCGCCCCTAACTTTCTTCCAACCATCCCCTACACCGGTTAGCATTGGACGTCGTGGTTATCGGTGTTCAGGCATACGTAATACGTGGCCCAACCATCTCAGTCGATGAAGATTAACAACCTCATCAACTGATATACCATCATTCCCTAATACCCTGCGTCTAACCTCACTATTACTTACCCGGTGATCCCAGCAGATGCCAGCAATATTTCTGAGGCATCTGTGGTCAAATACTAGTAGCTTACGGGTGTCTTCTACTCTTAATGGCCATGTTTCGCTGCCGTAAAGTAAGACAGAACGGAACTTAGAAGCCTACAAGTATACGAAAAATCAACGATTTTTGTGACATTGAAAGATAAAACTAACGTTTTGCAGTGTTAATTCTTATCAAAAGAAACAGCATTATTAAGCATGTCGATATGAATATGTAATGAAACCATAGATCAAATGTAACGGTCAATCTAAAATCCATGTACTGAGACTATTATACGGCTTGAGATATCTGGAGCTCCGTGAACAGATTTATTCAACGAGAATTCTATAAATCTTTATTTCCGACTTTAAAATGTTTTTTGACATCTTCAGAGTTTTTAAATACCTAAAAGAAATAATTATAAATCTGTCTGGTCACTATTTATGTTTGGAGACAGAAACTAATGGTTGACATTCAAATATCTTCGAGTCCTTTGAACATCAAAGGAAGAAAGTAACACAACTCTATCTTAGTTTACGTATAAAACCGAAGTTTATTTGTTCACCGACGATTTCGTGATTGTAAAAGGTTTACATTTCAGCGTTATAACATGCAACAATTTGTCTGGTACGTCGAACTTGAAGAAATATCACTGATTGATATTTCTTCAGGCCCAACGTACGGGTACTAGGTAAGGATGGCAAATCAATTGAAGTAGTGAAACTTCATCAGTTGAGATGGCTGGGACACGTGTTACGTATGCCCAACTACCGACTACCTCGACGTGCGATGCCTAATGGTATATGAGTAGGTACAAAAGAGCGCCGATACATATGCGCCACACAAAACAATGAAAATTCGAAGAGAAGTAGAAAAAAAAACTAAGGAGCGCAAAAGAAAAAGAGAACAATAACGAAGAGATTGGAGTAAGGTAGTGTGGTAGTAACGACGGAACGAAAAGGAACAATCAGAAGAAATCTTTCAGGTAAGGGAGACAGAACTACTTTTTATGAAGAAAGTAAAAGAAGGTTACAGCAGGATCGCCACTGGCTTCTATTCTGAGCCATATCTGATAACGCCTCTAGCCACTGTGTAGCACCGTCTCTCAGACCCCAACCAGGAAGTCGTGAAGGACCAACACAAGCCAGCCCGTTGCAGCTTTCTTTCATACCACGACACCATGTCATACACTGACCACCTATCCGCTTCTTCCAACCAGTCCCAGAGTCAGCAAATAATGCACGACGTGGAATTCTCTGGGATGACATTCGTAGAACATGTCCAAGCCACCGAAGTCGGTGTTTCAAGATGGTGACACCAATTGAATTATCATCTCTGTGCCCGAACACACAATGCCGAACCTCTGCATTACTGACATGGTGTTGCCACTGAATGTCAGCAATCTTTCGGAGACAACGATGATCGAACACAGAGAGTCGTCTAACATTCTCAACTCGGAGAGGCCAGGTTTCACAAGCATAGAGCAAAACTGCTCTCACCGACGCGTTGTAGATCCTACCTTTTACAGCCAGACTAACATTACGAAGGCGCCGAAGGTGGCCCAGATCGGCATAAGCCGCTCTGGCTTTCACTATACGTGCATTGATCTCATCACTCACACCCCCACCAGCATTACTTCTATCTGCTCACCATCCAGGGTGAGTACAGGATTGGAATCCTGCCAGTCTTGTAGAAGTACTTTGCACTTCGAAGGTGCAGAGCACATACCGTACCTACGGACAACGATTGCCAACTGATTAAGTGCGGATTGCATTGCTTGGGGATTATCGCACAGTAAGACAATATCATCCACATACTCAAGGTCGAGAAGTCTTTCTCCAGACAACAGATCCACACCACCATTACTTACATCCATCAGAGCTGTTTCTAGAATGTCATCGATGGCAATGTTGAAGAGGAATGATGAGATTGGACAACCCTGTCTAATCCCACTGCTCGAATGGAACAATGGAGAGAGGTGGTTGTATGCCCTCACTCTGTCTGAGGTGTTTGTATATAGGGCTTTTAGGATGTTAATAAACTTCTCAGACACACCCTTCTTCAATAGACAATCCCAGAGAACAGTCCTGTCCAACGAATCGAAGGCGGCCCTAATGTCAAGAAATACTACGATTGTTAGCCTTTGATAAGTATGGCGGTGTTCTAACATTTGGCGGAGGGTGAAGATATGATCAATACATCCTCGACCAGAACGAAACCCAGCCTGCTCCTCGCGAGTCAATCTTTCTCGGGTTTTGAACAACCTACGAAGAATGACGGAAGCCAATAGCTTGGACGCAATCGGAAGTAGACTTATCCCCCAGTAGTTGTTACAGGAACGACGTGAACCCTTTGTAAAAATAGGGACAACTATCGACTCATTCCATGACGTTGGTACACTCTCTAGCTCCCAGACTTTTGCAAACAACGTCGTCAGTTCGTTAGTCAGAAAGTCACCACCTTCTTTAAAAAGAGCCGGAGGTAAGTCATCTGGGCCCGGTGATTTGTGGCGCTTCAAGAGTTGGAGTTCCTTGCGGACTTCCGCCTCATTTGGTGGATCAGTCGTCACCTGCCATAGAGGGCAGGACAGTCTGACCGATGTTGCCGGAGCAGCAAGCCAGTTGAACTGCCCTTCGAAGAATTTTGCCCATCGTCCAAGACGTCGATGGGTGTTAGTGATTGGCATCCCATCATCCTCACAGATTGTTTCACTCACACCAGACTTCCTGCTGCCAGTGGCTCGGATGAGCTGGAAGAGCTTCCGGTAATTACCAGATGCAGCTGCTGCTTCCAGCTCATTAGCACGCTTCGACCACCAGGTTTCTCGGTCCTTACGCAAGCTTTGCCCAATTTCCTTACGTAACATCCTTCGTTTGTGGTCAAACTCACGGTCACCCGGAGTAGACCAACGGGCTTTGATGAGGTGTAAGAAGCCTGAGGAAACTCAGTGCTTATAAGCGGGACGTTTCGCGAACCCACAACTGACTTTACTCGCCATTTCCATGGCGTCATGCAATTGCAACCAATGCTCATCTATACTTGTCGGTGGAATGGTAGCTAGCCTAGAAACTAGCTCGGCTCGATACTTACTTGCAACAGAAGTTGCAACCAGCTTGCTAACATCAATCCGTTGTTGGCGGTCACTTCGTTGGCCACTGAAAAGTAAGATAAGATTGGCGCAGACCAAGGTATGATCAGAGTCCAGATAGGTACTCCAAAAGGAGCGGCAGTCTTGTACAGAACCACGCCAGCGGTAGCTGATCTTGATGTGATCAATCTGAGTCCAGGCCTGAGATGCAGAGGGAGGACGCCAGGTGGCACATCGGCGATGACTGTGCCGAAAGTTAGTGCTAGCCAGAAACAGGTTGTGGTCTGTGCACAGTTGCAGTAGACGGTCCCCGTCCCCGTTATCTGACCTGCGACCAACGAGTCCCCATCGGCCACCTAAACGACTCTCTTCTGTGCCTAGACGCCCGACCTGAGCATTCAAGTCTCTGGCTAGTACTACAATATCTGTCGAACGCACTTTCTGGAGAAGAACAGATAACTGGTGGTAGAATTCAACCTTGATTGCATCCGGGCTGCAATCTGTCGGGGCATAGGCGGAGATGACGAAAAGACATCGTTTCTCACGCCGATTTCTTCTCACTTTTATGGAACTTTCTAATCTAACAGTACATAACCGACTAGTGCTGCCTCAGCTCTAGCGCGTAGTGCGACACCAACACCAGCAAGACCAGACGAAGATGCCACAGGGTCCGCGGATAAGCGCACGTAAAACAAGCTTTCCGAAGCGACAGTTGGAGATCGAATTTGTAGTACTTCACCAGAGTCTTGAATACGGGTCTCGGATAGACAACAAACATCAATATTAAGACTTTCCAAAGACATAGCCAGCCCTATCTGTTGTCCGACCTGCATAAATGTGCGAACGTTGAAGGGAGCCAGTTTGAATGGTGCACGTGGTTTCAGAAAAACTGCTTCAGTTCTCGTATTCGGTGGTAACATACAATTTTCAACCGGACAGTGACTCGAGAACGTTTAGATACAGTCGAATTTCCACCAAAGACGAGCCGCTGTATAAGTATAAAAGAGAGTGAATAATGTGGTAAATAATAATAATATTAATAATAATAATAATGACAATAATAGTAATAATAATAATAGTATTGATAATGAAAATAATTGTGATGATAATAAATTGAATCAATTGATTGTTTTTCGAAGCGAGAAAAGTAATTTCCATAGACATAGAAAGTTCATCATTTGTGTGTGGGCTGTGATACTGCCCGGGTGCCCAAACCGAAGCAGGTGGTTATCTTAGGGGGCCACTCCCCGAGCCTTTGACCTAAAGGTCTAACCCACAAGGCAGTGGAGCATCGTAAGGAGATGCAGTCCCATGGTAGCCAGTGACCAACGATTGGTTCATACGCCATTTGTTCCCTCAGGATACTGGAGCCCATGTGCACCATTGATTTGGAATCCGGTTAAAGCGCCGGACGTTCGCTTTTCGTCCTCTTATTTTCGTAAACAACACCCCCGCCACGAGAAGGCAATAAGTAGGACTTCCCTGGCAGAGGCTGTATACGCGTGGCCGGGATTGACGCACACCAGTCCTTAGACAGATAGTATCTCGGTTCATCTTGAACATTCGCAGGATTTTTATCAACCAAACTTTGTCTATTTACGTCACACTCTTGTGATGAACCAGTTAAAGAGTATACATATTTGCCATCATTACCAAGATTCACTCCAGTAAGCTGAAGATTTGAAGGAAGAACATGAACAACTGATCCAATATCTGAAATCTGGTCAGTAATATTTGCACCGGAACTTGTATTGCCTATTTTTGCAGACAAATTTCGTAAGTCAAATTTAGGGCGCATATGTGGTCCGAGCAAATCACTAGTTTGGACAAGTTGAAGTGGTTGAACAGAGTTTCTTTCAATTTGGAAACCTTTTCGAAGATCCAGCTTTAGTTCTTTGTTTTGAAATCTCGAACCGGATGGAGTAATAGAAGGAAGAGCTTTACGTTTTGTCTGTCCGATGCACACGCTTGCAGACCTCCCTTCCTTTGCAAATGCTGACAGGAATGTGAAGAGTGTCTGAATAAGTTAGGATATCTTGTCGTGATGTTCTCGTAAATCAGAAAGTTCACGATACAAAAGCTGATTTTCCGACTTTAACACACTAATTTGTTGACTTAAAGCCTCCTGATTACAACGCAAGTGCCGTACAGTCTCTGCCAATCTTAAGAAGTCTGTGGCAGTTATTAGTCTTTGGGGTGATACACTTATGGAACCATTTAAACCCGAATTAGTTTGAACATAAGGTACTTTCACACCAAAATTTTGATTTCTTGACCCCAGTATTGGCGAGAACATGTTTGAGGTCCGCCTCTGAATTTCGGATAGCAAAATATCTTTATTGCGGATGAAGTAAGGATGACTGAATTCCATGTCTTCAGTGTCAGATTTTAAAGGAAGAGACGGATCCACACGATTTATTTTTCTGAAACCATACATATTTAACTGCCTTATGAAACTAGATAAATTGTTGTGTTTGAAATAAAGGGGTAGTAATTCTTTGGCTAAGCGGTTTCCATCACGTATGTGAAAGCTTGTCCCGTGTGGATCCCAATATATGAGATCGTTTGTTTCCTCCTCATCCACCAGTAACTTTAGTTTAGTCAGAAACGCAGGAATAGACTGTACAGGAAGTCCAGATGTGAAACCATACATGGCCTACAAACATGGAGAAGTTTGGGAGAAAGCTAGGGGCGGCCAGACCAAAACATGGCACAAGTCCATGAAGTCACTGACAAGTGGACTGAGTCATGTTGGTAGGTGTAGACTACCTGGTTGGGGACCACGAGATGATAGCAACCAATGGTTAGAGACCCTGAATGACATGGCTCAAAATCGTTTGCAATGGCGCAGGTGCATCCACTCTTTGTGTTCTCCCAAATTTTAATCTCCTGAATCCTCCTTGTTTCTTTTTTTCTCTTTCCAAATTTATTTCACTGGATTAAACTCTTTAAATAACATCTCCAAACCCTAATCTTTCCGATTACTGCTTATACTCTTACCGCCTCTACAACTACGGGATTTGAATCGACAACTGCATCTCTGTGCTAATGTGGAGTGGCAACTCGAAGTGATGTACGTACGTACGAAGTTCTACGTTGTTACTGACTGACTGGAATATCAATTTGTCGAGAAGAAAAATTCACTAAAACTTATCTAAGATATCAACTTATTGTAAGGTGGTTTGAAACATTTTCAGACTTGTGATAATTCAGAAGTTAAATAGTGATGCCATTTGGCATTTTCCTACTATTTCTTTCAGAAACTACGAACTACTGATGTACCACCAGCTGCTTAACTTTATCGTTATCTGTAACAGATATATACCCTTCTAATCGATTTAGCTCTTTAAGGTTTCAGAAACAATCTTGACTAATTTTAGGGACTTGAAGCACTTATATCATCCTACAACTTCAGTCCGCAAAACACTAATATTGTAATCAGCTGAAATTACTATGACCAGCAATTTACAATTTGAAGAATAGGGAAACATCATGTTCGTAATAAAACGGTAAATTATTGTAACTAGATCAAGAGCCTTCGACCATGTTTACTCACTACGCTAGCAAATTAATTTCTCACAATTCAGTGGCCTAAATTCGTCTTACACGTGTGCGTTAGGCTGGATTATAACAAAACACTACACAATTATCGATTGTCAAGTAATCTAAAACAGAAATATCATGTGGTTATAAATAAAGATTGGAAATTAAGATGTACCACTGATAGAAAATGTAACAGAAATCCTAAACTAACCAGAGTTATTTGAATTACTAAGTTCAGACGCTATTCGTTCGCAACATTCATTGATTTTCGCCAGCCGGATGGAATCGAGTTCGCTGAGAAAGGGCTGGATAGTTTTTGCCGACACGACGAACATTGCAGCACCAAGCGCAGCAAAACTACATTCACGCACTTCAGGAACAGTATCGTTGCATGTTACACATAACGGTACAGTAAATGATTTTAAAACCTTTTTGTTTAGTGATGTGGCAGAACATTTTTTGAACGCTCTACTTAGAATTAAGGCTGCTTCTGCACGTACATTTGGTGTTTTGTGACTTAATGCAGCTACAATATCATCCACAAAATGATCTAGCGAAGCCTGGAAGCGAAAAATAGTATACATTAGGAAAACTTTGGTAGTAACAACATAAGATAAAGTAACGGCAGCGGAGTATAGGAGATTGAAGAAGCAGGATTAAAACATTACTACTAGAATCGCATAATCAAGAAGCCTTTATGTTATATAATCGACACATACACATATCAATAAAACCCTAATTCACCAGGTATATTAAGACCTAGAAATCTCAATGAATATAAGGACACAGTCATAATCCATGACCAAGCATTTGATTGGATCCTATAAATATCTTACCTATTCGACTAAATACAATATCCAAGCCTTCCAAAGAAGTAAGCGATTTTCAGAGTTATTTGTGCTTTAAGAGCGACGAACATTAACTAATACTGCGAAGTCTCCAGTGTCCTCTTTTATAAATAAAAATAATTTTGTATATGTAATGCTAGAATGAACAACTCTAAATGCAACCTTAAGGGATCAACAGGAAAAAAATCTATGGAAGTAAATAGGTGATAAGTTAAAAGGACTAATCAAAATTGCACTTCAAAAATTAAAAGACAAACTACGTCATTGACCACCAACGATTAATTTAAAACAACTGAGTGCATTAGGCTACTCTCTATCAAGTATTACAGAACTTATGAGTGTGACGTAAAACTTATTAAAAAAGAATAGTAAGTAGAGTTATAAACTAGTTTGACCATAACTAGAACTATACGAAGAAGCATATAACTGTTGAAATGGTATACCATAGTGTGCTAGTGCTATCTATGAAAAATACCGTCTAAGGAATTAGCCTCCAGATACCCTGGTACAGCTGAAAGTGGGGAGAGTCCGCTCTCCCTCTCGAAATGCTGTCACATGGCCACGCGTATATAGCCTCTACTAGGGAAGTCCTATTCATTGCCTTCTCATGGCGGGGGTGTTGTTTACGAAAATAAGAGGACGAAAAGCGAATGTCAGGCGCTTTAACCGGATTCCAAATCAATGGTGCACATGGGCTCCAGTATCCTGAAGGAACAAATGGCGTATGAGCCAATCGTTGGTCACTGGCTACCATGGGACTGCATCTCCTAACGATGCTCCACTGCCTTGTGGATCAGATCTCCAGGTCGAAGGCTCGGGGAGTGGCCCCCTAAGAAAGCCACCTGCTTCTGTTTGGGCACCTGGGCAGTATCACAGCCCTCACACATATCGAATGAGATCTGTGTGGCGCATATGTATTTGGTGCCTCCTTGTACTAATATCTATGTGTTAAAATAAATAAATAATAAAAAATCTGTGAAAAATGAATGAAGTGATTTGAACAGTAAACAGGAAGTTGTTTACCGAAGAAAGTATAATTAAGGTAGCTGAAAAATTCACACGTTAAAATGTCATATTACCATAGCATTAAAAGACAAAATCACATACAAATTACTCAATTCAAATCGATAAAATCAGAATATGAAACAAATAAATCACTAGAAATTGGTATAATATCTCTAGTGTGAGAATACAATCTACATTCTCAAAAATAAAAAGTAAAGAGAAGACGATTACAACGATGAGACTTTTATAATCGTGTTTTAAATAAGCTTATTTGATATAAGCTTAGAAAGTGTCTGAAATCTCTTAAGTTTAAAAATAAAAATTACCGTATTATTCATATATAATCAAAAAGCCGCATTGAACAGTGCCTAACATTTTCGCAATAAACTAATGCACTGAAAATCCAACCCAATACCTATCACTACCTAATAACTAATCGATAGCTGCATAATAAGTAGTACGACCCTATTTAGTTCTCGGTATTGAAACTCATTGATCAAGTTTCTAAATGCGGCGAATAAACAATGTGGTGTGATATTTGCAGGTTTATTTGTTTTAACATATCGATATTGGTACAAGGAGGCACCAAATACATATGCGCCACACAGATCTCATTCGATATGTGTGAGGGCTGTGATACTGCCCAGGTGCCCAAACAGAAGCAGGTGGCTTTCTTAGGGGGCCACTCCCCGAGCCTTCGACCTGGAGATCTGATCCACAAGGCAGTGGAGCATCGTTAGGAGATGCAGTCCCATGGTAGCCAGTGACCAACGATTGGCTCATACGCCATTTGTTCCTTCAGGATACTGGAGCCCATGTGCACCATTGGTTTGGAATCAAGGCTTTCCAACTCCCCTAAGTAGATCCTTCGTGTCCACCAATCCGGTTAGGGCGCCGGACGTTCGCTTTTTGTCCTCTCAATTTAGTAAACAACACACCCGTTTCGAGAAGGCAGTGAGTAGGATTTACCTGGCAGAGGCTATATACGCAGCATTTCGAGAGGGAGAGCGGACTCTCCCCACTCTCAGCCGTACCAGGGCATTTGGGGGCAGGTACTTGTAGAAAAGTCCTTTACCTAAATAACATGCATTTTCTGAAGAGATATTTGTGGTTTTTTCGATCAAACATTCTATAACTACAAAATAGACAACTTTTACCTACTGAATCAATAAGTTCTGAAGGCGAAGTCGTACTGCTGACTGTACAGAGGTGTGACAGCAGTAAGGTGTTTCCTTCAGACAACCAGCATGACAGCGATGCTGCCTTCCCACAAGGAGGGGTGAGGTTAGAAAAGGTCGACCTTAAAAATGCACACCTCGCCTTATCACACGGATATCCGTCTCCGGCGATAAGGTCTCAACAAGTACGGAGCTAACACAAAATTGCCCATAAAAAGGTCGTGTGTGACCGACCTCAAGCAGTTGTCCCTTTGACACTGCGGTCACGCTCCCAGGTCACTAAGACCACTTCTAATCCGATTTCCTTTTCAGGTACCTCCAGAAGAACCCTTCCACGGTGTGGGCAACCGGGAAGTGATAACCGCCCTCATACCTCTAACAGCACTCAAGACCATTGTATTCATGATCAACCTCCCTCTTCAATTCCGATTATTCCTCCTACATCAACTTCAAACTCTAAACTTCCTTTTTCGGCTTCCCCCCTCAAGTGTCACCATAGCCAACGATTCTGGTGCTCAAAACCCTGTCCCAGGTCTACTGAAACCTCGCTCCACACTACACATTGAAGACTTCAATGTACGCACCCTATGTCAAATCGGTCAACAGGCTTCCTTGGCTAAAACCCTAGAATCTCCTACCATTGATGTATGCTGTGTCTCCGAAACACATACAGAATCCCAGTGTGGTCATTCACTTGACCTCACCTCGGCAAAACGGAGAGCCAACGAGATACACCCTCCGTGTATCTGGTGACCCGATGGCCAGCTCTCGTGGACTGGCAGGTGTAGGCATAGCACTAAGCATGAGGGCGGAACAAGCACTGTTAGAGTGGATCCCCGTCAACAGTCGTTTATGTGCTGTTCGGCTAAACGGCTCCGTAAGAACTTGGAAGGATAGGGACACGCGTCGTTGCCTTTTTGTCGTTTCTGCCTACGCTCCCACCGACTGCAGCTCAGATGAAGTGAAAGATGAATTTTACAGAAAGCTATATGAACTTCTTCAGAAAGCTAAGCGTTCAGACATAGTACTCGTAGCAGGTGACTTTAATGCCTAGATAGGTGGTTTAAACCAAACAGAAAGGCATTTAGGTGGGTATTTTAGTATACCAGCACAAAGAACAGATAATGGTGATCGTCTGCTGCAACTATGCTCAGACAATCGTTTATTTTTAGCAAACACAAATTTCAAGCATAAGGAGAGACATCGTTTAACATGGCGACCCCCTACACCAAACCAACGATGGACTTAAATAGACCATTTTGCCATCAGTCATCGTTGGAGAGGGTCGATAGAAGATTGTCGCTCATTCTGGAGTACCTGCTTGGACTCCGACCACGCATCTGCTTGCGCCTCACTGGACGCAAAAAAGCCACATCAAAAAGACCGATTAGAACTGAGTTGAGTAACGAGAAAACCAAAAGTAGGTTCCGGGAACAACTGAGGTCACACTTAGGTAGTTCTGAAAACGAGGCTGACCCAGATGTTGCTTGGAAAGATATACAAACAGCTGTGGAAACAGCAGTGACTTAAACCACAGAATTACAAAGAACCAGTGGATTTCTTCAAGGTCTATCACACTGACGGATTCTCGCAAACTCGTCCCATCAGGCTCTGAACATGATGAAGAGCAACAACAAATCAGATCTAGGTTAAGAAAAAGTCTAAGGAACGACCGTGAGCAGTGGTGGGCAACGAAAGCAAAAGAGATGGAAAAGGCGGCGACTATAGGAAACACAAGACAGGTTTATAGACTAATAAAAGAAACTGGAACTAATAATTCAAGTGTAAGTGAGATTATTTCGGAAAAAGATGATACTCTCATCTACTCCCAATCCAGACGTTTAGAACGATGGGCGGAACATTTTAGGGAACAGTTCAGCTAGCATTTAGCGACTCTACAACTACCCTCCATTCTCAGACAGTGTGAATGGAACATTGAAGTAGGCCCCCCAACTCTTGCTGAAGTTCAAAAGGCTATAGTTAATCTGAAACGAGGAAGGGCAGCTGGTCCAGATGGATTGACTCCAGAGGTCTTTAAGAATGGTGGTACAATATTAGCGATCAGGTTGACTAATATTTTAGCTAAGATCTGGGAGTTAGACTTTATCCCATCTGACAGGTCACAATCACTTATCGTCCCATTATATAAGAAAGGGTCAAAATCATCCTGTGACAACCACAGAGGGATTAGTTTAACTAATATAATATCTAAAATACTAGCTTCGATAATTATCGGGCGGCTAACAAAGTCTCGTGAACCGCAAATACGAGAACACCGGTTTGGCCTCAGACCTGGTCGTGGCTGCATCGACCACATATTCACTACTCGTCAGATTTTCGAACACAGGCATGCTTATCGGCGTCTGACAGTAGTGGTCTTTCTTGCCTTAAAAGGAGCATTTGACTCTGTAGACCGAGAGGTTCTGTGGCAGTGTTTATCGCCGAAAGGTGGATGTCAGAGGTAAATAAACCTTGTGAAATCTCTTTGCCCGAACACTACTAGTCGGGTCAGGGCTTATGGCGAACTGTCGTTTGCTTTTGCAACGTTAAGTGGTGTCCGTCTAGGCTGTCCACTTTCTCCATTTCTGTTTAACTTCATCATAGACCTACTGATGGAAATAACATTCTCGTCGACTGAATTCTCGGGTATTGATCTAAATCCAGGAGGTCCACTTATCGACTTCGAATACACAGATGACATAGTCCTGTTTGGTGAAGACGCTGACAAAATGCAGAGTCTTCTGGTAGCACTAAGCAACAATGCCAGAATGTTTGGAATGCGCTTCTCTCCCTCTAAATGCAAGTTGTTGCTTCAGGACTGTCCTACGTCAACACCTGAACCAAGGATAGGGAGTAAAGTAGTCGAACGCGTTGACAACTTCACTTATCTTGGAAGTGTGATCAGCCCTAATGGGTTGGTGTCTGATGAAATCTCAGCACGGATTCGAAAAGCTCGTTTGGCTTTTGCCAACTTACGTCACCTTTGGCGGAGGCGAGATATCCGTCTATCAATAAAAGGACGAGTATACTGCGCGACAATCCGTTCTGTCTTACTTTACGGCAGCGAAACATGGCCATTAAGAGTAGAAGACACTCGTAAGCTACTAGTATTTGACCACAGATGCCTTAGAAATATTGCTGGCGTCTGCTGGGATCACCGGGTAAGTAATCTTTCTCCTATATATTACCAGCTTTGACCTAACCACTCCTATGAATCCGGTGTTCATCTTGCTGTGCTAATGAGGTATGGCAACCTGGACCGATGCACATATGTGCCTGGTCCTACGTTGTAGCTGACTGACTGAATCAATAGGGATAACCAAAACAGAATGTCACTATAAATCAATGAACAAAAATTTCAAATTTAAACTGAAATATATGTCGGAGAGTCATCTCTTCTCGAAATGCTCTTACATGACTACACGTATATAGCCACTGCCAGGGAAGTCCTACTCACTGCCTTCTCGGGGGAAGGGTGTTGTTTACAAAATTGAGAGGACAAATATATTATTTATTATCTATGACTTGTCCATAAATCTAATTCCACGTTTACTTACGGGTTACGTTTCATGACATCAATCGACTAATTTGAGGGATCTTTTCCCATTCAATATCTGTTAGGATAGTCGGAAAAAGAGACCAATAATTATCATGTTAATTTCAATGGTGTCCTTGGACTTTAAATGTACATTTCCTATTGGTCGATATTTGTTCACTTGTTGAATATTGTACAAAATGTTGTTTCCTATTTTATGGTACGATGTGGTTTGTTTGCTTGGTATATAAATAGAGTATGTTTGAAATACAATGATTCATAACCCAGAGGCTGTGACTTGTGTTCTTGACTCAACTGGCTAGGACAGACGGCGAGGCAGGGCCTATCAGGGCACTAGGTCGTCCTTACATGTTTTCCGTGTCACTGTCACAGATCGCGATCAATAATAACGCTGCTTATCAAAAACCTGCAATCACACACACCCGTTACAACAATATCGCAATCATATAATAAATAATGACTGAAAGATTACCCCTAAATGCCCTGGTGCTGCCGAGGGTGGGGAGAGTTAGCTCTTTCTCTTGAAATGCTCTTACATAACCACACGTATACAGCCACTGCCAGGTAAATCCTACTCACTGCCTTATCGGGGCAGGGGTGTTGTTTACAAAATTGAGAGGACGAAGAGCGAATGTCCGGCGTCCTAACCGGGTTTGTGAACACGGAGGATCTACTTAGGGGAGTTGGGAAACCTTGATTCCAAACCAATGGTGCACATGGGCTCCAGGATTCTGAAGGAACAGATGGTATATGAACCTATTGTTGGTCACCGGCTACCATGGGACTGCATCTCCTAACGTTGCTCCACTGCCTAGTGGATCAGACCACCTGCTCCGATCTGGGCACCCGGGCAGTATCACAACCCACAAACGAACCAAGTGACTCGTGTGGCGCATATGTATTCGCTGCCCCTTTGTACCAATATTTATGTGTTCAAATAAATAATACTAAATATTAAATATTTGTCAGCCAAGTTATTTACTCATAACTAATTGCTACACGACAACATACCGAAAAGGATCTTAGACAGAGACACAATGAGGTTCAAGTATATCAGATATTCAACTTAAAGAGCTGAAATCTCAAGTAAACTATGGATATTTGAAAACAGAAAATTCAAGTTACCTTGGAAAAAAATCAAATGTAAAGTGAGACCTAGTAAACTTGTATGTCAATATGAAATGATGAAACACCACGTTATTTATGTACAAATAGAAAAACATACCGAAGATACAGCACCATCAGCAGATTCTCTTAGAGCTTGAACAACATTAGGTTTCTTTTCTTTAAACTTCCCTAAACACGCTTGTAAGGTTTGTTGGGAGTAAGGACTGAACTTAGACTTTAACCCTCTTGCTATTTGTCCCAAAATTTTAGCAGCAAGAGTCACCAGAATTATGTTAGTATCTTTATTTATAACCTGCAGATTCCAGAAATAATTAGGTCACAACGTACCTGAATCAAGCTTCTTACGAGGTCTGTGAAATCACCTGGAACAATCCGAGGAACGTTCGTAATTTTTTCAAGTGCCTCTAAAGCGTCACGCCGATCTTGCCACTTCTTTTCCCCCTGAAAGACGGAATCAACCTTATTACGAAGAACTTACTATTTGTTGCCAGTAATCGCTGGGGATTTTGCTAAGAACTTCAACAGGAGTAATCATATCATCCAAATCAACCTGGTCGGTTAAAGTTCCACCTGGAATAGCGTCATCAATGGGATTACTTTCAGCCCCAGTATCTGGAGTAATTTCTTTAGGTTTTTGACTGCGTAAATATCTTAATCGAACAGGTTTTCCGGGTGGAATAGAGTTAAATAATTCACATAACTCAGTCATCTGAATGTCGTTTTTAAAACTACACTTGGTATACATACCACAACTGGTTTGATATCCTTTAATAGGTCTTTTGTGGTTACTCCTATCCATCTGTAAACCTCAACGATGAGATTTTTCGTTTCATTTCGGATCCCTTGGTCTCGATCATCAAGTAGTCGTCCAAACTCTTTAAAAAGAGGTTTGATCGGAACAACAGTTGGACCAAAAAGACTACGTACAAATAAGTAGTTAGTGAAATTAATCTCACTTTAGAGCTTCACGAAGAGTCTGTAAGCTTCCGACAACAACCTTTGGATTTTTAGTTGATAAACCTTTAATGAGCTCTTCTATTACTAATTCATGACGCTCAATTTCTATCAGCATCAATAAGCACTCAATTGACTTGTCTTTTGTTTTCATTCGAGTAGAACCCAGACATTTTGATATGATACCAGAACAAATATCTCCAGCGCATCTAACAAAAGTTGGAGAAAACTCAAAAGTTACTTTGTAGCTGCTGCAGCTGTTTCTATGTATGCTAAGACAGCATCTAGAGCTTTTTCCTGAGCTCCAGCATGAGAATCAGTCACGAACTTTTTCATCAATCCAACATATTCGTTAAAAACAGGACTTTTTCCATTTGTCTCTGTTGAAAATATTTTGAACGCTTCTTCGTATCCTGCCACACGTGCGTTCCAGAGCTAGGGTTAGGATTAAGATGGAAGAATGTTAAGTACCTTGTGCTGTACTTTGGACAGAGTGGGCAACTTCGACCAATCATCTTCTGACGACATACTGAACACTCAGCACCTAAATGATATAAAAAATAACACACTCCAAAAGTCTATTCATTGAGAAATAAATTAAAACCAGTTAAAAGGGTAGTGATTTTGTACTTGTTGTGATTATTCTTGCTTTTGTGTACTTTTTGCATCAAAAGCATTCTTGGTCCACTCTAACTTGAAGTATTTCGATTAAGGTTTGAAATCTTGCCAAACTTTGTCTTGTGGTACCTTCTTTCTCATTGACTGACACTTGTGTCCATATTGTGTTTTAAACCTTAATCTGATTACGGTGGTTAGTTGTACTTATAAATATGGACAGCCAAACTGTTTGTTCCCAGTGGACGAAGGAATGCAGTGCGATGAGTGTAAAAAGTGGTTCAATAAGATGTGTGCCCGTTTAAGTCCCACCACATACAAAAGATGCTCGAAGCCTAACTCGCATGTGCTTTGCATGTTTTGCTGTACAAATAAGACGTTGTTAATCCAGGAGGTTATGAACCTAATAGCTCTAACCTGTAAGAAGAAAGATGGTGGTTGCGCTGGTACTGAAGGCGAAGATTGCGTCAGTGTCGTAAGTGCTGTCACGGCACTTGCCAGATACCCAACTGTGCAACACAAAATTCAGCTTTCTACCCCGAAACAATTAATCAGCGTTAAACCATTAGATATTGGCGGCCAATTTGCTACAGCAGCGACTGACGATCCTGACAAAACCATTACCGTTCCGAGATGTTGAGACTGATAGGAAATGGATGACGCGGAAACGTAGCCAAAACCACTCCGCCAAAGTCCCAAAGTAAGACATGCACGCGATTTGCAGTTAGTGCAACCTGTAGTCGGAAATGTACTGCCTGAATAAGTTTCAGGGGTACATATCACGAAGGTAATACGACTCGGTAAATGGGTTGGAGGCGAGACCCAACCAAGAAGGATCTTGAAGTTGGCACTTGAGAATTTTAAGGAAAGAGACATAATATTGAAAAACGTACACAAAACTCGTGACTCAAATATTCGCATCCGACTGAATTGGCCGCTTGAGGATCGAATCAAGTAGAAGAATGTTTTTACGGAGTTAAGAACTCGAAATATAAATGGCGAAACGAACCTTACGATTAAGGGTTTTCGGGTAGTCAGATCTTGGAAGCCAATGCTTCTGAGACCTGTATGGGTAGAACGAATAATTCCCAAAGCACCTTAAAAGTGTGCTACACGAACGCCCATAGTCTTTGAAATAAAGCGTCCGAGCTAAGTCTGATGGTGGATGAATTAAGTTCCGATATAATTGTCGTCACAGAAACTTGGCTCGCCGTAGATATAGACTGTTCTCCCATCATTGCAGGTTACATCTGTATTAGAAGTGATAGTTTTAAGTCGCACGCGAGGAGGCATAATATTATACGTTAGGGATCATTTTCGTACACAATCAATCATATCCGAGGCACATGTTAGTGGTACATGTGAGGTAGCATGCTGCGCAATTAAGTCCAGAAATGGGTTATTAACTATAGGGACAATATACCGTATTATTTATTTATATTTTTATTTGAACACATAAATATTGGTACAAGAGGGTACCAAATATATATGCACCGCAAAAAACAATGAGAATTCGAAGAGAAAAAACAGAAGGTAAGGAGCGTAAAAGAAAAAAAGAACAATAACGACCAGATTAGTGTAAGGTAGTGTAATAACAATACTAACAATAATAATAATGGGGGAGAGGGAAAAGTACAATCAGAAGAAATCTTTCAGTTAAGGTAGATTAACCACTTTTGATGAAGAAAGTAAAAGAAGGTTACAGCAGGATCGGCACTGGCTTCTATTCTGAGCCATATCTGATAACGTCTCTAGCCACTGTGTCGCACCATCTCTCGGATCCCAGCCAGGGGCCAAGGAGTCATGAAGGACCAACAATATTCCGTAGTCCGTGTTGTCTTGCTGACGACTTGATCTTTAGACACATCTGTTCTTGGAGTAAGACAAAGTCTCATCACCGCATATCAACTGGATAGAGCTTACAGCTCCAGGTGAGGGTTTCGATAGCGACTTTCTATCAACCAATATCCGTTGTGCACTTGTACAATGTATCGCAAAACCGAGACATATTGACTTAAAACATGACCCGTCATTGCTCGACTTGGTCCTAATACACCACTAAGAGGATGTCATCGACGTTCAGCACCTCCCCCCATAAGTGAATAGTGATCATGCAAGTTGCATCTGCTCCACCCCGTCCCAATATCTGGCGAGCTAATATTCCGGCAATCAGAGACTATGCTATGTCGACTGACTGGTCGGTTGACGTGGATGGATCGATCGAACACGAATGGAATAAGTTTAAGGCTACATTCGAGTCCGTAACATCACCGTTCATTCCATGGTCAACACGTAAACTATCACATTGCCCACCATGGATTATTAAGGAAACCCGGAAGCTGTTGAAGCGTAGGAAACACTTCTGGGACTTATTCTTGTCAACAGGACACACATAAAAATATCCAGAATATATGTTAAGACCACAGCTAAATCCCGTACTACTTACGAACGACAGTTGGTATATGATAGCCGTACTTCTCCGAAACTATTGTTTTCGTACGTTAAACGGCAAACAAAATGTAATGATAGTATTCCCTCGTTACTGTTACACGAAAATTTAGATTTACTAGCTGAATGAGATTAGGCAAAAGTCGAGACATTTTCAAACTATTTTAGCGAAGTCTACTCTACGTGTATTGTTACAAATACTTGTCCCAATCACACTGAGATATCAGCCATTGCATCTGTACATGTGACTGAGGAAACTGTTCTTCCATCGATAACTAACCTCAAACCTTGTAAGATACCGGGTCCTGACGGGTTACATTTACGACTGGTCATCTCTTGCGGACATTATTTCAAGACCGCTTGCGACGCTCTTTAGCATATCCCTTTCACTCGCGCAACGCCCTAGAGATTATAAAGTCCTATATTCAAGGATGGTCAGAGGCAGATCGTATCTAACTACCGGCCCGTCAGTCTAACTGGCATAGACGTTGAATTACTTGATAAGATAATTCGGGTTAAGTTACTAGGTCACATAGATTCACACAATCTGTTAACTCCTGAGCAACATGGGTTTCGTAACAAGCGTTTATGCTTGTCTAACTTACTTACTGCGAGAGAGGATTGGATAGCAGCCTTAGATAAAGGCCTGTCTGTCGGTGTGATATTCATAGATTTTAGCAAAGCATTTCACAAGGTTTCACACGTAGGTCTTATGCAAAGCTCACGAGCTTCGAAATAATAGGTACTGTACAGGAGTGGATAGGTAACTTCTTATGTGACCGCAGACAGAGAAAAAGGGCCAATGGGACGCTATCCGATTGGAAGCCGGTCAAAAGTGGTGTACTCCAAGGCACCATCTTAGGCCCTCTGCTCTTCGTTCTCTACGTTAATGAGTTACCGCTGTTGCTTAGGTCGTCGACAGTATTGTTTGTGGATGACGTAAAAATCTGCGGAACAATAAAATTTGGGGCTGATCATCTGGATCTTCAAGCTGACTTAAACGGTTTAGTTAGGTGGGCTCAATGTTGGGGCTTAGAAATCAATTCTAGGAAGAGTGTGCTAATGCACATCGGTCTCGGTAATAGTTACAAGTATACTATTAATGGTAAACCTCTTCCATGCGTTCAAGAGCATAAAGACTTAGGAGTAATAATAAGTCATGACTTAAGAACAACTACACATTGCAGCGCAGCCGCTGTCAAAGGTTTTCGTGCGTTATGGTCACTTTGTCGAGCATTTAAATGCTTTGACGAGGAAATGTTTCGAATTTTATATCCCACCTACGTAAGACCATATTTAGAGTACTGCATCCAAGTACTGTGTCCAAGCAGCTAGCCCATGTCTGGTAAAGGATACTAACTCACTTGAGCGTGTCAGCGTGTGGGAACGAAATTAGTGAAGGGTCTTTCTAAACTCCCTTACGATGAGCGTTTAAAACGCCTAAACCTTTTCCCCTTGTCGTGTCGTAGGACGCGAGGTAACCTAATACTGGCATTTCGTATCTTTAATTATTATTTGGGTGTTAATATGTCTTATCTTTTTGCTCCCTCCAGCACTAATAATCTCCGCGGTCATAGCAAGAAAGTTCATAAACTGTGATCTAATAAACTTAAAGTGGGGTCCCGTTCTTCTCATTGAGCAGTCAATGACTGGAACGCCTTATCCGAACAAGTGGTATCAGCCCCATATGTGAATATTTTCAAGGAGAAGCTGGACCTTCACTGGAAGGTAATCTGTCAGGATTAACACAGGTTCATTAAGCTACTATCCTTATTACTGAAGACTGCATTAAAGATCACTTATCAGATCCGTACTTGAATACTGAGCTACATTTTATCTGCTTACTTACCCATCGCTTGTGACTTAGTTGATTGGGTTAGTACTTTATGGCGACCTCCCTTCAGGATAAGGGTGAATTTTTGACTACGGAGCCAACTAGATTACTTAAAAAAATACATGAACGAATGACAATCTGGAATAAAGAAGGTCGTAACCAACTCTGAAAAGTGCAATGTGTGTGGCAAACAGTGGAGCAAACGTCTGCTACCTGTTGCGTCCAGGATACTGGACTAAGGCATACAGCACCTATGGGACTCCAAAAGAGATGAGCAAGTCCTTTACTATTCGACAAGTGCTTGGATGCAATGATGAACTCTAATTATGGAAAATATTCTTCTTGCTCCGAATAACAATCAAATGACTGACATTATTATTATTACTATTATTATTTACTACGTCATTTATTCACCCTCTTTTATACCCCCTCTGTATACTTATTTTTCGACTTATACAGTAGGTCGCCTGTGGTGGAAATTCGGCTCTATCTGAACGTTCTCGAGTCACTGCCTGGTTGAAAGTTGTATGCTACCACTGAATACGAGTACTGAAGCAGTTTTTCTGAAACCACGTGCACCATTCTAACTGGCTGCCTTCAACGTTCGCACACTTATGCAGGTCGGACAACA